AGGTATAAAAATGCCAGTAATGAAATAAATGCTGAATATGTTTAATGGAATACAGTCGGACATTCTAGGAAAAGCAATAACATCTCAACACTGACAATCAGATGGCACCTTACCAGAAAAGTTACGTAAATACCAATTTCCAGTACTTTTTCTCTCCTCTACTGCATGTACCACAGTAGTCAGGTCTTCTGTAAAGTCACAGATAGAGTAGTGCTGATAAATGCTCATAATTTTCAGACTTTCTTCGTGGGATTTTCTTTGTTGAGACCGAGCAGAGTTTGAAAGATCAAAGCGGAGTCTGGACTGGTGTCAGGGTTGATAAGAAATGTCTTTAAAGAAGCGGAAGAACTTTGATTATTGCTTATCACAGTCGTCTCAGCTTGTTGATAGTAACGTACTTTCTTAAGGCAAACCACAGATATGTATTAGTGGTTTATTGCACAAGAATAAATGAAGGCTTAAAGGTGTATTGTGTAGCTTTTCAGGTAAAACCTGCTTGTCTCCATGGAGATTTTATTGCTTTGCCTGCAATGTTCCATAGTACGATAAGCAGGTAACGCCACCAGGTCCAGTTACGGGTCAGATCTATGGAGAGATGACCCTGCACATAATAAGAAAGGTATTTTTAAGCAAGAAAACAGTTGTCATTGAATAGAAATGCAAAATATTCCACAGTAGAGCATTAATTAAACTTGTATACAGTATGTCTGGCTTCATGGTGAGAAGCAGTGGCTGCACACAAGCCAAGAAGGCATGTTTTTTTGAGCAAGAAAAAGACCTACTGTAAAGTTTTGTTTAAGGTCATACTGTGGAAAATTCCAGGTAATGCAATCACAATACAAAACATCTCCATGGAAACAAGCAAGTGACAAACCAGAAAATGTACATGTCAGATCTGTGGAGATGCAAGCCTGCTCAAAGTAAGAAAGCATGTTTTTCAAGATATTTTTGAAGAAGAAAAACACCTCTACTGTAACTAAATGTACAGTTAATGTCATACTATGGAAAATTCCAGGCAATGCAATAACATCATGGAGACAAGCAAGTGGCAAACCTCACAGCAGAAAATATACAGAGAGCACATTGAGCTTATTTTTACTGTTCACTCACATGGTTGGTTGGCAGCCCCATGCATGGAGCAGGCATGTGGGTGGAGTCTCTTGGCAGGCTCACTATAATGAAAGTATGTGCTCAGACTTGATATACATGTCTCCCTGGTGTTGTTACATGAATAGTTACCACAATATCTGCAACAGAAATATGGAATACAAAATAAATTCAGTTATGATCGCTTTAAAGGCCCCATAGCAAAATATGTCTTCCCTTGTACAGATATACTGTACAAGCAGCTCTTGAGGTCAGCGTAAGTCTGCTATGTGCTGTCTGCATCTTATTAGAAAGTATTTTAATAATGTTTTGCAGTGACATCACGATGGGGGGTTTTACATGTATATCTATGGCAAAATCTTCAGCAGTTACCATGGTGACACAATGCACACATTAACAAAAACTGCCAAAAGAGTTTTTCGATGGTCTGAACTACAAAAATAGAAAATGGATTTAAACAGCACATTTTCAGGAGCCTGTGATCAATACGAGTGTTCATGGTCCAATTTTGGATGCCTAAAGTTAGCATCACACCACCAGGGAATGTTGACGACATCAGCTGTTTCAATTGTCCAATAATCTAATCAGGAAGTGCATGTTAGCATGCTAGTTGTTGTTAGCTTAACTGTCAGAGCAGAACTCTGCTCTGGTCTCTGAGAGTTGAGAAAAGTAGTTATAAACTCATCATGGTGAATAAGGAAGGATGAAGTCTCAGTTTTGTTGTTTAAGTAAAAGTACAGATACAGGGGCAAGTGTCACATGAAAAAATCTACTAAAGCAAAACTACTGAAGTATGTGTTTAAAAATGTCCTTTAAGAGTAAAAAGTAAAACTATTTTACAGAGATTTTTAGAACAATTAAAGCATCAAGTATAGTGATTTTCACAAAGAATTTAGCTGATTTTAAATGATTCAATTGATTTCTTAATTTCTCTAGCCGTTTTTGTGTATTTAGTTTGCTCAAAGTTGGAACCATAACTCAAATTAAATGTGCTAGAAATAAATCTCAACTTTCTCAAAGACAGTAAAAATCAGATTCACCGCCTTTAAACATGAATTTAAAAAACAAAAACAAAAAAACAAAACATGAATTATACAGTTTTTAATAATGCACAGCTGAGTAGATATTTTCACTATATTTTCAATTTGCACAAAGGCAGTGCATATGTTGATTCCTTCACAATTTATCACCATTTGATAGTTTTATTGTAATCTTTCATCTGACGCCAGCATCCAAGCATGGGCAGGTCAGAAGGAAACAGAAAGCGCACACCCACCTAAGAGAAATATGTTAAGCATTCAGATAATACAGTATGATGACCACAAGTGGGAAATCTCCAAAATGGTCACCTGATAAAAAGTTTAGCACTCAATAATTAAAGGTCCTATATTACGCAAAATGACCCTTGTGAGCTGTAAAGCAGGTTATAATGTTGTTATCTCATCAAAAACATACCTGGAGTTGTGTTTTGTTTCATTTACACATGTTTGAGTGACCTTTATTATTAGTCTTCCACCTTGTGATGTTATGTAGGGGGGGTTTCAAGGTTTTCAAGTTTACAGCTTTTTATCTTAAATTTAGTAGACATTGGAAAATTCAGGGCTCAAATTATCCAAATGATTCTAGTGAAGATTTTACAATTTTTTACAATTAAAAAATGTTAAGCGAGTTTCAGGATGATGAAAAATCGGTACCATTGCCATAGCAACACAAAATCTAACAAAAGAGAATGGGCTACAGTACACAAAAGAGATGTCATAAACAATTATTCAAAAGTAACATTAAAGATGCACTATGTAACTTTTCTGGTGGAGGGTCTGCTATACCTACTTGTTTTCCTGGAGATGCTTGGAATGATCCACACTATGTTATTTAACTAAACTTACCTCCATGGAGAAAACCAGGCTAAGTTATGTGTCAGATCTGTGGTGAGGTGACCCTTCTCACAATAATGCATGTCATTCAAAGATATTTTTGAGCAATTAACACTTGTAACAGAATGAATACAAGATGTTTAACCCTCACCGGAAAAGTTACATAGTGCATCTTTATCAGTTATAGGTTAGTCTGATCATCTCAACTGGCCAAGCGTAAGGCAGCCAAATAAAGCAAGCCAGTAACATCTTGGAATTGCCTATATTGCTCACAGTTCCCCGACTTAAAACTGAAAGGAGTCCCTATATGTGATTATATCGTTAACTTCAGTGGCCCTTTTGGCATTCACTCTTGTTTGGGACATTCTTTACAGAGAACACAAGCTTAAAAACACTATATAATTGTTTTTCAGACTCAACCCACAAAATGTCTCTTCAGTCTGTCGCTCTGGATCAAATACAGGTGAAGATTTTTTGTTCTGCTCTCAAGGTTTCCCCGTGCACCTCTAGGCAGCCAGGTGACCAACCAATAACCATGCCAGCGTTTATTCATAGGACAAAATTGTGTTGGCTTGTGGTTAGTCATCTGCCTGTCTAGAGGCACACGGGGAAGCCTCGAGGGCAGAACAGTAAAATGGCTGATCTGGCTCGGGACACGGCGTGCCAGATGAACATGACATCTTGTTTCTGGCAAGTATTTGTCACAATGATCTGGTGAACATTTGAGGAAGGTGTGCAGCCCATAGTTGTTCGAATGTGGCTGGGAGGTGGTTTAGTGTTTGAGAGGTTAACTTAACTTGCTTGTGGAACTGACTTAGATTTGAGTCCTCATATTATTTTTCTGATGAGTGTATTGACAGTGTTTCAAGATTTATGACATCTTCTGCTACTGCTGCTTCAAACACATTGGCTTGAACTAGAGCACCCCCTGCTTCCCTTTCCTCTTTTATAACTTCTAATGTGGCACTTAGTTCTGCTTATTTCATTTTTTATTTCTGTTTCTTTATGTGCAGTCTCTCCTCTGGCTCACATAGCTTCAGCCTTGACTCGTGCTTTCACTGCTGCCTTGGTCAGTGAGATGTAGGATCTAGCACTTGATCTGGATGAGCAGTTAGATCACTTACTATTTGGATTGTGGCTGCGTGCAGGTTAGTCACAGGTTGTCCATTTATATATGATTATGACACAGAGCTAAAATTAGCATTCCAAGCCTTTTCATATGTACAGTGGCTTTGTCAAACTTGCGTAAAATGCATTTATCTGATAAGCTCACTGTATTGAACATCTGTCAGTGGCCTTTTGCTACAAATACATATGTTTCTATTTTATCTATATTGTTAAACTCTTTGGGGCAGTAATGTTTTTAAACCTTAAACCTTTTAAACCTTGACCTCTATGTGACCCTTTGTGGAAAAAAAGTTTAGACATTCCCTGTTCAAACTTTGTGCATAAATTGTCTCTGTATATAATGATTTTATTGGTATTGAGAACTCAGTGCTGCTTCCTGTATTCTTGTACTTTTCTTCTCAACATTTTTTCACAAGCTGGTACTCAGCTGATGTGAAACTATGATAAATATTTACCACATGAAAACAAGTAACATTTAGATGACCATAAGAACCTGTCAGAAATCAAAACCCTTGTGTGAAAAAGTAAAAGTGAAACAATCCTCATGATGCCTAAGACAGAACAGTGGGGCCAGGCTGGTCTTTGGAGACAACAGCACATTCTGATAATGAAACCATTAAGATGGAAAAGCAAAACATTTATTTATCACTTAAAAATTCTCCATAAAATTGTGTTAAAATATGAAACAGTGTTTTAAAAACAAATAAAAAACAGTGACTTCAGTTGATTAAAAAAATATTGACCAAACAATTTTCATTCTGCTGTTTGTCTATAAAATTATCTTTCACAAAATGCAAAAAACTGGAGTTGTCTGAAAACTGTAGAAAAATACTAAATGGATTTAAACAACACATTTTTAGAAGCCTGTGATCACTACTAGTGTTCATGGGCCCATTTAGTTGTTTGATTTCCTACAAAAAAGGTGACTTTGCTTATGCTGGCTATCCTAAGTTGTGGCTGTAATGTTATTACCTCCGCCAAGGAGGTTATGTTTTTGCTGGTGTTTGTCTGTTTTGTTTGTTTGTTTGTTTGTTTGTTTGTCTGTTAGCAACATAACTCAAAACGTTATGGACCGATTTTGATGAAATTTTCAGGATTTGTTGGAAATGTGAAAAGGAAGAACTGATTTCATTTTGGGGGTGATCCGGAAGAAATTCTGGATTCTGGATCACTTTGAAATTTTAGTTAACATTGTGGTAAATGGGGCCAAAAATTTTGTTTCTCAATATCTCGGTTAATTATTGACCAAACCCCATGAAATTTGACTCAGGGATGGACAATGGGATCCTCTTTCATATTCCAAAGGCTGATCCGGATCTGATCCAGAAGACTGATTTTATCGCAATTTATATAAAAAATGGGGGTAGTCCTTGGCGGAGGTCTGCGCTCTCTGAGTGCTTTTCTAATTTAAGACTGTAACTGTAGAAAATCAGCTCACCTGTTGTAGTTTCAGCTAAGTCAATTGTTTTTGGTCAGATTGTGTTAAAACAAGGCTCAGATTAAAGCCTAAGTAGAGTAACAGAGCTTCAGCCAGGCAGAATAAAAAAACTGTAAACAATTTTAACATTGGAACAAGACTCACCCAGACACATGTGGCCAATGTGGCTTTTTAACTTTAATTACCAACAATTCACAGGTAATTACATCTTGTATAACCCAGTCTGAGCTTGTAATGAACAGTACAGTATCATGAATGTAGTTTATGAGGCTAAGTGAACCTTGAGGGTGTAAACTCAAACATACCATTCATTTAAAACAGATGCTCAAGACTAAGATTGAGAACCTATATTGCAACTTTTATCCATGGGTTTCAGAATGATAGAAAACAAAGACCACTGTCATATCAATTAATAACTTGAAACAAAATATGATATAACCCGAATGGAGAAAAGTCCTCAACAGTTCCTTCAAACAAGAAGCTGAAACACCTGAATACTAAGGCACTTTTTTTTCTATTTGTTGCACCAGCACAACTATTTTAAATGTGTGCAACTTCATCCATTATAAGAAATTACAAATGATTACATTGTGTAGTCACCATTATCATTGAAACTCACTCTACTAAACTAACTCTAAAACATGTCATGGATATGAAATGTGAGATTTTTACATTTTAGGTAAAACCGCAAACATGAGCAGGAATTTGATCCAAGTATCTTAAAGGTTGCCTGACAAATCCAGAATATCTTGGTGTTTTTTATACAGATTGATACCAGTCTAGTACCCACATCCCCGTCACGCCTCAAGCTCGGTCAAAGATGATCGTCCAATCAAACGAAGGACCTCATTGGTCACCTATCATTTACAATCAAACTTGCATTTCTCTTCCTTCAGATTTAAGAAAGTTTAGTGCGTCGCTCATTGATTCTGCAGAAATCCGCCATATTTCTCAGTCCCCTATGATATATTTTTCCTTTATATTTTCCAATATGGATGGATCTTGTATGCCCCCGATTGGCTAATCCACCTGTCAATCACACCTATTTGAAATCTGAGAAGTTCATCGGTAATCAAACTTACAGCTTCGTTCTGAAGAATTACATACTCTGGATCCAAGGCAAGCTTAAAGATGGGTTATGTAACTTTTGCAGTAGACGATCCGCCACCTAATTGAAATGTAAAAAAAAAAAAAAAAAACTTGAAAAACATGCATTCTTACAGGGAGGCAATCTACAGATCTGACCTGTATCTTGGCCTGTTGGTGTGCCTACTTGTCTCCATGGAGACAGACGAGTTTAATGTCATACAGTGGAACATTCAAGGCAGAACAATAACATCATGGAGACAAGCAGGTGATTAATCCTTCTTTTGCTTTTAATGATTATCCTGCATTGTCCTTGGCTCTATAAAATACTCAGGATCAAATATAGTTGAAAATTGCCTCAAGTATATAAATAAAATTGTAATTAACAAGGTTTTCAAGATTAAAGATTTTCAGTCTATAAATTTCTGAATGAGTCTTATCAGAAAAGTGAATTGAAAGACTGTGCCCCCATTCCCCTTAAAGACGAGATCTGATGCAAAATGTCTGCCATGTCATTGTCACTGCTCATTGAGCCTCCTGACGCCAAGCGACCTTTGAACCCGTCTTTCCTCGACTCCGGTGACCTCACAGACTCCGCTCTCTCGCTGATGACCTCACTGATGCTGGACCTTGACGACAACCGGTCGCTGCCATGGGAACCGTCACTGTACCTATGGGAACTGTTGCTATGATGGGATTTACTGTGTGGGGAGTGACTTTGTTCAGTCTGGTAGGTTTTTCGCAAGTCTTCTAAAGATTTCTGACTGTAAATACTTTGCTCTGAACCAGATTTATGAATGAGCTTTGAGTTTTGGTCCATGGTCACTTCTCCGCTCACTCCAGGCACTATGGGTGATCTTGTAGTCTGCGTAAACATCACGTCCAGCGGTTTATCTCTGTGAGAGGAGGCCAATGAGGATGAAGATGAGTTGGTTGGCATGACGACAGCCTGGGCGGTAGGTGGAGGAGACAGGGACTGCAAAATCAATTAGAAACACGATCAATATGGTATATAGATGGTAGTTTAAATACTAAGGAATAGGCTCAATGTTCAACACCAATTTCAATGCTACAAAAATAATAATATATTGTAATTAGTATTGTATTAGTATAATTAGTATCAATACTTGATGAAGTGAGTTTCAAGTTTCAATAAAAGAATCATGCAGTGTAATTTTCCAAACACATATATAACGAATTCGAGGGCTATATTGTTCAATTACAATCTGATCACGACGCTTTGACGTCAACCAAGTCATATTACAGATTTATAAAATTTCACATTTTTTCTTAAACTGTAATAGTATTATCTATTTTTTTAATAAGAAGATTTAGAAATAATTTACAACAATATCGCCCCACCCATGGAAGAGATATTTTCAATAAGTCAAATATAAATATTGGGACTTACTGGTTTACTCAAAATAAAACTGAAATCAAAAACACAGCAGCAAACAAACAGGATGTTTACCGTAATTGAACTAGAAAGAAAATGGATGCACTAATACAGAAAGAGGAAGCTGAAGTCTCCAGGTAGGAGTGACTGAGGAATGACAGGCCTTGTGACTTTGTGACAATGAAGTAAAACAAGTGACACACATATTCTGAGATTAGGAGTGTAATGAGTGGTTGTTTTACATCCTGTTTAACAAGCATTACACTACCTAAAACTGTAAGTAACACTGTAGCATGGCTGGAAAGATAACTTCATGCAATACTTTTCAAATGGACATTTAAATTTCCCTAAGTCTTTCCTTAAAACAAAACATAGTTAACTTATTAAACATGAAATCCAACTGTGTTAAGTAACATTTATTTACTTCACATCACTACTGAGCAGCTTCATATGAATAAAAATATAAAAATTATGAGATGTTCTAGGCCAAAATCAGTCTGTAAATAGTCTTATTGCATCCACTTAAAGGCCCAAACAGGATATTATCTTATCTTATCATTTTATTCACAATATTCAATACAAAAAGACAATTCTTCTGTCTTTACCTTGGCTGTAGGATGCATCTCTGTTTGCATGACTCCACACTGGTTCACTTGTTGATTCTGAGACACTGTAGGACTAAGTGGTGGTGCGATGGTCGAGGAAAGCTGAGGTTTTCCAATTGGCTGAAAATCCGATTTTTCAAGTCCAGCCATTGAGACTAGTTGGCCTAGGCTTGAACAAGAGAAATGTCAGTAGCCACACTTTTGATCTCCATCAGTGTAATAGGGATGCAACGATACAGATTTATCACGATTCGATATGTATCTTGTTACATGGTAGGGATGGGTATCATTTAGAAGTTGCCGATACGATACATACCTCAACACATAGACCACGATACAATGCATATCTCGATACAGTATACTTTCGATTCGATACAATATACTTCAAATCAATTGGATATGGTTGAATAAAAATAATTGCTAAATCATGGCTGTGATACTAAAAGTCTTTGCTAAACCACTTCACGTGCAAAGTTAATATAAAACACACCCACCCATTTTAATCATCAAAACAGTGAAAATGTCAAATGTGTTGCATATACAGGTTTCCTTCCTCTGAACAAGCAACAAAACTGTAACGCTGTAACAAATACCCTTGGCGATATATCGATACTGAAAGATAAAGCCCACCTCTTAGGAGCTGTCTACACAGAAACTATAATAGTTAATAGTCATAGGTTGCAGGGCTGTGAAACTATTAAGAGTACAGTGCGTAAAGGCGTACTTTGGCAGGCGCCAGTGGCCTTTGGGGAGGACGCCACGTTACCCGTTTCCCTTCAGGACAAAAATAAATGACAGCACAGTGCGCATGGAGGGGCGTGTGTGTATCAAGTGAACATATGTTTCGAATCGTGACACCCATATCAAACAATTTGATATTATTTCAAATATCATTGCATCCCTATATGTGCATGAAATGTAACCAAAACATTTTTCTTGCTGGATTTCAGATGACATAATTCTATAGGCCAATAATATGTAATGCAGATGGGGGTCAGCTAAAATATAGCTATAGCTATAGCTAACTGATGAGTCTAGTCCAGGGGTGGGCAAACTACGGCCCGGATTAAAAGGTTTAAAGGGCCGCATACGGCCCCCGGGCGCCAAACTGGAATAAATTACAATAATAAACATTGTTGATGTTTTATTTGTCATGCATTTCCAGCGTTTCCCAGTAGATGGCGCACTATATATACATTGAGTTGCGGCGTATTATGTTGGCCGCAATGCTTTATGGGAAAGCATTCTTACAGGAGTTATTCGGACCATGAGTGAAGTAGTTGGTGCTTAAGATATAAGACTGCACTGCTTCCATTTTGAGTTGTTAAAAATCAATCAAAGAAATCTATGGTCTCAGAGTTGTAATTGTCAATGTGTATAACATTTTGGAGTCAGGTTTTACCACACTCACAGATGTATATCTGTGGATGTACGGCGTGAGCTTTGTTTTTGAGCTGTTACCAGTCATATGTGAAAACGATGAACTCACGATATACATTCACTCGGGTGTGCAGTGAAACAGGTCTTAACAGTTTTATGTGTTCTGAATCTTTCACAGCAGTGATGAAATGTGTAGCCTGCGTCTGAAGTCCTAGTTAAATGTGAATAAGAATATAATGAATCTGAGCTCTTAACACATTATGTCCTGTCTCCTGTCCGGCCCTTCAGTCAAACTTTAGGACCCTATGTGGCCCGCGAGCCAGAAAGTTTGCCCACCCCTGGTCTAGTCACTAATAGAAATGATCAGGATCAACATTTGTGAATTTACCTTTGGGATATTTCATGGCAATGTACATTATTATCAATATTTTTAAAAAACAGTGCTTGAGTATGACAATCACTAATTTATTGATGGTCTCAAATTGATGATAATGGTTTTATTATATAATGTATTACACACTAAATTAAAGGGCCTATATATATGTGAAAAACATACCTAGAGATATGTTTTGTTTCATTCACACATATTTGAGTACCCTTTATTGTCTTTCTACATCTCCAAAGCTCAAAATGCTCTGTTTCACCTTGTGATATCATGAAATGGTAGTTTAAGTCAGCAGCTACTTTTACATTTGGTTAATAGAGATTAGTAGAGCAATTCCAGGGCTGAACCTATCCAAATTATTCTATGTATGGAGTTTAAAAACACATCACAAGGTGGAGTGTTTTCTGAACACAGCCTAAATATGCAGGATTTGTGTGTTAAATATGTGTGAATGTAACAAAACGCCAGATATGTTTGTGATGAGTAAACAATATTACAAGATAGATCAGAAAACACCATAATATAGGCCCTTTAAACAAAGATCATCAAACCAATTTATCAGATAAAATCCCATGTATTTAAGAGATCACACCTCATCTTCATTATTACAAGAATTAAGACCACATCCACTGCTACACTGCAATACATTATTAAGAAAGTCGGATTTGCATTGTTCATTTTCTTATGCTTTAACTAAGAATACAGATAAATTAGTTTTTTTTTAGATAAACCAATGTGATTTTCATTTATCTAAAAATAAGATGAACAATACATTGGTTTAATTGTGTTGCTTATGATAATTATATAATGATTGACAATAATACGCATAACTGAAAGAACACTCAATAGGATGTTTGTATTTAGTTACAAACTCACACAGATGTGGGAGGGTGATGTATTGTAATTGTAATCTAAACATCAGTAATAATGAAACTTTCTCTGAAAAGAACAGTGTGTGCAGGAGTCATGAAATACTGAAACAGAAAGCTTGGGTCATTTTGTTACTCAGGTCAACTGGACTATACCAAATTTGTCTGAATAAGGCAAGGCTCACCCAGCATCCTTGAGGAGATCCAAAAAAGCGTGGAACTTTTTAAATGAGTTCTCTATACTCTCCAGCACAGCCTCATCTTCCAGAGCACTGAAAGCTGCAGGGGCCGACGCAGAGTTGGCGAGGGTCTCAGACAGGGAGAGGTTAGCAGCACGGAGACGTGCGTTCTCCAGCTCAAACTGAAAAGACATAAGGTAAACCATGTGAGAAAACATTAGATTACATCCTTCACTTGAACATGTGCATAGTTTTTTCCCATGTGAAAGTAATTGGTGCCTATAGCCTATTAGACCCTAGACCTAAAGGTTCCAATAGGCAGCAGGTTAAGAAATACTTATTGTCCCCACTGACAAATTTGGAAAATTGTCCTCTGCATTTGACACATCCTTAAATGTCGCCTGGCCAACCTGTCAGAAACAGTGCGCCCTGCAGTACCGTATCTGGGAGTCCATCTCCAGATCGTGAGCTAGTCTTAATCAGGAAGACTACTGTATACTGAGAATTTCACCTATGGTGCAAGTTTTTGTTTGATATGGAAAAGCAGAAACCCACCCAGACATAGAGAGAAACATGCAAACTCCACGAAGAAAGGGCTGGGCATCGTTCTTAGTTTGAGCTGATAGATGGCCACTCAACCACTGGATAAGTTGCTGAGTGGCTATCTTATAAAATAATTACTACAATAACAAGCAGTAGAAAAAGGGCCCTGACATCCCTCATGAGCACAGAGAGACAGATTTTAGACACCAGAAGAAGATGCAAATGCCACACAAAATGGCCCAACCTGGAGAAGGAATTAAAAACGATTATATAATGATACTGTGACCTGGGCTATCTAGGAAATTGAGGATCTATAGGGATTTTTTTAGCACACAATCTCTTTTTTGGTTTTACAGTAAAGTGCAAAATAACATGTTCAAGCAGTGAAAGAGGCAATGAGATTCTTGCCCGTGTACAATACCTCCTTGAGTCTGCTCTCAGCTCTGAGTCTGGTCCTACGCTCCTCTGACAGCATCAAACGGCATTCTCTTAGCTCCATCTGCAGGTAGTCAGCAGAATTACAACATTTATCATAAAAATAACCAAAGTGCTGTATAGTGAAGGGACTGACCTGTAAACGTCCAAATTGTCGTTCTGTGATTTTGTCTTGTTTCACTGGTGAAGATGGTTTCTCCTCTACCTCAACCACAACTTCATCCTCTTCACTATTGTCTTCCTCTGAATCAGTTTCTATAGTAACCTTTACAGTAGCAGCACCCTAAGAAACACAGATTAGGGAAACTATTTTAGAACAATATGGTACTTATTTTGCTACAGATAACATAAAAATAGTAATAGCCAATAACATATGCCAGTAAAGTAACACATTTTATGCATTTTAAATGGATTACATTAAGAATGGCAGGTTCTATTGTAGAGATAATGATCACAAATAAAGAAATGTGGGAGGGGGAAAAAAAATCACATCTGCTTTTAACATTTAAGAATACTGTGTAGTGAATATTCCATTGTATGACACAAAAAACTGCACATAACAGTAGTAGTTAAATTGAAATGTTAAAATTTTGAAATAAGTTTGTATTTTATAATTTCAGATTATTGGTACATTACTGCATTTTAGGGTGGTCCCGGTCGTGACTAAACTAAGACTAAACCAGGACTAAACCTGGACTAGAACTGGACCAAACCAAGTCTACAATAAGACTCAAAAGGGACTTAAACACACCCTTAGTTGACCAAAAAGGTATTGTAGTTAATATTTAAATTTCATGTTCATTTTTGTGATGCAACCAGAGTGAAGTAAAATACCAAATGACCACAATAAACCAACCTGAAAACTTTGATCAACCACAGTCGCTCCAGGAGGTAAACCTCTGCAAGAGAATAAATAAATGAATGTCTAGTGTCTCCTAACTGTTTTTGTGACGTGACAATCAATAAAACCAAGTGTTTTGTGCTGACCTCTGTCGTCCAGCGCGTGCAGCAGTTCTCCAGGGAATACAGTGTGAACGAGAACATGGCTTTTGGTGCATCGCTCTAGAATTTACAACTACTGAAGATTTTGCTTTCAGTCCTGCAGTGCAATGTTCAAAAAAAATATTGTCAGCCATTTTAGAATTCTTTAAAAAAACATCTCAATTTAATTCATTACTCTATGTTGCTATATGAGGAGAAATATTTTTGTGTGACAGATTGGCAAACACAGTCAAAAAAGTTTTTACATTGTCTGAATGCTCAAGAAAAAACACAAAATGGATTCAAACTAAATATTTTCAGGTGCTGCTTAGTCATTTGATTTTCAACATGCCCCAGGGCATGTTGAAGACAAAGAATACTTTTGTAGCAAAAGATCAAAACTACATAACAATTACATACCATTTCTTAAAGTAGATTTTCCTCTAAATGAAGCAGGTAAGGCTCGTCTTTTATGAGCTGCAGTCCTCTGAGACTCAATGGCTACAGGCTTGATCCAGTTATACTGAATTTAAAATGAAGACACAGTGTTTAAAATAACAGACAGAATCCTACATATGGAAATTATAAAAGAAATATTACCTCTGGCGATTCTCCATCAGCATTCATGAGCACTTTCTCCAAAATAGTTTTAATAAGAACTTTGTCTATAATGAAATACAAGAAATATATTTATATAGGGTCAAAACAGATGCTTAATATCAGCTAAAAGGTCTGCATTGTGATAGTTATGCTACTCACCAATTAAAGGATTACTACGAACATCCAGAACAGATAATGTGGAGTTAGTTTTCAAAGTTTCAAGCAATCGTCGAGCACCTTCATTAGAAAGGCCACACCTCTGCAGATCTACAGCTGAGAAGTCAATGAAAAACATTAACTAAATGCATAATTTCCCAAAAAGGAAAATCACAAAGGCTGCAATTATATAGGTAATAGAATGTCTCTGTAAACAAAACATTATTACTTTTAAAGCATGTGATCAAACGTGCAATGATTGTAAAACATGAGCACATAAAACACTTGCAGCCATACACAGTAAAAAAAAGAGAAAATATACAAACAAACCTTTAACCCATAGATCCTCAGCCAGTTCGTTTGCCAGGGCAGCAGCTCCTCTGTCTCCTATCAAAGTATTACAGTTTAGAGTTACACGTCGAAGGCCGGTCATCCTCTCAAAATGTGGCTGACGATATCTCAGAGACTCTGCCCATGCGGTACCATGTCTCTGCATTCCTTGGTGCTGGAAATAAAAGCCTTTTTAAAACCTTTTTTTCTGTGTAGACTGACTTTAAATATTAGATAGAAGAGAACAGAATTTGAAACCTTGATGATGTTAGCCATGTGTTCTGCCCCTCTCCACGTCAGATTACATCCTGTGAAATCTACTGTCCTGATAGTTGTAGAATATTTAACACTTTGGCAAATTACTGTAAAATGTTTAAATATTCATATTGTTACAAAATAAAACATAACACTAAACAGGCAAATGGTCATAATAGCCATAGAAAATTTCACATACCCTCTAGACCCTCATCAGAAATGGGGCAGTTAGCCAGAGAAAGGTTCTCCAGGGAAACACTTTTTGCTAATCCCTGGAAACAGGAGAAATTGTATGAAATAGTGTAAATTTGTAACTGTATATAGAATGTTAAAATCCATTGTAAATTAAAAAACAATGGATAAATTAAATTACCTTCGTCAACACAATCAGATCTCTTTCTCTCAAAGGTAACCCGTTAAGCTGTAGAGTTTTGAGGTGAGGAGACACGGTGAGAATGTCTCTCAGGGCTCTAGACAACTTAAGAGTCATTTCCTTTGAGCGAATGGCTGGAATCTTTTTCTTCATACTAGACCTACTGAATCTTCTATCTGAAGATAAATATTGCAGAGATAATATATTATACTGTAAACCATATTCAAAGGTGCACTGTGTAACTTTTCTTGTGAAGGGTCTGCCAAATGTTGGAGCAGTTACTGCTTTGCTTGAAATGTTCCACAGTAAAGCCTTAAACTCTTAATCTATCTTCATGAAGATAAGCAGAAATGAAACTGGGCCTAGATATGGGTCAGCAATGTGGAAAGGTGTTTCAGTGTATCATAAGAATGCCTGTATTTCAAGGTATTTTTACGTAAAAAAAAAAAAACACCTGCAATGGAAAAAGTGCAAAACAAACAAGTCTAATGTGTGTCTACTGTGGAACATTCCAGGCAAAACAATCACATCCCCGTGGAGACAAGCAGGTCTTGAACACTCTACAAGAAAAGTTACACAGTGCACTTTTAAACTGTTCTTGCACAATCTAACACTAAACAAATGTGACAAACTGACTACTGTATCTTAATGATTTGTAATACCTGCATCTCCAGAACCCAAATTTTGAAAAGTACTGCTTATTGCAATATGATGCAGTTGCTTGTTAATTGCAATGGAGTCCAGAATTGGTGGCCAGTCTGTAAGCTTGATCCTGTCTCCATTGAAGTCCAACATCCCTTTGTCGAGATTCATGGTTACGGCGGGAAGAGGAACAGATTCTTGTCGTGCACAGGCAAAGTCATAGTAAGCCAAAAAATCATGGGCTCCTCTTCGTCGAATCTGAGCGCTGTCATGGACCATCTTTGACCTATGACACACATAGAATAGAAGGTCAACAAATAACAACAACAACAGAGTTCAACCGCAATAAGCAGTTTTTGCTTGCTGAAATTCTGCTTTGAGATGCCTTTCTTTTGATCTAAGCTACAGCTCGTTAAAATATAGTTATATCTGACAGAAATGCTGCCAGATAGTATGAGAATGAATCCACATTACTCATAACAACACAATAAAATAATGTTTACTATAGATAACGTATAAGAAAGTACTACAATTTAATAAAGATCAATCGTTACTGCAATATTTAAGACATTTGTTTTTTTTAAATATGCATGGAGCTATATTTTCTGCGATTTCCACATAATAAGAAGCGTCTGTTTGGTGTTTATAGCGTACGAAGCTAACTACACTCCTAGCAACTACAGTAACTTGCAAACTACAGGATGTCAAGTTGTTAACGCGTCCATTGCCTTAAACATAATCATAAAAACATACCTTTGCATCATATCAAAGGTCGAGATTTCCCGTTGTTTTAATAAATCTGGATTAGTTGGCCCCGTGTGTGATTTGTTTACAGGACGCGCTCCCAAACCAAAACTGCCGCTGTTACGTTTGGAGCAGTTTGGAGCCATATGTCACTGTGAGCGCCACCTCGAGTCCCGGGGGAAAAGTGCTCGTGAAATATCATTTGCTGGGCCATACACCTTCATTAAAATCATTTGAATGTAGTAGTAGTAGTAGTAGTAGTAGTAGTAGTAGTAGTTTATTCGTTCATTTTGCAGCACTCCAAAAAAATAAAAATTAAAAAAAAGAGAGAACATAGACTGCAACCCCATGGATCATGACCGAAAGAGTTTATGCTAAATTAAAAAGTACTAATGCCTAACCCTATTAAACAATAACAGAATTCCAAGAAAGAAAGCAGCATATGAATAGCAAGTTTGCAACTACAACTTCACTTACTGAATTTATAAGTGACAAAATACATATTAAAACAAACAAAAGTGAACGCACAATTCATTCATTCCAGAGCCCTATATCTGTCAAAACATAATGCTTTATATCATTTTTTAAAGGCCTCTGGAGTGTTAGACTTTTTAAAATCATCACTCAGGTTGTTCCATATACTAACCCCTCTAACAGAAATATAATCCCTTTTTTTTTCTTAGTGCTTATCTTCATTTTTTAAAAGATACCAGTTCTTCTAAGGTTACACTGACCCTCTCTCCTCGAATAACTCCTGTACACAAGGAGGGAGTATGATTATAGGCCTTGTACATCAGTATGGCTGTACTCAGGTCAACAAGATCAAAAACTTAGAAAAAGTACTTAATAAGGAGAGGATCTGTTAGCCCTTAATAATTTGCATTATTAATAATTTTGATGACCTTCTTAGAATTTCTTTTTTTTTTTAAATATTTGATTTATAAATATTTCCCCATATTTCCACACAGTAGTTTAAGTACGGAAGGAACAGACTGTTATACAGTAAATTAAGGGGACTTTCTTCCTTTCATTTTACTCATAGCAACAATTTTAGCTAACTTTGTTTTAATTATACTTATTTGCAATTTCAAATTAGATTTTCAGATATATTAATACCAAGAATTTATTCACAGATACTCTTTCATTTTCTATTTTGATTAATTTTAATATTATTTGATTATTGATTTTTTCATTTTCAAATATAATATTTCCAAATTAATTGAATGTTTATTAATATTAAACCACTTATTTATATTAAAACACTTTATTTTTGTAAGGTTATTTTCTAGCGTGTGCAGAAGATGTTGTAGGTATTTTCCTGAATGATAGAGACTGGTGTCATCTGCAAATAGAATACGACTTAATTTGTCCACTGCCTCACAGACATCGTTAATGTACATAATATATTATTTGGGCCCCAAGACGCAGTCCTGTGAACCACCGTGGGTGAGCCCCCTTCTATCAGAACTGATATTGTCTGTATGTACATACTGATGTCTATCCTCAAGATAGCTTTTCAGCCAGGTAAGAGCAGTTCCTCTAACACCATCGCCTTCCATTTTTCTTCAAAGCACCACATTGTCAGTGGTGTCGAAAACCTCTCTTAGATCTATGAAGACACTGGCTGTATATTCTCTATCTTCTCCCTCAAATCACTGATAGCCATTTGGGTAGAATGTTTTCACTTTAAACCATATTGGTGAGCACTGAGCAGACTATGCTTAGTAACAAAATTATCTAATCTTATTATAAAGATTTTTTCTAAGATTTTAGGAAGTATTGGCATAAGAGATATGGGCCTGTAGTTTGTAAACAGATGTCTATATAATCAATATCAGACCCGGAATTGCTAATCTCTACTGAACTAAAGGTAAAAGATAGCTGTTAACTTAAAAACTATTGTTTCATGATATCACAAGATGGAACAGAGCATTCTGAGCTTTGGATATGTAGCCTAGAGTAATATATAAGGCCTGTTCAAACAAAATGGTAATTGACATCTGCTGGTACAGTGACAGTATATTGTCTGCATATTGTAGTAAGGCAATGTATAATGGAATGGGACATTGCACATTTGTCACCAGTCTTGGCATTTGCTATAGAATGTTCTATCCATGACAGACAAGTAAAATCTCAACTATATAAGAGGTCATAGGAAGACAGTACAGCAATGATATGATGATGGACAGGATGTAGGGAGTATTATCTGTTACATAAGGATGAGTTGTTGCACAGTTGTAGGGAGTATTATATGTTACATAAGGGTGAATTGTTGTACAGTTATAGGGAATATTATCTGTTACATAAGGGTGAGTTGTTATACAGTTGTAGGGAGTATTATCTGTTACATAAGGGTGAGTTGTTGTACATCTGTATGAATGTAGTCCTGTATCTCTCACTGTTAGAGCGAAGCTGTAGAAGCCTGTTGGAGAATGAGCTCCTCTGTCTAAAAGCATCCATGTCATCTCTCTAAAAGTGACATCCTAGTTTTCTCCACCCTCTACGTAAAAACAAATCATCAAACCCTCATTCAGAATTAAATAAACCATGAACCATAAAAAAAAGCAACCAGATGAGTCAGTCCGTCGTTGTCCAGTCGTATGCATGGAGCTGACCAACGCCCTGTCCCGTGTGATGCCTCGCTCCCATTGGTCCGGGCCGGTGTCAATCAAGCTCCTGCGCTCCAGTTCCAGTAAGCCCCGCCTCTTTGGGATTCATTGGGAATGGTGTAACCTCAATGCGCACTGGAGTAGGGCAGAACAGAGCTTTCGAAGATAACACGACTGAAAAACCTAAACAAGGGATAAAAAAAAACACGATCGAGGAGGCGAAGGAACCTTACTATCTCCCATCCAAAGAGGTAATACCAAAATTATCTACATTTATTGCGCGTAAAAGTCAGTGCGTCGTCGGAATAGCAATGTTTTTTGGATTGTCAGTGGTTCGTGTGCGTGCGTGGGAGGGAGAGTGATCTTAAATATATTGAATTTACTCTCCGTTTGGGTTTATCATTTTTATTTTGAGATGCGATGAGTCATTTCTTTCGCCATTGGATTTCTATGGTTAAATAATACTCTAGATATTTGTCTTAGTTGTGTGTGTGTGTTCTGTTTTGCTAATGCTAATCATGTGTACAAACATGGTCTAAAGCTACAAAGCAAACCTAACAGTTTGTTTGGCCCTGCGGTTTTGTTCATGGCAATTAGGCCCACATTTTGCCAAACATAACTATTTTGTTTTTGATTTTGATCACGCATCTTGTTTATGCTTTCATGCTGTTGTTGAACACATCTGTCCTCACCTCCAGTGCTTTCCAGTGCTCATTAAATTATAGCCTGTAGTGTCGAAATTGATTTTAATATAGGTTTATTATTGCGTATTATATAATTGAGTGTCCATCTGCATATGTTTTTATAGTGTGTGACTATGTTTTTTTTTTTGTTTTTTTTTTTCTATACTTATTAAATTATTCATCGTGAGAATGAGAAGCAATGACTAGTAATGTATGTCATCTTGTATATCCACATAATTGGGAAAATACCAGCATTTTTTTATGAATGAAAACAAACCTGTCACGAAAATGTATGTATAAGCTTTAAGTTGGAACAATATATTTTGGGCCTCAAGCCTTATCGTGTCCACAAATTCTTTGCAAAATTGAGCTGATTTGGGGTAATTTAGTTGTAATACAGTAAGATTTGAGCTGTACAATGCTGAATATGTGAGTTTTATGGCTAATTTGTAGTAGATTTTGTAGCCCTTACCCTTGAATGATACTATTTAAAAATAGTTTATTAGGATTATCTAGCTTTATTTTTAACGTGTCAGTGGCATTAAGTAGTTTTAATATTATATTTTTTCGCAGTATGTGGCTGTAGCAATATATCGTATTTCAAAATGTGTTATCATGACAGGCCTTAACTAAAAACGCAGGTTTAAATGGCCATCCATGTGTCAAAAATACTCTCAAAAGCCAGCCACTGTACAGTACATTAGGGTGTGAGTGTTTTAGGTGTGTACAACTTAAGAACAAGAACATGGGTTTGTATAATGTCGTAAGTCAACACTGCCAATCACCAAATAATGACCACATAACAACTCCAGGACATCCAGTACAGAGAACACATTTTATTATGACCAGTAATAATTTAAAATGGCAAATCCATGTAAAATAAGGTTGTTTATTGATTGCTCCTAGTTTCAATTTTTTAAAAATTAATTAGAGCCACTGCCCTAGATGCTTTTATCCTGATTAAAGTATTTATTTTTAGTGTTGTCACATGTTAAAATTTCAGACTCTGTTTCAACTTGGGAAGTGTTTGATACTGATTTAGATACCCCAGTGATGATAAAAAACATTCCTTTCTAATACAAGAATTCATTTTCTATACAAATGAAGTGCTGTTTGTTTTATATTATCATGGGTTTGTGCTACTTCTGATACAGATCAAGACTTTTCAAAAACTATTCAGGAAAGGCCCAGTAGATATCAGCTCAAATTATATAGTTTCAGTTTGTATCTCTTTTATATTTCGTTTACAATTCAAAGTTTAACTGTTTGAGTTATATGTACACTTTCCCTTTTTTATAAATGGCAATTCTAATGTCAGCTGGTACCTCCCTTTTGTTCCTGAAGACATATATCCTGATGGAAATTATTTTTCCACAGTTAGGCGTACGTTTTGTTTACTTTGGCAAATTAGGGTACTATTTTTACCACTTCCTTTTACCTGATAATTTGAATTCATACAAGGAAAGGAAGGAAACATGAGCAACAGCCTCAATGAAGTCTGAAATTCTTCTCACTCAGAACTAAATGTCCACTCCTTGCTGAGGTCATTCTCTCTCACACACACACACACACACACACACACACACACACATGTACACACACACACACACACACACACACACACACACACACACACACATGTACACACACACACACATGTACACACACACACACACACACATTTGTTCACTTTTTAACATAGTTTGGCTGCATCCGGTTGACTTTTGGGTCACACTGAAAGGTCAGATTTAATAAGCACCAAGTGTAGCTCGTATTTCAAAATGTCACCCACGCAACCATGGCATAAAGAAGCCAGTGTATGCTAGTTTTGGATGTGGTCTTCATTGTATGTTGACAGACTAATTACAGTGTTACTCTGTCTTACAACAGATACAATTTTTCTTAAGAACTGGCCTTTCTTGACAACTCCCAAAGGATGACAAAGAGAACAAACGTGTTTTATAATGATGTCAAAGCCTAATCAAACCGGTTCGATCAAAACTTTTAAAATTAATGTAACTTCGTTCTTTATGTGTTTTAGATGTGTATAAATAGCCAGCGTCCACACTGTACTATTTTCTGGTCTATGTCATAATTTTCTTTTCTCATCGTTAACATACCTGGAGTTGTGTTCTCTTTCGTTCATATATTTAGCACACAAACCCTGCCTATTTAGCCTGAGCTCTTCTCTCAAATGGGAAACACTCATTTCCATCTTGTGATGTGGAAATGTCATGTCGTATTACAGGGAGTGCTTTAAACTTCATACACCTTCACGAGAATCATTTGGGTTATTTCTGGCCTGGAACTGCCAGTCTCTACTGAAATAAAGCTAAAGGTAAGGTAAAGGTAGCTGTTAACTTGAAAACTACCAACACATGACAAGAGAGAATTTTGAGCTATGGAGATTTAGACAGAGTAAAAATAAATGTTTCAAGCCTAAATCTCACAAGAATCAATTTTGCATAATATAGGATCTTTAAATGGCAAATTAATTCATTCACCACAGCCACAACCGCAAAGTTGTATTTGTTCTCTTCCCGGATTCAAAGCAGAAAGAGTTCTTGCTTGTGTAACAATCTGATGAAACATCATGTATAAAACAATAATAATTTGGCTTCATTGGAATTGTTTACTAAAAAAAACATTGAATGGTGCTTGCTTGGTTTAAGGCATTGCACAGAGGATGTTGTTACTACCTCTGCATTGTGGATTTGCTGCATGACTCACTTCGTTACATGCAAAAAGACCTCCAAGAGCGCTAAACAACCAAATTCAAATAAATTCAAATAGGTTCAAGCTAAAACACCTCAGTGGGTTTGCATGTATTTTAATAAAACTGTTTAAATTGGACTGGCCAGTTATCTGGTTTTCATGGTGCATGTTAACATAGTGAATGTTTGCTGAATGTCTCTACCCCCCCTGTCCCCCACTTTACATGGCTACTGTATTGTCATTGTTGTATTGTTCTTCCTGATCTGAAAAACAAAACAAAACACATGAATCCCTATTGTTAAACCAGAAGTTAAAAATTAAATGTTAATTAAATGTACTTTCTCAGTTATGAAGATGCACCGATCCAATACTACTACAGGCACTGATGCCGAAAATTTGTTGTATCTAATATTGGCTTCCAAATACAGGTTCATCTGTTATCTTGGACATAATTGATGTAATAACACTGGTTGTAGTTGGCCCCAGAAAGTCTCTTTACAAAGTTGTTCTGTAGTTACTTGAGAGATAAATAAACAGCTACATACCACATTTGAAACAGTTTTGTCATATTTTAGTTTAGTTTAAAGGAAACAAATGCTGTTTTCAATCTTTCGGCATTGGTATCTGTTGATATCGGCGATTGGCAGATATAAGCCGTAGACTCGGAACTGATAATCGGTGATCAGTGCATCCCTACTCAGTTGTTTGAAATATATGCACAAAGATATAATAAACATTTTAGGAATAGTCTTTTCTACCATGTTTTAAAAGCGATTCAGAAGTAGGCAGTACCATTTTCAGCAGATGTTTTTTTTTTTCCACCCAGTTGCCTGTGAAATCAATTAGGCACTGTACCAAAGAATGCAACAACTCTTCTGAATTATTAACTAACCCAATTTTGCCATTACAGAATAGATTTTGCCATTACATGGTATTTCACACCAGTTAAAACAAGTTAGTAAGTATAATAACAGTTACTAATACCTTTCATGACTATTTTGACTGTGTTTTGACTAGAGTTGCTCAACTGTGTTCCCGTGCATTTTCCAGCCCTGTCTCATGCTCTGGACTTCCTCTGTTGAATGGCCCCATTGAGATTTAGAGAAAGCAGAGGCAAAGTCCAGTGTAGACAGTGCATCGCTCATTACAAATCACCATGGTTCCTTCTAAAATAGGACTGTAGTTCCTATGAGGCTGAACGCATGATTCGTGCACATCTTTTTCTTCATGAGCTTAAAAATGTGATGTGCCCTTAAATGCTTGAAAACATCTGTAGTGGTCACTGGGTCAAAAAAGGAATTTGGGTTAAGTTCCAGATTGTTTGTGCAGATAAAGGAGTATTGTGTAACGTCATTTCACTTTCACTATGAAAAAAGAACATTTTTTAGATTTTAATCTGTGCCTCAACTAGCTTTCAGTTTTATTCAGGCCTGTTCACAGAAATTCGGGGGCCTGCAGCAAGAAGACTCACAAGGGCCCCCATCTAATATAATTCATGGGAAGAGGGTCCAATTCTGGCCCGCTAAGATTCTGGGGCCCCTTTGTCCTCCCCTGTTGATTCCTCTGGTTTTATTTTTCAAAATATTTGTCAGACATCTCATTTACTGCACTGCACTTTTTTTTAGGTTTAGTTAAACAAAATTCATGTATGTCATTTATGATAACTGTATTACATATTATATTGGGGGGAAAAAAAACTCGCTCAAAAGGAGTAGGAAGAAGTATGAAAACTTTTGAACTGAATGCCCAAAGGTTTGATACATCTCACAACTAAAATTCATGACATTTCCTAAACTTGTTATCTGCACTTCCCTGACAGATTTGCAAACCATATTAACCCCATTTGTTCTCATTTGTAGTCTTGTCTATTTGCAGAAAGACAAGACCCACGGAGCGGAGAATTGAGCACACAGCAATATTGATTTGTGTGTTCGCGTGTGCATTTGAAGCTATCAGTTTCTTGGTTATGCTTCCCAGAACCCAAGGCTGTTTTTTCCCGCTCTCCATTAAGTGCACTGCTTTTTTTTCCCCTCTTTTTTTTTTTTTTTCTTTTCAGGGTTCACATGGTCAAAGGACATTGGCTTAAGTATAGTGCTGTAATTGAAAGTGTTCCCTGAGTTCCGGGCAAACTAAAGTATATGTGTGCCTTCACTGGTGCTTTCATGCGGTGCTCAAACTATTTTAGCGCCCCTGTGTGCAGCTGTATTTATGTTGAGCCATGCCTCAGAATTTCAATGGAAAGTGATGCAGCTCCCAAGGTCAAGAGCACAAAGAAGCTACTCTCTTTTCTAGCATAGTAAGCAGTAAGACCTAGTAACATTTGGTACCAGAATTCTTCGCAAGTCAAAGGTCCCGATAGGCGATATATGTTGACTTTTGTGAGCTTTAAACCTTGTCATAAAATGCAGTTATCTCCTCAAAAACATACCCAGAGTTTGAGTAATCTTGTATGATAAGGCTGTCTACATCTCCAAGGCTCAAAACGGTCTGTTCTACCTTGTGATTTCATGAAGAGGCTGTTTTCTACTTCTAGTAAAGGTGTATGAACTTTAAAATCACAGTGGAGCACTTCCTGTATTATCACATCACATCACAAGGCTAAGCAATATGCAGCAATTACACATGTGTGAATGAAACAAAACACAACTCCAGGTATGTTTTTTAATGAGGAAACAACATAACATATATCAGAAAATAGCATAATATGGGCCCTTTTAAAAAAGTGTCACAGGTTTTTTTCCCCTTTATTTGAACAGATTCAACAGATTTGAACAGATAGTTTATTTGAACTATCTTCCAGTACTCACAGGTTATTGTACTCACCTGTTATTGTTCCTACGTGTTGAGTTTTCTGGTGGAAGGTCTGCCGTCTCCTCACCTATGGAGCTGTATAAGATATAAAGATGCTATTCATGAATCATTATAAAATCAATCGTTATCTGGCTCCAAGAAAATTGTGATATTAATTTTTGCCATATAACCGACACTTACTACCGCTGTGTGTCATGTCTGTGGAGAGAGGGATTTGCCTTTTTCCAAGGTATTCCATTAGCAAGAGTACCACATGTGACTGAATAAATGCAAGATTTATAGCTTACATTTATTTCCTTCTGTGGAACATTCCTGACAAAGTACTAACATTTCTAACGAGATATGATGGTGGCAAACCCAACACACCTTCAACAGAATATCAGTATTTAGTTTATTCTGTTTGCCGTATGATAAGGATGCACACAGTAGCCCCATTAGAATGATAACATGACTGAAAAGGTTTAGACTGAAAATGATTTATTAATGCCTAACCCTATTAAACAATAACACAGAATTCCAAGTAAAGCAAGCATATCAACAGCAAACGATAACAATTTCCCAACACAGACCTGTTTTATATAAATTTTTAAAGGCTTCTAACGTTATAATAGACTTTTTTAACATTCTCATCCAGATTGTTCCATATACTAAACCCTCTAACAGAAATACAATAACTGTATAAATAACAGTTAAAACCACTAAATTTTTATTGAAATGCAAGGCTTTAAAATCATAATAATTTTATAGTTTCCTAATCCTGGCCTTGGGTAAGCCTCATTTCTCGCTCAAGTTGCAACAGGACGGGCATCCAGCCTCTTCCTGGCAGAAACACAAGTAAACATTTGTAAAACTAAACTTATCAAAAGGTCAGTGTGTCCTATATAATGCATCAAAATGAGTAAATGCTCTTTTTTTATTCAAAACAATCTTTTACAATCTTTTAATAAAATATAATGATTTCCAAATCAACAGCACATCAGTCAAGAAAATCAGGTTCCAATCAAATGCAACATTGTATAGCACATTTTACCAACACAAAGTCTGCACAGAGCAGCACAGGTAATGTAAATTAACACATTGAATAAAATAAAGCATAAAAAAAGAAACAAGCAACTACAGAAAAACAAAAAACGAAAAAAAATACTCAAATTAGCAATAAAAAAAACTGAAAATAAAATCAGTAAAAGACAGTCAGAAAACCACATCATTCTCATGGCAGGTTAAAAGCAAGTGAGTAAAAGTGTGTTTTTAAACTAGATTTAAAAGCATCAGCTGAGAGGGGGAAGGCGTTCCAAAATGTGGGGGCGAACACAGAAAAGGCCTGGTCACCCAGCTTTTGAATGTGCTTTGAGAAATGCGTTCAAAACAAGCAATACAATTTTGCAATCAAATCTAAGATGAACGGGGAACCAGTGCAACGAGCATAAAACAGGTGTGATCTGTTCTCTAGAATTTTGGACTAACTGTAAGCGTAACAAGTTTACCGACTTCACTGTGCAAATAAACCAGTTGGAGAATAATATTAAGTATTGAATGAATATTGAGTCGTTAAGGTGGTGGCTGCGATCACCTTTTCCCATAACTGATCCTGGAGGCTGGCGTGGGCGGTTTGTTTAGTCTTGAGCGCCGTTAAGAGCGTAGCACTTGTACCAACTTGTTGGACTCGCCTCAAGAAAAAGAAAATAACGTTTTATTTGTGCAGAGATTTGGAAGTTTCTGTGTTTGTCATATAGATTGATTGTAGATTAATTTATCACTGTATCAAAATCTAGATCTTACCACAATATTAAAATGACAATCTGTATTTCAACGCCATGGGAAAGGCTTGGTATTTTATTATAATATCAAACTGATAGGAAAAACTTATTTTTAATACAGTGGAATGTAATTTTTGTATTCTCATGTGGTCTTTTATTTGAAGGCCATTTGGCAAAGGCAGTCTTTGTCCAAATATATGAAAAGTTTAAATGCTTCTAAGTATTTAGTTTTAGCATTGATTAGTTACACTCTATTGTTTTTTTTGTTGTTGTTGTTTTTGTTGTTTTCAAATTAAAGTGCCCATATAACACTATTTTCTCATGTATGTTATATAATATTGTTTACTCATCACAAATACCTGGAGTTGTGTTTTTTCTTTCATTCACACATATTTAACACAAACCCTGAACCTTAGTTCTTCTCTCAAACACCTCTCTCTCTCACCTTGAGATGACATGTGGTAATACAGGAGGGGCTCCACTGTGTGTTTAAACTCCATACACCTGGAATTTTTTATCTCTACTGAACAAAAGGTAAAAGTTTGCAGTTAAATTTAAAAACTACCACTACATGACATCACAAGGTGAAACATGGGTGACTGAAACAAAACACAACTCCAGGTGTGTTTTTGATGAGGTAACAATATTCTATTATTTAAAGCTGACAATAATCCACTTTGTCTAATATAGGACCTTTAAAAAAATAGAATATTTCATTTTTGACATTCCGAGTGTATGAATTTTTAGCATAGATTGGATTTGTCTCTTGCATTGTCACTGTTCCCTCATACTTGTTTACAAAGAATTTCTTCACAGGATGTTGTGGCTTCTCTCTTTTCTAAAATTGGCTGTTGTTTGTGAGCACTTGATTGGCTGTGTGGTGTTGGCTTTAAATGAATGGAGTGAGATCAATCATTTTTGTTTTGGATAATTAAGCTCCAAGGCCTGCCTCAACACGTCTTTTAGAACCTGTAGTCATCAACAAAGAGCTGATGACGATTTTCTGAAACTGTTGCATATAAGTTAAAGCTTGCTTTAGGTTTTGAGCTATTGTGTATCTGTACCAAACAGAAAAGTTGGTCAATTATGAAAAAAATATTTTAAAAATTGGGTAAGGATTAACATTTTAAAATTACTTTTATTTTAATTCCATCTGGACTTTTTCACCTAATTACCCAAATCTCATTTTTAGTGAGGTACACTTGAGCTTTGATATGGGAATTGTCAAGACCCAACAAATGTTCAAACTAGTGTCAATCTGACAATCTCCAACTATTCCTATTCTTATGCTTACTCCCCAAAAATCTCACAAAAAAGGCAGGATTTGAAATCTGAGTTTACTTTGTGCCATTTGTCTGTGCACCAAAGGGTTCAGAAACAGATTCAGTTTGAATAGAGGGTCGTTTAAGTCTGATGTTTTTCTAAAAATAGGCCAGAACTGTATGGGTTTTTTAAGAATAGCTCAAATGCAGAGGATGGATTTTCCTATGAGGACAATGGAATTAACCTTGTCTCAGTTTAGACAAGATATCTGACATTGTAAAACAGATACAAAAATTAAAGCACTTTTTTTTTCTTTGCACTCTGTGAACTTTGTATGCTATGGTGGGGAGAGGTTGTGCAATGAGCCCTATGGTTCTCCATGTAGCGTTACTAAATAAACATGGTAGAGAGGACTTTTGTTCCTTATTGCTGCCTCTGTGCGCTTGGAGGACACATTCGTGTTTGGATCTGTTGAGAACACTACATCAATTCTGAAGGCACGGCTGCAGTTACTTTTATATTAACTTTAGCGATTTGCCATGGAAATTATTTAGACATTTTTTTTGCCATTTTTGCTCTTACTAATATTTTTTCTTCTTTTCCCACAGGGCGTCTGTTTGACCAGCTTCTTACAATGTCTCTTCTGATGTTGGAGTAAAAAAGAAGTATTGGAATCTACAAATTGTGACACTAAACGCAATGAAGCTCTTAATGTCCGTTTGTCTTCTCATTGTCCTTTTGAGCCTGTCCTCTTGGGCCAAAGATGGTAAGAATCCACTTATAAGTTTTCTGCTATGAGAAAGTGAAAGGTTGTGTTAAGTTAAAATGTTTTTGCTTTTCAGTCATTCCCGTACCCCAGCAAGTGAGCCTGTCTGCTGACTCGAACACTCAGCAAGTGTCTATTTCCTGGTTTGGAGGAGAAGCGATGACCTTTGACCTCCTGATTCTACGAACTGAACTCAATGATACCGTTTTCTATGTGAGGCCATCTCTGGTTGTTGTCTCAGCTACTTTTTGTCCCGGTCTCTTCCTTTACCTTCTGCTTTGCTTCCTATCAACAGGAAACTCTCACTGTGGCTGCAGAGGCCAGTGGTCGACACAAGTTCATTTGGACATCCGTGGAGCCCCTGGAGTGCACCTCATTGTCCTTCAGGGTCCGGGCCAGAAGTGGTCAGCTGACCAGCGAGTGGAGCAACACAGAGATACTTCTAGGTAAGAGTTGCACTAAACTACCACTCAATCAGAGCATTAAAGGTGCACTCTGGTACAGGGTCTGCTACCTACTTGTTTCCATGGAGATGTTATTGCTTCGCCGCCTGGAAGGTTCCTTGGTATGACATTAAACAAAACCATCTAGCCTTTACTCATTGCAGGTGTTTCTTTTGCTCAAAAATATAATACAGTTTTTTTAAATATAAGGATTTTAAGTGCACCTTCAAGTCCGAAAAATACGCTAGTTCCTGCACTTCAGATCTGTGGGCAACTCTCCACAGATCTGAATTGTAATGTGGCGTAGTGCTGTAATCTGCCTATCACCCTTAGTTTAAACTATACTGTGCAACATTCTACACAAAGCAATAACATTTCTATGGAGACAAACGAGTAAGCAGACCCTCCATTAAAAATCTTACACAGTGCACCTTTAATTCTGGATGTCAACCATGTTGTGTATGTGTACAGTTTGTTGTTTCGGCTAATTTATCATTACAAAAAACTAATAAAACTGTGTCTTGTCTCTTTTATCTTTAGGAAATGATCGTCCCACCAATGACTTAATGCAAGCTTATCCCCAGGACAAGGCTGTGCTTGCAGGGTCCAACATTACCTTCTGTTGTATAATCGGAGAAGGCAAGTCATTTAACAGTTTCCACTTTAATTCAGAAACTATCAATGAGACTCGCCTGAGCAGACGCACCTACGCCGCTACAATCTACAACGTCAAGCCTTCCCCCCCTTATGGACACAACGCCTACTGCAAAGGAAAGACTAATTCTGAGCTCATTGGGACTGTGCTCTTTGTTGGATGTAAGATAATTTCATTTATTAAAACCTGTTTTTACCAACAATTGCCCTGTAATTTCATAATTTCATTTATAATGTTTTATTTCTCAGATCCTCCACTTTTCACTGACTTGATTTGTGAAACTCATGATCTCACATCTGCTGTTTGCCACTGGACAGAGCCACGAAAAACACACATGCTGGGCAAACGGCAAACTCGCTACTCCATCAATGGGAGGTATGGTACTCTATACTTAGCACTAACAAGATACTATTAATATACATATGGTCTAAACACCAGGAACTAAAATTTATTAAATAATATGAATTGCAAACCAAATTGTCTGGATTGCTTTTGAAAGAGCAAATTTTATACTATTTTCTGATCTATGTTCTAATGTTGTTTCCTCATAACAAACATACCTGGGGCTGAGTGTGTTTATTCACATGTTGAACACACAAACCCTGTATATTTAGGCTGAGTTCTTCTCTCAAACAGAAAACAATCTGTTCCACCGATAATACAGGAAGTAATATAGGAAGTGCTCCACTGTGTTATTAAACTCCATACACCTTCACTAGAATCATTTGGATAATTTCAGCACTGGAATTGTTCATTTCTATTGAACAAAAGGTAAGAGGTAGTAGTTAACTTTAAAACTACTGCTTCATGATATCACAAGGTGGAACTGAGCATTTTGATTTTAATAATTTTAAGACTAATAATCCAGGATTACTCAAACATATGTGAATGAAACAAAACACAACTCCAGGTATGTTTCTGATGAGGTAACAACACTCTGACATGGCTTAAAGCTTTAAACTTTCCATTTTATGTAGTACAGAACCTTTAACATAAATATTTGTTATTGTAGAAACTGTTCAGTGGTCCGCTTGGAGCAGAACCGAAAGCAGTGTAGTGTTCCAGTTTGGGAGAATAACTGGAAACTGTTGGCCTGGAACCTTCTGGGAGAGTACAGTCTGACCGACACCGCTGATGTCCGCTCCAGAGGTACAGGTTTTATCTGTTAAATCAATACTCTTTGTTTTTATGAGAGACACTTTGGGCAACTACAACTCACTGTGAGAGCGGTCAGATCCGCTGGCCCACAGGTTGGCAGTGCGATTCCAGCTCCCACAGATGAATAGTTGTGCCCTTGGATGAGAAACTTAACCTGCCTCACCCTCAGTGTCTGCGTACACTGGTGTATGAATGTGTGTGTGAATGGGTTAGGGTTTCCTTGATGTAAAGCGCTATATAAAAATGTGACCATGACCATTTACAATTTATTTTTAACATCTGCTATCTTTGCCCAGTCGTCCCTCTGCCACCAGAAGAGCTCAGCACAGTGGCCAGTGCTCGTAATGCTACGGTGACGTGGCAGTGGAAACACAATCACTATGTTTCGCTCCCTCTTGTTTGTCAAGTAGAGCTCACGTCCAGAGATGACAAAACAAAGGTGAGGTGACAAGGCCTGTGAGAACATGTTGACAGCGACATTTCAATAACTGTTAGTCAACCTGTTTGTTTATCTTCTCAGTACGGAGCAGTTTTCCACATCCATTTGCACTGTACTGCAGCTGTTCTAGTGTCTGTTAGGTCTGTCATGATAACAAATTTTGAAGTGCGATATATTGCTGAATAAATTACAAATGCAATAACCCAAGAGTAGATTTAAACCACAAACATTAACTAATAACTATTCTAAATGTGCAATATTGTTAAAAAAAAAAAAAGAGAGAAGAAAAACATGAGCTGCAATAAATGAACAGCCAAATGAAACACTTACATCTGCAATGAGGCATATTATTAATTCAAGTCATTGATTCAACCTCATACTTATTATGGTAGGTCCCCCACTAGGACAAAGAAAAAGAACGCACAATAAATATTGACCCCAAAAAATATTATTCCAGCTTTCGTATACTGAACCATTGGTTGATATAGTAATTATTGGCCTGGTGTCTGTAATAAGTGATCTTTTACATTTCTAACACAGAGATAAATTACTTGCCACAATTGCAACGCTTTATATTTTATAGACATTAAAAGCCATCAGTGCTCTACATAGTCATTATTTTAATGTGTCTTTTAGCGTACCTTCTCTGGAGTGGGTTTGCGGTCTGCTGTGCTGTTGGACTTGTATCCTTACGAAGAGTACAGCGTTAAAGTCCGCTGCGGAGCTCAGCAGAATTTCTGGAGGTGGGGAAACTGGAGCAAAACTATTTCCTTCCGAACTGATAGTGATAGTAAGTGTGCTATGGTTTTTCCATTTTGCTTATTTTTACCTGAAATTATGTTTATTATTGCAATGTTCAAATTTTATTTCTGAATAGTTCCAAGCGCTCCTGATGTGTGGATATGGATGAACGGAGACACAACTGGACAGGTTTTATGGAAGGTAACTGTTCATAATATTTTTTTCTTCAATAAACACAATGACATAACACAGTAAGACTCAAGAGGATTAAGGGCTCCCCCATTTGAAATTTACCATAGTGCAACTTACCTATCATGCATTTAATCAGTTAGTTTTTAGTTTTCTTCGCTAAAATAACGCATTCTTACTGTAAGCAGGGTTAACTCTCCACTAATCTGACCTGTAACTTGGCCAGGTGATGCTACGTGCTTGTATTCATTGAAACATATTATTTTTATGCTACACTGTAGTATGCAAAGTACTAGACACGCACTTGATGGACCTTTCAATAGAAAAAGTACATAGTGCAGTTTAATGAAATAATATTAAATTAACATAAAAAATACTAAACATACTTGCACACCACTAAATATTTCAAATCTTGACGTACAAAATAAGAAAAAGTTAAGTTAAGAAAAAATTAACATAGTCTTGGTATTAAAGGACCCATATGAGACTACTTTGTTTCTTCATCGCAAACTTGCCTGGAGTTGTGTTTTTTTCAACACCTGTTAAACACACAAACCCTGCATATTTAGGCTGAGCTCTTCTCTCAAACAGAAAACACTCTGTTCCTCTCTCTGATGTGGTAATACAGGAAGTGCTCCACTGTGTTTTTAAAGCCCACACACCTTCACTAGAATCATTTGGATGATTTCAGCCCTGGAATTGCCAATCTCTACTGAACTAAAGGTAAAAGGTATCTGTTAACCTGAAAACTAAATGACATCACAAGGAGGAACAGAGCATTTTGAGTTTTGGAGATGTAGACAAAATAATGTAGACAGAGTAACATGTTACTCAAACATGTATGAATGAAACAAAACAACTCCAGGTATGTTTTTGAGGAGGTAACAAGATTATAACATGGCTTAAAGCTCACAAGAGTCAGTTTATAATATGGGACCTTTGAAATTGTATTTGAAATTGTATTATTATATATTGTGTGTAAAAATACTGTGATTTCTTTGCATAGCCTTATGAACCAAGAAAGAGCCATGGTCCCATTGTCAGTTATGAGGTGACTCTGTGGAGCCCCGATGACAACACCCGGCACACTCAAATGGTTGCCCCAGAGATGTTTACGATACCTGTCAACCTCTCAACAACCTTCAACAACATCACCAAGGTGATCGCAAGCGTTGTCGCCAAGAATCCAGCTGGGCCCTCACCACCTGCCAGTGTAGACCTACCTCTACATGTTAAAGGTATGGAAAACAAGAATGATTTATGTAAAAATCAATGGGTTTCATTCACATTATAGTATTTAACAATGTCATAATTTCAAATGGTGTACAGGGGGCTATGAGAAATTCACAGTTTTTAAAAGAAATATCCAACTTGTTAATTTTATTTATTTTTTTTAGGAAATGGCTCAAACTTGCCATAGTAATCTTATGACTTATACTTTTTTTTAAACTGGCAACAATCACATCTTTGGTGTTAATGTCACCACTTTCTGAAGCTATTAAAAAAAAAAAAATTTAACTTTTGTTTATTTATACATTTATTATACTGACAGAGAAGATGTTGAACTTTGTTCCAGTTTTTGTTTCATGTAGATAGACCCAGTAATTAGAAAGATTAATCTTAAACCAGGTTACCAAATCTGCGGTTAAACTGCAAATTCCACCATAGAATTCTGTCTTAAACTAGAGAGATTCTAAAAGGTTGTAATGTCACATGAACACAACCTATTTATTTCTACTAACTAACATTAAATATCTGTGTTTTTTATAGATCTGGATCCAGAAGCTATCACCAAAGCAGATTTCAGAGAGGGGGCGTTTCCTCTGTCCTGGCAGAGTGATGCCAACAGTAGCTGTGGTTATGTTGTGGAGTGGTATGAGGCCTCGTGCCAGCGCAACTGTCCTGTAGAGTGGATTAAAGTGGGAGAAGAAATCACCAACGTGTCCATCAAATCAGGTAACTTCTACATAATCAAGACATGATTATTACATCACTTGTAAAACATTACACAGTATTTATTAAATGGTTTATGTTTTTAAAACTAAAACAGTGGTTCTCAAACGTGTCACAACAAGTACAACCTATGAAAACATTTGGGAAGACTAGTACCACCATATCTAAACTTTCTTAAACAGTCTTAAACTGTACTAATATAGGTCTCAATCACGGCTAAACTAGGATTACACTTTTGCTATACTCTTTAAACAAAAAGGGTAGAATGTGGATTAAACTGACAAAATTGAGGATTGGTAAATATTTGAGTTGCAGAGGAATAGTACACTCATTCACCTTTTCTCCATTTCAAAATTTGTACTGTTTGATGAGATTCCATTTGTCAGTTATTATCTACAGGCATTTTATCAAATGTTTTATTTTTGAACAATTTATTACTATATGGCCAAAGCTCCTTCTCAACGCCCAATCTTGTCAGATCTCAGAAGAAGGGCCGAGACCGGTTAGTGGATAGGAGACCGCTGGGCATTCCAGGTGCCACAGTCATCGTCTCTTTAGATAAGATACTTCACCCACATTGCCTAATGGTGCAGATTGGTAGCCACACTTCCATCAGTCTGCCCCGGGGCAGCTCTGGCTACAATTGTAGCTTAGCATCATCAAGTATGGAGTGAATGAATAATGCACCAAATTATAAAACAACCTTCAGTGTCTTGAAAAGCACTATATGAGACTAATGCATTATTATTATAATATTATATTATATTGAATGTGATTGTAATGGTATATTTAATTTCTGCTTCCAGATGCCTTTGAGCCAGGTGTGAGATATTACTTGTCAGTTTACAGCTGCTCATCAGAAGCCCCAGAGTTACTAAAGCGATGGCAAGGGTACACACAAGAGCTGAGTAAGTTTATTTCAGTTTCAGAAATGAAGTCTCCATTATTTTTTCAATGCTAATGAGTTTTTGTTGGTTCTTGTACAGCTCCTTCCAGTTCTGTACAGCTATCAACCAAACAAGAGGATTCAGATATTGTAATCTCATGGAGTGAAATCCCGTCAACCCACCACAGAGGTTTCCTCCTCGGATACAATGTTTACTTGAATAATGGCTCCCAACTCACACCACTTGGTAAATGCCCATTTTAATCTCTTCAACTAAACAGTGCATACTCATCTTTTCAGAAAATCAATTGACTTCTTCCTGTTCCTAAACTTGACATATTTGTTTTGCTCTTCTTTAATCCAACAGCATCATTATCAAGCCAAGAAAACAGTTATACAGTAAAAGGCTTTCCTCTAGGCAGCTATAAGTTTACTGTGAAGGCATTTACATCGGCGGGGGAGGACACTGGAGGGACGGCTTCAATCACACTAGAATCATCTGGTACATAAATATGATAAAAGTTAATGCTGGTCAAATATTTGCTATGGATTTTCTAATTGTGTTATTTCTTACAGCTGATTGGCTGATTTTGGAAATTCTGGCCACCCTTGGAGTCACCTCTTTAGCCCTCATAATTGTAACATTTGTGTGCTACAAGAAAAGGAAATGGTATTGTGTCTTTATTCAAGTCTAAATCTACTAGTGTAAAAAAATTTGTTTTGACCAGAAATGTTATATTGCTAAGTTATTGATTGACACCGTACTTTCTCAGGGTGAAAGGCGCATTTTATCCAGATATACCAGAGCCCAAATTGCCCAGTGATTGGTCCACACCACGGGTATGTTTTGTCTTTTTTCCTAATGAATTTTGTGAGCTAAATATCTTTTTATAGCAGTGTTTCTCAAAATCTTCAAACCAAGAACAGCCAGTAGAACAGAGTCAGCAGTGCACAGGTAAAAACGCATTCGTGTCTTGGAAATTATTCTCCCGACGTGAAATATAAAAGAAAATAACTAATATAATATCGCCTACAACTTAAATGTCACTGGTGAAAACAACCTGCATAGGCTCATGATGTCTGCACTACTGTCCTATAGTGACCTGCCACATGAGGGGACACGCACACAAACACACACAAACACACACAAACAAACACACACCTTCATCATCGTCATTAACCTGAGAACGCGCGGACCACGTTTCCTTCTGTAGTTACTGCGCGGACACCGCTGTCCTCCCGTGAGCCGCGTGTGGACCGTGTTTTCTCGCTACGCTGCGTAAACCGCACTTCCTCCTGTGCGCCTCTAAACCAGAACTAACACCAAGACTAAAACCAGGACTTATCCAGTCCAGGACTAAACCAGAACTCAAACCAGAACTCAAACCAGAACTCAAACCAGGTCTAAACCAGGTCTAAACCAGGTCTAAACCAGGTCTAAACCAGGACTAAACCAGGACTAAACCAGAACTAAAACCAGAACTAAAACCAGGTCTAAACCAGGACTAAACCAGAACTAAAACCAGAACTAAAACCAGAACTAAAACCAGGACTAAACCAGAACTAAAACCAGAACTAAAACCAGGTCTAAACCAGGACTAAAACCAGGATTAATTCATTCCAGGACTAAACTAGGACTAAAGTAGGACTAAAGCAGGTCTAAACCAGGACTAAAACAAGGACTAAAACCAGTGATCTCATATATAAAGCATTTCTCTATCAATAATATTTTTAATATGGTTAAGGAAAGACTGGACTTTTTATTGTCTTTAAGTAGACAAAAGTTATTATGTTCAGATTTCCTCGTCTTTGCTACTTTACAGCGGTTTCTTATTCATGGAGACTTGGGCTCAACAGCCAATTTGGGGAGATTTGTCAAATAAACAATAAATGACTTTATCAAGTCACTTTTTTTTGGTTCTATATCAGTCTTTTGATCTGCCACAATAATGTAATGAATTTAAATGAAAATACCTCAAATTGAAGGCTTTTCTCAGCAATTTTTAGGTGAGATTAAAATGAGATTAATTAGATTAATTAATTACAGATCATAATTAATTAATCTCTCAATTTTTTTAATCGCATGACAGCACTAATTACTATATTTCTATATATTAAATTTTTACTTGTAGATATACTTTTATATAATTATGCCTTATTTGACACCAGTCTTTTGCTATTTTTGCTGAGAATAAGTTTAATAGATAACATTTATTATCATTGCGTCTTGCACAATGACAATAAATGTTATCTATTAGTTTGAGAACCACTGTTTTATAAGTTAATCATTAGTCCAAATTCCATAAAGAGTAGATAAGCAGATAAGTGCTATTATTTTTCTTTTGCCTTACAGGGGACACTGGATGTAAAACCTTCCCCACATAGTATGGTTCATATTGTGGAAAAACCTGAGTGGGACTCCAGTAAAGAGGTTCTTGTGGTTATACCTGAAGAAGACGAGGATGACGAAGGCCATGGTATCCGCGATGAACCAGTCGACACCGATGAACCAACGTCTCTACGTTATTACAACCAAGTGGTAGACGACCGACCTATAAGACCGCGTTACCCAGACTCCTCTGCTTCCTCTGCATCATCAATGGATTCTGGCCGCACAGATGTGACTTACACTGGTATTCAGACATCTGGATCATCTTTGGTCTTCCAGTCTGATTCACAAAGCTCCTCCGACCAGCCCCATGTTGTCCCAGTGAGCGGTGGGGGGGCGGGTGGAGGTTATAGGCCTCAAATGCAACTTCCACCTGAAACTGACAATACTAGCTTAACTCAGCCTCAGTCATTACCAGAATCGCAAATGAGCAGTTCAAGTGGGTACAGACCTCAAAACAACTGGCAGCTGGACTCTCCCGATGAGGCAGATGAACGTCGAAGTCTCGCCCCCTCTTTGGGATCCCCCACTTCTATTGCCTCCACTCAGTTCCTACTTCCAGACCAGTCCTCAGATGAACCAGCTGAGGAGAAGCACCAGTCCTCCGCAGCATCTTGGCTCTCTAACTTGTTATCAACCACAAAACCATGATTTATTTTTTAAACTAACACCCAATTACAATAACAGGTCCCCCTAATGTAGCAATCTCTTTAAAATTGCACTTTGAAGGATGTAAACAAATGGGTTATTCAATGAAAGCACTACAATGAATTTTACGACAGAAATTCAAATGTAGATCCCTGTTATATTTTTTTGATGTATCTTCTGTATTTTGTTCTCACTCTTATCACATCTGAATTGACTGGAAATGAGAGAAACTGTATATAAACTATGCAGGATTCACTCGTAACAAAGGGACGGTAATAGGGTATTGATAGTTTGCAGTGACGTCATGCTGGGGGTGTTGTATAATGCATTTCTATTAGCCGAATGTTCAGCGGTTTCCATGGTGACACAATGCACACATTAGCAAACATAGACAAAAAAGTTTTAAGACCATTTGAAAACTTAAAAAAAAAATACAAAATGGAGTTAAAGAGCGCATTTTCAGGATCAATACAACCATTCATGGTCCTGTTTAGGTGTTTGAGTTTCAACAAAAAGGCGAGAGTGATTAAACTGTCTCATCATTTCAACATTTTCAATCAGCTATTTCTGGTTTGATCGTGTTTAAAATAAAGATCAGATTAAGTCTAACTTGAGTACAGCGCTTCTAACAGGGTAGTGCTTTCACCTAGCATCACACCCCCAGAGAACGTTGATGATTTCAGCTGCAAAGTATCAGTATAGCTGTTTCCCTTTTTACGTTTAATTCTGTGTATTTTTAAGATGATATATAAGCTACTGAATGATTGGTTTGCAAAATGAATCTGTTGGTTACTGCAGTCAACTGGTGCTCAATCGTATCTGGAATGAGTGGTGAACCCGGTGCCCCTCGTTGAATAAGCTACTCACTAAACTCAAATGTTTTGTTTTTGTAATTTTGTCTTCCGTGAGATTTCATTTTTTTATAATTATATTTTTGTGTTATTTCAAATTCAGGCCAGTGTTCAACTCTGATATGCACTTTCTCTAGTATTACCCCACAATACACTGAAAATCTGTCTAATTTGCCTTATGATACACAATGCTTCCAGCTATTACTCTTTTATTTGATGGCTTCCTCTTACTCTTATGTTACTGAAAATAAAATGTTACATAGATTGTTAAGATGACAGAGAGAAGCTTATGAATGTTTAACGACTTCTCTCAGCATTTTCTTTTTTCTGACAAATCAAAATCTGTGCGAGGTTTAGAGTGACCAAGAATTGCTTTTCAGGCAACTTTCATTAATATTTAGATTAATTTCTGTTATGCTCAGATATTTCAAACAATTTACATGAGCTATCACAAAGTTGTCATAATGAACTGGTCTAGCTGTCTCAAATTATATTTTTTCCCATTGGTTTTGGTTAGACTCTTGCCAGCGAAGAAGCTTTAAACTACTGTGATGTGAAAGGTGACGGCAGTAACAGTAGCTGCACTGGTAACTGACTGGCAGGGACACAGCCTTGACTACTGAAACGATGTATCTCCTTTTAGGTCAAATGGTTCCTATAACGCTGATCTTTATGAGAATGACGAATGCAATGTAAAATTCTCGCTCGTGAGTAGTTTAAAGATTCACAGTGTAACTTTTCTCCATGGAGATGTTATTGCTTTCCACAGTATGACATTAAATCTGTCTAGCTATCTTTTATTTTGTCACAGGTGGTTTTATTCAAATATATCTTGAAAACCTTAAAGTCTTCAGCCCTATTTGCACGGGATTACCTGTGGATCTTTGGTGATTTGTAATAATTGTGAAGGATTCCTGAGATCTTAATCCAGTGCGAATGGGCCATGTCTGTAATTTGTAAATAAAAAATTCAGGTGCAAATTACCTACTGTTTTTCGCCTAACCGAAGTCCTGTACGAATCTGCATCTCAGTGTTTGTTGTTGTAATTGTGCCTCTTTTCTGTCTCTTTTCTCTTTCAATCTCAGTCTGTCAGTAAAATAGACTCATTTACAAACTTTGCTTATCCCGTGCGAATGTGCTGCGAGTAACACAGACATAGGGTGGTAATTTGCAGATTACCACACATCCCCAGGTTGTGTGAATAGGGCTTTACTGTCTGTGTGCGGTCACATTTCCACAGATCTGACCTAAAACACCACCTGCTTGTCTCTTTGAAGATAGCTGTAATTCGAATGTCCCACAGTATGGTATTAATCAAAGTTATAACATCTCCTAGGTGGCAGACTTCACCAGAAAAATTACTGTGTGAATCTTTAAATTAGTTTAGTGGTTGCAGTGAGATTTGATTGGTTTTGTGTACATAAGAATTAGTTGTTGCAGATTTCTTTTTCTTCAATGCCTTGCCTTGGAGATTTCTATATGAACGCTGTGTGTTACAGGATATATGCTTTTATGTTGATTTAGATCAACCCTTTTTATTTTTGTGTGTGAACTGTTCTTGCAATTTGAAGTTCACTCAATGCATTTAACTTGTAATCCACTAATGTATCAACACTAACATTGTAAAAATAAGTGGATAATGAATTGTCACATAGAATGTATTAATGAAACTCTTATTAAATCAACAGTCAAGTGTAAATGGTCTTTATAAAATGTTGTGAGATGTACTAGAGTTCTGATATTGATACTTTGCAGTGGCATCACACTGGGGGTGTTCTACATATAGCTCTATCGGCAGAGTTACCATCGTGGCACACATTAGCAAACACTGTCAAAATGTTTTTAGACTGTCTGAAAACTTACACAGAAATACAAAATGAATTTAAACACCACATTTTCAGGAGCCTGTGATCAATATGAATGTTCATGGTCCTGTTTAGTTGTTTGATTTTCCACAAAAAAAAAAGATGAAAGTGACTAAATATAACTTGCTTGTGCCCCTAATTTTACGCGTGAGACACTTGTATAAGTGCACAAATCATTTCATGTGTTGTAATTCAACCCATGTCAGCCTTTTCTGGTCAGATTGTGTTAAAATAAAATTCAGATTAAGCCTAATTTGAGTAACAGAGCTTCAGACAGAACAGTGCTTTCAATTAGCTTCACACCCCCAGGGAGCATTGATCAGCTGTAAAGTATTAATTGGGAAGTTAAACCTATACTCTTGTCACAGCTGTATTACATTGCTACATTGTGTATTAGATAAGGCCAGAGTATCAACCAATCACAATTCACATAATCACCACACAAGTTAATACAAATCATGTTTTCTGTAAATGCAACCACCTGTGACTTCTGAAACATCTTGGCATACTTTTCCTCTGACCTCTTTGATTTTTTGCTAATCTGATGCATGCTATAGTCTATTAGGCAATATTACTGGCTTAGACCACTGCTTTTACCATATTGTTTATACTTCATACTTAGCTTTAAGCACTAACTCTGGACAACTGTGCATGACAATGTGAATAGTATATGACATGCCAGAAGAAAGCTTTAAACTGCTAACTCTCATACTTGCTACCTGTTGCTGCAATAAAGTTATTTCTCTGAACATCTGTCTGAGGCAGTATTTATTAATACGACTGTTAACTTTATTATTTTAAGACAAAAAATAAATAAACATAAGGACGTTGGACTGAACCAGGAGTCTGAGTCAGGACTCAGCTCGACCAAGAACAGTACTAAAGCATGACTCAGCTAGGACTATACCAGGACTGAACCAAGTCTAAAGCCTCTAAATAGCTCTTACCTTACCTTGCATTGTAGATATCAAAAACTTTCTCCAGTTTAATCAGGACAAAACTGAGGTTTTAGTCATTGGTCTTGAGGCCCAGAGAGATAAACTTTTACCCAAACTACAAGCACAGTCGTTTAACCCATCTCCACAAGTGAAAAACCTGGGCATCATTTTTGACTGTGAGCTGACTTTCATTAAGAATATCACCAACATCATCAAAAATAGGTTTCTGTCACCTAAAAACATAGCCAGAGTCCACTCTATTCTCTCGGGCCAACACGGAGACACTGATGCACACTTTTATCACAGTCAAATAGATGCTGTGTGGTCTTTCAAAAGAGACAGGGTGACCAAACGTCCGTTTTTCCCCGGACATGTCCGTATTTCGCGTCCTGTCCGGGGCGTCCGGGTTTTTTTTTATGAAGTGGTGCAAATGTCCGGGTTTTCAGTACCGTTCATTGGGGGCATTAAACTGAGCGTCTCTCGTAGCGTCTGTGACTCAGAAGGAGCGAGCAAACACAAACAGTCGGTCAGTCTGCAACATACTAAAGCACAAATGCGCATTTAACAATGACTTGTACAAGAAATTTCCGTTTTCCGTCCCGGTCGAGACAAGTGTGCACAGGTTGTGAGGTGAGAGTGCAGTGTTCCCTCGTTTATCTCAGGTGTTACGTTCTAAAAATAACCCGCGATAGGTGAAATCCGCGAAGTCGTCAACTTTATATTTTACAATTATTCTATCTGTGTTAAGGCTGTAAAACCTCTCATCACAAACTTTATACACTTTTCTTAGACAGGGCAGGTGCAACCCTTTTTACTTCCTTCTTAAAACTTGTTGCTGCTGTCGTCCTTGTGTTATTTTCCTCCTTCTTTATGTAACAAACTGAAGATTCACTTCACTACACAGCACTTGACTAAGACTAGAGGGCAAGACTACATTACACCGTTTTTAAAAATCAATGCACTGGCTCCTTGTAAGTTTCAGGATCGATTTTAAAGCTATTTTACTGATTTTTAAATGTCTTAATGATCTTGGACCTTGTTATCTTTCAGAACAGCTTTTACCCTATGAACCCTCGCGGACCCTGCGCTCCACCGGCAGCAGGTACCTGGTCATTCCCAAAGTCAGGACTCAGAGAGGCATCTTTCCAGCACCACACCCCTTGTCTATGGAACAAGCTGCTGAAGGACCACAGGGCTGCAAAGAACATTAATGTTTTTAAGAGCTTCAAGACCCACCTTTTTAGATTAGCTTTTGAATGAAATGTTATAGTTTTACCTGTTTTTTTATTATACATATTTGATTATATTTATTTATTTTAGGCATACTGACTATTATCCTGAACTCATATTCTTTATCAATTTTAGGATTTTGAGTGTTTCCTCTGTAGGAGCCCTCTGTACCAGGAGCGATGGTCGGCTGAGGCTGCTGGGGTCTGTCTTGTGAGCTCCTGGTGGAGGTTGGTGCTTGGGCCTCATCTCTCCCCTGGGCCCCTCTTTGCTCCTGGTGTAGACGACTGTTCTGGTGGTGCTTTCTCAACGGGTTCACCTTTTATATATTTTACCATTTGTGTGAGTGTGTGTGTAGACAGACTAATAATAAGATCAAGGATTACTCAAACATACGTGAATGAAACAAAACACAACTGAAGGTATGTTTTTATGAGGAGGTAACAGCATTCTAACATATCTTAACGCTCACAAGAGTTAATTTTGTGTAATATAAGACCTTTAAGTGTCACGACGTAGTTTTTTTTTAACCTAAAGAGGCTGCTGGAAGAGTTTCTAAGAATAGTCATCCCCTGTTGACATTGTGTGAAATAACACTGTCCCCGGTCGGTGTATTAGATGTGTAAATGTGCAGTTTTCCATTTGAGACGACAGGGGCACTGATCCTGGGTCTGCGCTCTGCACCCACGGGTCCTCGCGCTCCCCCGTGCGTCTGTCTGCGCCGTGGTCACCATAGCAACGATCAACAACGCGTGAGTATCTGTGCGCAGAGCTCGCGCCTTCTGTGGAATAAACAAATACGAGCCCATCGTTTTCTTTCGTGAATTATTTTTCTAAGAAGATGACGGACATGTTGTGCAGGTGGCTGAACGAAGAACTGCGACTGTCTCAAGTTGTTGGTAAGTTTTAAGTAAAGTGTGTTTAGTCGAGGTGTTGGTGGTGAACTGTTTTAGCTAGCATTCAGGGAAATTTACAGGCCAGCGATATTTACTGGTGAACCGTTTTTTTTTTTTTTTTTTTTTTTTTTTTTTTTTGTGGTTGGTAATAATAAATTTGTGAAACGATTGCAATTTATGTCTCTCTTTGCTGTTGGTTGGTATCAAGTTGGTCAAAAATAGGGACACCTAGGACATTTTTTTTGTATAAAACTGTGACAAATCACGGGTTTTGGATAAATCTGCTGGGACAGAGGACACAGGACTCAAAACTGGGACTGTCCTGGGTAAATAGGGACGTCTGGTCACCCTAATGTAGTTAGCTAACGTCATGTGAAAGAGATAGTGGGGGCTGCTTTAAAAATCTGAGTCTTTAATTTTTGTTATTGTTTAAGATTTCACCTTTTGCTAAGGCATAAAAAATATTATTAACTATTAGCCTATTCATTAGCCATAACGTTAGTAGTAATAACTATTTAACAATAGTTTTAATGTCAGCTCCTTCAACTGCTGAGTCACACAAATGGTGAATATTGAACATCTCTCAATTCACTAAAAACTACTGTCCTTACACTGTTTAGTACTTTTTTTTTTTGGCTCTGCCCCTCTTAAACTGTTTGCACTACTTATGCTGCATTTTGATCTTGATTCATTGTTAGAAAAGCCTATTACATGTTTGTGTGTTTTTACAGAGCCAAAAACCTTTGCTAAGGCTTTTTCCAGTGGCTATCTATTTGGTGAAATCTTATATAAATACCAGCTGCAAAGTGATTTCCACATGTTCATGAAAAAAGAGTAAGTTCTGTTGTCTTTCAAGATTGTGTTAAATTTATCCCTTTGCGTATTTAATCTTATATTACATTTTGTTCCAGGAGATCAATATCAATGTTAAACAACTTTACTCGACTCGAACCATCTCTCCATTTGCTGGGAATTTCATTCAGTACAACCACTGCCCAAGAACTGATGCAGGAAAAGCATGGGGTGGCTGCACACCTCGTACAACAGCTTTATATTTCCCTGGAAAGAAAGAAGAAAGCAGACAGTAGTGGAGCAGACATAAAAGGTGTGCAATCTGCTGCTGCTGCCAGTCTGCTCAGAAAAGAGCATGACATCCACCATAATGTAAGAAAACAATACGCTGTAAGGTTAAAATTGTTGTAATGACTTAAAATGAGGATGAAAAATGTCAAATATTGTTAAAACTGTATGAAATACTTCTTTTACCATCATGAAATACAGGTTAACCTTCAAAAAATTTCAAAACCTTATGAAGATAAATTCCACCAGATGGGCAGATCTATTGTGGGCACTGATGTTAAGCAAAAGAAGGTGCTAGTAAGGCAAGAGGAAAAGTCAAAGAGGAATTATGACCCGGTAATGCCATATCAGTGACTTTTTAAATCAGTACAATGTTATTTATTTTGTGTCTATGTTCTAGTTCCAGATTTCCATTGTTCAAGCACCAAAACCTCCACAGTTATCACTTAATCTAAGGAAGCAACAGCAATGGCAAAAGAAACTAGCACAGGTCTGTCTCTCATGTGGGCACATGTAATAAGTAGTAACGTTTCCACAAATTATTTATTTATTCTTATTTTAAACTCATTGTTCTCTCTGCAGGATGTTCAGAATGAAATCGCTCAGTTTGAAAACAACAGAGTAAAACTGCCTTCTTCTTTAAGGTTAGGTATTACCTTTGAGCTATGTACTCCTTCAACTCAAAATTTAAAAAAAAAATGTATTGTTTGAATTATTGAACATTTTTGTGTGTTGGTAACTTACAGGCATCCAGATGAGTGTAGTTTGTTTACTGAGGGCCCAAGAGTTGTGTCTAAACCAGTGCCAAACAGTGTGTACATACAGCAAATCAAACAGAGACTTAAAGAAGATGCACATGATCGCGAGAAAAGGGACAAAAGGCTTGACAGATTCCTTATGGAGCAAACAAAAGTACGGGAAGCGGAGCAGGTAATGATTTAAATACAATATGCATTTCTTAAACCAAACCAGTATACTGTATTTTTTAATCAATGCAATTGTACAGAATACAAAACATGAAGAGTATCTGCTGAAGCGGTTTACACGTCCAACAAAGCAGGAGCAGCGCCTTGTAGCACAACTTCACCAAATCAGAAAGCAGAAGGAGGTCATCACCAATAACCGTTTATTCAGAGAGGAGCAAATCCTGCAGAGGAAAGAGAAGGACTTCCAGGAAGCACTGAAGAGGGAGGCGGTGAGATAGACTGACAATGAAGACCAATACTCCTCTCTGTTTCAATCTGTCTCATATCTGTCAAAATGTTATTGATGTGAAGGTGAACAGTAGAGAATGCATACAAACCAGAAAAGATGTTATAATATATCAGTCGTAGCTAAGGTGAGACAGAAATGGCTCACACATAGATTCAGTGTTAACTCCTGTGTAAGGTCCAGACTGTGGTATTGTTGGTGAAATCTCAGTTTCACCAACAACAAAAAAAAAAGCACTTTATTATTTATTCTGTGATTTGTAAAATAAATAACTTATTTTCAATCTTTCATCTTCTTTTCTCTATATACCTTATTACTGAACATATCAAATATGTAATCTCTCATTAAAATCTGTGCTAGGTATTAGATGGACAGGAAAAGATGGCCCGTGCAGAAGAGATCAAAGGGGACCTTGACTTTTGTAAAAGACTGGCTGCTGATCGAGATCAGATCATGTACCAGAAGCATTCAGAGAGCTGCAAGGAAATAGTGGAACAGATAGTGGATTTGGCCACGAAGGTTGGAGAGTACCATCTCCTTTATGGGAAGTATGTAACAGTATACAGTATTATCAAATGTAATTATAATCTCTATTTCACTCTTGGGTCTATATTTTCCCCTTGCAAGGAAATTTAAATTGGGGAATGATTATGAGTGCCCTGCCTGGGTGTTATCAGTTAACTGGCTATTTTTACTTGGATAGTGATACTTGAACTTTTGGCTATATAATATAAATTCTATAAAAATTGTTTTCTGAAGCCAAACTTCAAAACTGGGATTTAAATGTGCTGTTTTGGCTTTTTTCATCATTTTTGGCTTTTTTCATCATTCTTGGCACACGTTCAGTCCAGTCCCGGGGAAACAAATAAAAGAATGGAAGGAAGTGCTGTTCAGTGGCCTGCCTCTGTATGAGCCTTCAAATGTGGGCGAGAGCTCTGACAACACAGATCCTGTAGAGCTAAAGAAGCACAACATACTCAACAACCTGGACTATGATGAATATATTGTGAGTTATGCATGATTGCAGTGGACTTTTACTGTGCCTTCATTACAATATGAGACAAGAGCCAAGAATGTTTTTGCTTATAAACAGTTTTGTTAGAACATGACAGGTGCATGGGTATGGCCTGAAGAAGCAGGGGAGATAAAGTTACCTCCGACCAATAACCACATTCTGGGACATGTGGTCGCACGACTTAGGAACCTGGTCCATACACCATGTGAAAAACCAGCTGAAGCCCCTTTCCCATATTTCAGCCTCAAGGCCTGTGTTTTGGGCAAGTTGTGCTCTGGAAAAACCTTCTGCCTGGCTAAGATTGCACAGGGTATGAACGATAAACAATAACACACTTTACAACTTGTGTATTAAAACTAAGCACTCCTCTTGTTTACAATGTCTTTTTTTCATCAGCTCATGGCTTCTATGTACTATCAGTCCAAGAACTGATTAGCAAAGCATTAAATGAATACAAAACTAGTGAGACGGTATGTAAAACAGAATAGACATAATTAAATGCAGTTGGCTAAAACATATTTGATTTTCTTAATGTACTACACAACAACCAAACTTACAACCAACTATTTCTGTTACAGGTCACAGAGCAAGACCTGCTGAACAGTGAGAAAGAGCCCACAAGAGATAGTAAGAATAAGCACCATTACCTTAACGACAAAAATCTTGAGGTAACTTTCATAAACTGGACATTATAATTGAAATACATCTTTTGTGTGTTTCTTTTTACTAGGTGAGGAATTGCCACAAGATATAAGCAGTATCAAGGTGTATATTTTAGTTCATATTCACAACTATTCATAAGTAAATCCTGCTTGACACTATAAAAGATTATATAGAATGTGTTTTGTTTCTGTACCAGCTTTCCACACTGGCTATGCTTGGACGAGAAGCAGAAAAAGCAATGATGGAAGGAAATAGTTTGCCCTTTGAGTTGCTGGTAAAGATCATAATAGCAGCCATACAGTAAGTATTTTCTTTTTATTATTTTCATTGTCTTTTTAAATGCACAGAATAGTATGTCATTTCTACTATAAACAAATTTCTCTTTATGGTTACCAGGAATATTCCAGCTAATTCAGGTTGGATTTTGGATGGCTTTCCTCTAAATATGGATCAGGCACGTTTCCTAGAGAAGGCTCTTGGTGGGAATGTAGAGAGAGAGGACTGTGCCGTTATAGACAGTCAGATGAACCTTGCTGTAGATCCAGACCCTCCTAAAACCCCCCCACCTCGGCCCCCGGCTCTTGACCTGGCTCTGTTCCTAGATGTCTCCGATGACTGTGCTGTCAGCCGTGCAGTCAACCGAGCATGTGTGTACAGTTTAAAATTAACACATTTTTAGTATTTTTAGCATAATATGGAGAAGTATGAAAGTCACATTGTCAGTTTTTAGAGTTATGATTATTGTGAAAAGAAACAATTTTAAGGCTATTCCTTATTAATTAAAAAAAAAATAAAATCCATGTTATCTTCATTCAGATATTGTAACTCACAATGTTTGTTTACCAACTTCTTACTTCTTACTACTTTATTTTATTAATTATGATTTTGTATTAAACAAGTAATGTTGAGAACCATTGGAGGACTTAAACTTAATTTATTAATGTACTTAATCTTTTTTTTTTTTTTTTTTTTAACAGTTTTTATTTATTTATTAATTTCAAAATGCATAAACCTTTTTCTCTGGCTCAGATGTGGCTGCTACAGACTCTACACCTGATTACTTATACATGGCACAGATCCCACACAGGTAGCAATCAAAAAAAATATATATATATATATTTTTTTTTCCCCTTCACATAACTTATGTGTATATATCTTTTTAACTCAAGGATTACGGATTTTAAAGAAACTTGGCCAAGCCTTGAAAACTGGTTTGGGACAAAACAAAAGATTTTGATTCGTGTTGATGCAAATGTTGATGAAGAGGAGCTTTTTAATCAAGTAGAGTCCGTTCTTCTGCAGGTGAAAAGACCTCATCCAGAAGGTAACTTTTGTTTGTTTGTTGTTTTTTTTTAACATCCCTGCATGCGTAGGTTCATAGCTTTTGATTGTATTGGTAACTATCCACATGACCTATGCGTTATATACACATAATTCTACATATTTTGCCATTTCCTTTCTATTTAGGCATTTTGCTTTTTATCCACCATATTTTTCCAATCTGTTATAAATGGTTTTTCACAGTTGCTGCCACTCTTCCTGTTGATGTTGTGGTGTCAGATGGAGGAACAGACTCAAAGGGCTTGTCTAAAACACCTTCTCTGGACCAATCCTCAAATCAGGAATTAATAGTGAATCTGAAACCTGAAACTACAGAGTCCAGTATGAGTCTCAGTACAGAAAAGGAAGAAAATTGGAATATTCAGATGAGCACAGACAACTTAGAAGGTATGCAAGATTTTGGCTACAATTTGTAGCCAAAATCTTTTTGAATTGTGATTATTATCATTTGTAGCCTACAAATGATAATAATCACAATTCATCAAATGTGTTACTGCAAAACTATGTTAATTAGATCTAATTATACATCTATCTAAGCAACATTTTGACTTAAATACAAAAGAAAGAGAAAGAGAGATACTTTATTAATCTGTCATTTACATGGTCTCCATGGATACAGGAAAAACAAACTGCTCATTTCAAAAAATCCAACAGTCCCTTACTCATGTCCTTTGAACTGCACTTCTTAGCTTGTTAAAATCCCATGATGTGATGTTAAAAATTGAGGTCAAAAAGTAAAAAAAAAAACAATCTGCTCGCTCTGGGAGCCAGGCAGTCAGAAAAGTAGCCAACCACTCTTTTGTTATAGCTCAGATATATACCCAGCAAATTCAAGAGTGTTAATTCAACTCGTATATTGTTAATTTTAACACTTTTACCATGTCATATAGGGTCTACAATAACTTCATACACTTTCCAAAGTGTAGAAGGCTCAACACTGGTAAAGTGATGTAACCACACTAATTGAATTTGACACTGATTAAGATTTTATTTTTTTTACACTAGTGTATAGTGAAAAACTAATAACTCTATTAGAGCCCGACCGATATATCGGCCGGATGATATTATCAGCCGATATGGGCACCTGGGGGCATATCGGCTATCGGCCAATATGGCTGCTGATAGGGGCCAATATTTCACATGGTCATGTTATACCTTGTTATAAATCTTAAACGCTCTACATTATGTTAATTTAATCCAATTTACAGACAGATAAATGTCCTAATATGTGGCTCCGCATCAGTATTAATCTGCGGTGTAATTTGTCTGTGTGCGTCCATACTGTCCCTGAACACACCCCCAGAGTGACGTCACTCACGTGTGTTTGTTTACACCCGCAGACATAGATCCAAACACTGTGATTATATTCTTTTTACGGACAATCAGTTTGATTCTGGATTAAAAGGACATTTATTAGTACAGACTTGTGATGTGAGGAGTTGTGTGAGCGGTGAGTGTTGGAAATGTGTCAAATTTGAAGCTAGTTTTGGTTATTTGTTTATTGGTTAGTTGCTCCCGCACATAAACAGGCTGTTTTCTATTGGCCTATTGTAAATTGACTACATTGGCCGTATATTTGTTACCGGAGCTGCATTGATATGTAAATGAGCTGTGAATAGAGGTGTGAATTTTGACATGTAAGCATATAATTAATTACCGCGGCATGCAGCATTTATGGCTAAAGGCTAATAGCGGTAGCTTACTTTCTTTACTAGCTAGTAGCGATGGGTCGGTCGCGAACGCGAACGAAACGGCTCTTAGAGTCGGCTCTCTGAAGCGAACGACAAGAGCCTGCTCCTTATTGGGAGGCGAGTTTTCTCTTTCTCTCGCCCTCTCTCTTTCTCTCACTTTTTTTCTCTTCACATTGTGTGCAGACTAGTGGTAGTTTGACAGGGGCAACGGCTGAAAATGAAACTTCCAGAAATCTGCGTGTGCATAGGATAGAAAAAAACATGCATATTTGGCTGTAGTTCATCATAAAATAAATAAACCAGGAATAATCTTGGGCTTGAGAGAGGGAGAGAGATAGAGACCGAGTCCCGACACTCAGTCCTGGTTCAGTTTTGGTGTAGTCCTGCTTTAGACCTGCTTTAGTCCTTGGTTAGTCCTGCTTGCAACAAAACTATCTAAAGAGCCGCTTGGGAGCCGAAAGAGCCTAGCCAAAAAGAACTGGAATACCCATCACTAGTGTCTAGAATGTGATGCAAAAATGCCATTAGGTCGACCTACTGTCTGTAAATATGAAGCAAAGAGGCAGAATAACAATAAATGTTGCCTAAATAAACCCAATTTAAATCCACTAGAGCCAAATCTAAGTTTTTTAAACAATTCAAGATTTACAGTGAATTTTTACATCACTAAATATATCGGTGATTATATCGGCTATCGGCAGCTCCAACTCCCATTTTATCGGTTTCATATCGGCCACAACAAAATCCATATCGGTCGGGCCCTAAACTCTATATTGTTTTGTTTTAACACTTAATGAAGTAGAAATAGTGTAAAGTGTTCTTCATGTTACACTATTCAATAGTAACTCTTTCTTCTCTAAATACAGTGTAAAAGCTGTGGTCATTCTAGTTCATAATCCCTTTTACAAATGTAAAATAATGAAAACCACAACAAAATCTGATTTCAATTTAACAATGCACATCATACAATCAACACAATTTAAACAAGTCATACGACACAATAATATTTTTGCAAAATTCAACTGACAGCCAGAAATCTCTGTGCCCTCAACAGTTGGTCACAATGATTGTAATTTATTTGATTAAAGTTGATTTTTAAATGCAAGAAGTTTTGAATGGAACTGAGGCATGCTCATCTCCAAAAATGAGAGGAGCATGTCTGACTGTTTGAAAGAAGATCTTCTCTCCATTATATAAACATAATAATGTTCACAATAGAGGCAGTCCTGCTAATTATGAAATATTAATATTGCAGAAACTTTTTACCTCAAGAGTCAGTCTTTCACTCTTGGGGTTTCTTTTGACACATCCAACGTCCATGTTGTAGACAGTTCTTTGAATACAGATGTAAAGTTTGTGAGAGTCTGAGGACCAAGTGCCTCCAAATGCTCACCAAATTCATGTGCAATATATTGTGCAATATTTGTATGGAACAATTTAACAATTTTGCTAATTATTTATCATTGTATGAGTTTTACTCATCCCTACACTTGTGTGGGTAATTTTAAATCTAGATCATCTTAATTTATGTTTATTACTGTTGCCATTTTTCAATTTGTCAATTAACGTGTAAATATTCTTTAACAGAATCCTCTAAAATGGCCTCACTCACCAATGAAAGCAGCTCACAGTTTTTTGATAAACCACTACCACCAGTAAGACAATACTTGCAAACATTTTTAATGCTGAATTTGTTTTTTTTCAAACCTCTGCTTTTGGGGTATCTTAAATAACAGGGAATTCCAGAGCCTCTCTACCTTCATTGGAAGAAAGTGTGTGAAATGTACGTGAACAACATAAAGGCGGTTTTACAAGAGCTTCGCCTAGAAAGAATAATGATAAACCAGCACTTTTTCAACATCAAGTAAGCTCTGATCTTGTTCAAATCTATTTTTCATTTGGTAAATATGTAGTCTCTGCTTCTTTGTTGAGACTTATTACTTTATTGTCTTTGCAGAGAAGAGTATAAACATTATTTGGGTCGACCAGACTTAAGACAGGAAGTAGTTTCTCAGTGGCAAAAGGATTTCAACAGTGTGGCTGACGACATGAGAAGCGATGAGGAGACAAAAGCAGAGCTGCACCTCAGGCTTCATGTACCAGCATTTAAAACAGTGACATATCTTATGTATTTCTTACTTTAATTATTCACTTTTGTCTGTTTATTTTTAGGAACTTTGTGAACATTTGAGGAACATGTGTGAAAAACGTAAAGAAGAAAATGAACAGGAAAGGGCTGCTATAATGGGGGATGGATGGTTGTCAGATCACACCGCTCTGCTGGTCAATTACCACTCCATACTTATGCAGGTTCACATATTGTTTTAGCACAACATAATTATATTCATTTTGTTTATATCATTATCATTATTTTTTATTTTTAATCTATGTTATTTTAGGTGGAGTTGGACCGGTTTCAGGACACATTTTGTCTTCTTAAAACATATTATTTGAGTGTAACTAACAATCCACTGGCGGAGCTGCCATCAAATCTAACCACAATTTCTCTACTGGACATTCCAAGCATACAAGCTTTGGAGACACAGTCCCAACATGGTGAACATGACCAGGTATGATATCACATGCAAAAACAATACTTTTTAAGGCCATTAGTACTTATTTTAGATTTTAAAATGAGATGCATATATGTTTAATTGTTTGGGGGTTTTTTTTGTATTTAAGCCCCAAAAGAAACTTCTAGATGATTATGAAGATGCAGTCACAGCTGTTAATAGTCTGGTAAGTACTAGAAGAAAAGAGATTGTTTGTTGATTGTTTGAAGAGATTGTGTGCTATAGAAAACTTTCTTTGCGTTGTAGTTGCCAGCAGCAGCCCACCAGAGGGAGGTAGAGACAAAGCCGACTGACAAAGCACAGGAGAAGCCTCCAGGTGTGGACAAAAGCAGCAAAAAAGCTCAGTCTGCGAAGAAAAAGAAAGGTATAAAAGGTTTAACTGGTACAAATTTTGAGACCTCCATATATTATGAGTGAGTTCAACTGAAAAAAACTGGTTTTGGACCACTTGTTTTTGTATGAGCAGTGTACAAAAAAAATTATATTTAAGTAAATGTAAATTATTTCAACATCAATCTGTCTCTTTTTTAATTTGTAAGGTGATCCATCTCCACCTCCAGCATCAAGCCCTGAACCTCCTGAAGTCAAACCCACAGAATATGCAGCAGCACTGACTCATGAGGGTATGAACTCTCACACATTTATGTTCTTACTATTTAAAAGGAGATTCCTGAGTTAATGTTTGGTTTGATATTATTTTTGTTCATATTTTCTCCAGAGGAAACTGCAAAGGTACGGTTTGCCCAGGTGAAAAGTCATGGATTAAACTTGGTAAATTTTATTCAACAGAGCGCAGGAGAGGCTTTCAGCTGTATGGAAAAGTGGCTGAATGACAATTTTCAGAATGAAATAAAGAGGTTTTTGTCATAAATATTACAACATTTTAAAAAATATTGTTGTTGGTTAAGCAGAATGACTCAGTAACATTTACATGTACTTTAGCATTGAGCAGCTCGCAGAAGTGGTGCGTCATCACATAGAATCTGGAGCTAAACTGCTGAATGAGCTGGTTTTGGTGAGTTAAATCTAAATTAAGAATCCAGTCAAAACATTTTTATTAAACATGCTTTTCTTTGTTTCTGTTTCTTTGACAGGATTGTACTCATTTCTGTATTAACGGCGACTACCAAATGGTGGCTTTGCCATCTCCTCCTTCTCGTCCTCCATCTTTTGAAAAACCTTCACAGAGCACCCTGTCTATCATTCAGCTAGAATCTCTTTGCCAACAGTTCAGACATGTAGCTCCTAGTGGTAGGTACTACCACTACCTACTATTCTGTTCTATTCTTTATGTTATAATGTATCCTTTTATGTTCTAGGACTCCTGTCCAGTTTGGAATTTCTGACTTTTCTTAAAGATGTAATGTCTGCACACAAGGGAAGAAACACCCTGCCAGAAACCTGGGTCACAATGACTGAAACACAGGTAATGTAAAAGTATTTAGTAAAATTTACCTAACCAAATGTGCGATAAAGTAGTACTACACATTGCACATTGTCATCATAGATATTTGAGCACGTCAGTATTAAAAATGTAAACACACAATAATTGTGTAATGTGTTGGAAATTAGAAACAGAACGTTTCATGATTTGAGCAGTATGTTCATTTTACAAGCAAATACTGACATACTTTCTTTGCCCAGCTGGTGGAGATAGTGGCTTCTCTTAAAGATAAACATGACCTTGTGGATTGGCGGAGGTTTATGCTCGGCTGTGCCCTCCCATGGCCGTCGCCGTCGGTAACACAGCTGCTGGACGCCTTGAGAGAGTTTAAAGCAGCAGATACTAAAAACAAAGGATATATTAGTGAGCGACAGTTTCTACAGGTTGGTATTTTCTAATCAAGTAGTGCAAGAAACAGTTACCACACTAACCTCTTCTGATACATGAAATATTCTTAATGAAAATATGACATGTTCAAAAAATGTAATACTTTCTTTTCATTTTAATTTTACACTTTGTTTTTCTAATTATCAGACCCAGATGTGGTTTCGTAAAGAGACTGTTATGGAGACACCAGACGACCTTTCTAAGCCACTACCTTATAATCGCTTCTCTAACCTATTTCAGGTATGCTATTAATAACTACAATTTCACAAACTTTCTGTCTTATCAAAGTATCTTTTGAATTATTATGTGACTATGGGGGCTATTTTAACTATAATGTACAATTGGTTAAGTTTATTTACCATGAAGATTCTGTCTCAGAGACAACTGAACAGTCAACACTATACATGCATTTGAACTTAATGAGTAGAGAGAATAGGAAGAATTATGCCACAATTAGACAATGTTATACCAAGGGATAATTAAAGTGTATATATGCGTTCTGTGAGACAATGTTAAACTTAAATGCATGCATAAATAAAGAATACATTATCTAAATTCTCTTACATTTTACAGTTCTTCTTCCGGATGTTTGCGGACCACTCCTCCAGTCCACCGCGTCTCAACTACACTTCCATGCTCCTGTATTTTTCTGCTGATCCAAACCCCAAACAGGGCTTCGTCAGAGCGCTCAGTGTGGTCATAGGACAGCATCTCAAACAGTCATCAACAACACAGCTTGTCAAGGTACAAAATATATCAGCTGACTATCAAAGGTATAATTTAATAGAGGGCTTCTGATTGGTCTTTGACTCTACACTGTACACTGTAGTACTGTAATTGATACTTTGCAATGGTATTTTTCTACACGTATTACTATCACGGAATGTATCTGCTGTTACGATGTTACCATAAGCAAACACTGCCAAAAATGTTTTAAGGTAGTCTGAGAACAAAATGGATTTAATTCAACATTTCAACATTTTCAGTTTGTGGTTAAAACGAGCACTGCAAAAAAGCTTGACCAAAATTTAAGACATGAACACTTAAATCTATGAGAAAATGAAATTAAAATAAACTACCTCTAGCCTAGAATTAAGCAGTCTCAGAACTAGTAAGTAGATAATAAAACTGAAAACAAGATGAAAAAACTGATATAAGTTTTAAAATCTTGGCCAGGTCAGAGAAATTTGCAGTGAGCATTCATGGTCCTGTTTAGGAGTTTGATTTTCAACAAAAAAAGGTGAGAGTGACTAAAACTAGCTTGTGACTGTAATGTTATGGGAGGGGCATAGCACAAATCAGCTTACCTATTGCAGTATTGTGATTTATTTTCACCAGTATTTTTTCCACACTCTATACTTATATAAGTCTCTTAAGTGACAAAGCTTGACCTGTTTGATTAATGTGAGTCTGATTTTCTTCTGTTTCAGTCAATGCCCAGTTTAGATGAAGTTCCAGAGTTCAGCCCCATAGACCTGGATGTAGATTACAGCCTCTCTGAAAATCACTCATCAAACACTTTATTGGGAAACCAGAAAGTGTCTATATCTGCTCTTCTCACAGTCATGGGCCACAGCAGCATCATCACAGACAGCCAGACTGAGTATGCAAAGGTATAGCAATACTTCCGTACTTAAATACTTCATAATAACACAGGTTCTAAAGCAAAGATAGTCATATGGACCAGGTTTTAAAGTAGCCTGATTCATCAGCCGGTTTCACTGAAACCATCTGACCTTGCAGCATTAGGATTCGTTCGCTCGACAGTAGGCAGGTACTTTTTTAATTTAACCAGTCGCTGCTATTTGGTCGTGACGTATGTAATGCACCGCTAACGGGGCTAACTGATATATTAAGCTTTTCCCAAATCCCATAGGAAGAAGGACAATAACATCTTTCCCCTTGATAAAATTCACCAAACATTCTCTTTGTTCCGTCTTTAAATCTTTGAATGTATGGCTTCGTCCATCTCGACCGCTTTGTTTACTGTTGTACGGTACCACAAAAGGGACTCAGACAGGCGCTTGAGTTTGATGTCACGGCTTCACAGCTCTTCGCTGATTGGCCGGTGCGTGATCTACAACTTCGGGGTTCTTGCAAGCTGTATATTTCGATTCCTGACCTAGTCGCTAGAGGGAAATGAAACTGAGCGGAACACAAAACCCACTTTTTTGCAACTAAACTCTGTGTATGTGGTGTTTGAATAACATTGTCTACTGTTCCTAGTTATTTTTTGACAATTTTAGTGGAAACAAGGTATATTTGTAGCTTTCTGGAAAAAAAAAGTTTTTAAACAATGAACAGGTTGGTAATAAATAATAGTTGCAAACATCTTCAAAGCTGAAAATGCTCTGTTCCACGTTTTCAAGTTCACAACTACCTTTTATCTTTTGTTCAGTCATTGCTTGTGAATGAGACATTACATCAATTTATAAAAACAAAAAACACAATTTATTCAAATTTATTTGCAGTTTGTCAGTGTGTATGAAGAACTGGGGTACGGGGCGGAAGAGTCGATCCCCTTCTCTGTCCTCTCCACACATTCACTCATACAACACCTCATGGAGACATCGACACAGCACCAGCTCGTGGTAAGTATTCACAATATGTTTAGTTTTAGCCATATCCATATTTATAATGTTTTAACAAGTGTCCTCTTTGTTTTCCCACCGTCCCTTCTCTTTCAAACCTTTTTTGTTCAACTTTTAGAACATTTACCAGTTGCTGAACAATGGCGGAGATTGCTACATGTCAAAATAAAAATCCATATATTTTTTTAAAACTAAATTGAATGTCTTCCGAGATACTGTATACAAAGAAACATCAAATAAACTTCCCTATGACTGTATCCCCGATTGAATTAATTAATAAGAGGTGTTGCCAACTAGTTTTGAGTGTGGATTCTTTGATAAAATTATGTAACAACCTCAATATAATTAAAATGACCACAGTAACAATTTGTGCTATAGATTCGACCTCCATGATCGACGCTGGTTTTGGCGGATACACTCCAGTAGTTTTTCTGACTGACTTGCTTTTCTAATGACCCCTCTGACACTGAGGCACTGGTCACCGCCACAAAGAGGGCATTGTCCAGGATAACCTACATGTCAAGCCTGACTTGCCAGCAACGGCCAGCCAAAGAACTTATAACCCCATCGGAGCCTTTGAGATGTCTGCCAAACACGCCACTCTGATACTGATAACGAAAAAGTAATTAACAAATGAAAAGTTTATTTGCAAAAAACAGAAAAGCGTCATAATCGGAAGCTAGTTGTTTACTTATTTAGTCATATTTTCAAAAGCCAAATCTATTTCACTGTTAACAAAATATTATTCTGTTCATTCTTGTTTAAATCTACTATAGACTGTCATTGCTAATAACTCCAGAACACAGTAACAAAAAGGCAATTTTTAAAAACAGGAGATATCTGTTTTTGCTATTCATTAATATTCTTGAACATATAATTCTTATGTGTGTATCTGTGGGTTTCAGAGTGATGAAAAATTATGATCATTGCCATAGGAACTGGTGAATTAAAACAAAATGCTATGTCTTTTGAATGGTGAAAAGCCAATTACAGAAAGCTGAGACCCATGATTAAAGGAAGATATACATATTTTTTATATTTTATTTCCTGGTGTAAGATGACATAAGGTGAGAAGTAGGTGACTAATTGTTTTAATTTTTTTAAGTTACTGCTACGAACACATTAACTAACCCAAAACATTTTCTTTAAACTAACCCATAACCATTTTCATAACCTTAAACTAAATCTTGTTCCTAAACCTCATAAGACCTTTACCTTAACATTACCTTAACCATAACCAAACTTCTAAATCCTGGTCGAGCAGCAGACAGTCCCTCCGGAGCTCCATCCAGCATTAAACGTAAAACCTAAAGTTGAAGACTAACAAATGTACAAAGTGAAGATAATTCTGAGCTTAAGGTTAGGTTAGAAAAATATATCAAATAAAAAAAACAAAACAATAGAAACCAGCCACAAAAAAATCTTGATTTTTGTTCATTAATGTGTTATGGATTTCCGTTGTTCTTTGAAGCCCACGCAGCCCCCTCCCCATGAACCCCAACTCTCTCTTCTCTCTTTCCCTCCCTCTCAGCCCAGTGCTTCTGTCTGGCATCACAGAGTCAACGCATGAACCCAGAAATAAGGAACACACTCTATGGATTTCTGTTTTAGTTGATTCCATCTAATATTTGGCTGTGAAACTCCAGGGAGCTCTTTGAGAAATTAATAGAAATAGCTATCACAACAGTGCATCAATTTGCTAATATAATATCAAGTGACATTTTTTTATTTTGTAATTTAAGTTTTAAGTGCTCAGTAAATACTTTTTGTACTGTATGATGGCGGTGGTATTTTGGACATGTTCAATTTTACTGACTCTTCAGGGATTGCAGTGTGCCAAGATCTTAACAGTTTGTTTAATTGGTGAGTAACTTAATTTTGTATATATATATTTTTGAAACCGTTTTTAGTCATTGATATACCTGCATCTCTTGACCAAATGTCTCTTGATGGGCTATTTTTTTCTCTTTACAACAGGAGGAAGCCATTATTTATTATTAGATGAGATTTCACATAATCTTCAACAACATGGCCACGATGTGAGAATGCTTCTACAGCTCGGTACCCCACTTCTTACAGGTAACTTATAAACCTTAAATTAAAAACATGTTTCATTTCGATTAATAGACCTCCTGATTTCGCATATACATTTTGCAGGCTTTTCCTATACAGGACATCCACACAGTTATCAGATAAGCACTTGGTCTTTAGGAGAAAAGTATATTCAAGAGTACAACAGCCAGTTCCAGGAGCAACAGACACAGTTCTTATTGGGAAGGTATGAGAAACTACTAAAAACTTGATTTTAATTCTGGCCATTGTGATTTGTCTTTTCTATTAATCAGTTAGAGTTTTAACTGGCCGCAATAGTTGTACTTGTATGTTTTAGAGTATAATTTGTAATATGCTTCTAACTAAATGAGGATTCGGTTATTTTAAAGGGTCCGCGATTTTCTGATAGATAGATAAATAGATAGACAGATGGATAGATAAAAATGTATTGATTGAAAGAAATTCAATTTCCGGCAGCAACAATGAAACAAACATAATAAAAAATACTCTAATAATACCAAATAATTTTCCTTGTGGATCAATAAAGTCTAAATCTAAGTAATACAGCAGTCCATCCTCTTGATTTATGATGATTGATTGATTATGCTGTTTCCTCATCAAAAACATACCTGGTGTTTTGTTTTTAATTCAGATATGTTTCAGTAATGCTATATTATTAATCTGTCTACATCTCCAAAGATCAAAATGCTCTATTCCACTTTTGGAATTTACCTTTTGTTTAGTTGAGATTGGCAATTTCAGGGCTGAAATTATCCAACTGATTCGAGTGAAGGTGTTCGCTGTTTAAACACACATTGGAGGACTTCCTGTATTACCACATGACATCACAAGGTGGAACAGCATTTTCTGTTTGAGAGAAGAACTCAGCCTGAATATGCCGGGTCTGTGTGAATGAAACAAAACCCAACTCCAGGTTTGTTTTTTATGAGGACGCAACATTATAACATTGATCAGAAAATAGTGTGATAAAGACCCTTTAAAGAGAAATACAGCATCAACAATGAATTAACTACAATGTTTGTTTCTGTTCTCAGGGATGCCTTTGGTGGCTTTTTAAAGTTCATGGGACATTTATCCTATCAGTGTGGCAGACTTCTTGAAGACGAAAAGATGATGTCATTTCTGCAAAATGAAAATTATGATGTTGCGGTTCTCGATGCATTAAATCCCTGTTCATTCATTCTGGCACGTAAACTGGGTATGTCATACTTTAAAGGAGCACTGCGGAACCTTCTGCTGAAGGGTCTGCTACACTGAGTGTTGCCATTGAGATGTTATTGCTTTACCTGACATTTTCAACATTAATCAGTCTCACATGTTATTCATGTTATTCAGTCATTTTAAAGCAATTGATACTTTGCAGTGACATCACGCTGGGGGTGTTCTACATGTATCTCTACTGGCAGAATGTTCAACAGTTACCATGGACACTCAATGCACACATAAGCAAAAACTGCCAAAAATGTTTTTATATAGTCTGAAAACTCAAGAAGAAAATACTAAATTGATTTAAACAGCACAGAATTTCAGGATTCAGCGTTCATGGCCTTGTTCAGGAGGAGATTTTCAACAAAAAAGTTAGAGTGACTAACTAAAAAACTACTATCTAGCTTGTGACTGTAATTTTACATGTGAAAGACTTTAAGAGGACAAATCCCACCTCTTCTTATTAAGTCTATCCAACAGTGCTTACAGTTAGCATCACACCTTTAGGAAATGTTGATAACATGAACTGTAAAGTATAAATAAAAACATCTGCAATCACATAAATATAATATAGTTAAGTTGGATACAATAAAAATAATATCTTTGTGGAGAAAATCAGATGGCTGACCCTCCACGAGAAAAGTTATAATACAACTTTACAAATGCACATGTATTATTCGATATTTAGTCTTTTACTTTATTATTTGATTTATTTACTGCAGGTATTCGGTACATTGCGTTCTATCCTGGTGCTTTGAATGGGCCGCTCTCCATTGGCCTTCCCAGTCCGATCTCCTATGTACCAGTCTTCAACTCTGAGCTCACACACCACATGAACTTATGGGGTCGAATGAAGAATCTGTTTTATTTTTTCCTTGCACCAGTAGGTAAGACATGGTATTTGAATGTGTACATGTTTAAAGAAGCATTATGTAACTTTTCTGTCTTCATGGAAATGCTATGCTATTTGCCTAGAATGTACCGCAGTATGGCATTAACCTCAACCATCTCCATGAAGTAGGTGAGGAGATGTGCTTTAAAAATGCATATTTTTAAGATATTTTGAGCAATGAAACCAGCTGTAATTAATGCAAGATTAATGTGATACTGTGGAACATTCAGGGTAAAGCAATAACATCTCCATGAGACAAGAAGGTGACAGACCCTCTGCCAGAAAAGTTACATAGTACACCTTTAAAGTAAAAACTAAACTTTAATTTTGTATTTTAGTTGTTTTTTTTTTTAATCGCAGGTCAGGCTCTTGTTTGGTCCAGATTTAGTGACGTTGTCGCACAGCACCTTGAACAGCCCCCTAGTGGATTGGATGAGTTACATCAAGGAGCAGAACTATGGACATTTAACACTGACTTCTCCCTGGAGTTTCCTCAGCCTCTAATGCCCTTTACTGTGCTGGTGGGAGGAGTCCTCAATAAACCTGCTAAGCCTCTACAACAGGTACACATGTCATATCAACAGGATGTTCTCACTTTCTACAATTTGAAGATCATTTCAGATGGAGGGGTGGGGCCTATCTAACTTTATGGGAGAATTGCTGTTTTTGCAAGAAATATTCAAACGTATGGTTTACAATTGCTAAATCTTATCAAGACCTTTAAACTGACAATAATCACAGCTTTGGAGTTGAAGCTATTATGAAAAAATATGTTCACTTTTACTTATTTAAACTGACAGAGAAGAAGTTTAACTTTGTGCCAGTCTTTGTTTCATGTGGATAGGCCCAGTAATTACAGAGGCATTAACCATAAACTAGGTCAGTGAATCTGCAATCTGTAAATCCCATAAAAAAAACATAGAACTCTGACATTTCCTCTAACTCCATTTTAAACTATAGGGAATGTTGTGTGTTGTGTCTTATTAACCAAAGTGTATTTCAAATTATTAAAATCAAATTATCATCAATCAGGACTTTAATTCATGGATTACAAACCTTAAAGAACCATGTTTCATTGTGGTTACACTGGGGTCGATGGTGTCTTCTGTGTCTGTGGACTCGCTCATCACTGAGCTGGTGGCTGGCTTCTCTAGTGTTCCTCAAGGAGTTATCTGGAGGTACATTTACACTTTAAACATTGGCACAAAAGCACATATGTTTTAGTAATGTAATATAATATATGATAAAAGGTGAAAATGTATTTATTTATTAACTCCTTATCTCCTTGTAGGTATGACACCAAACTATGGCCGTCTCACATAGACATACCTCCTAATGTTAAGATTGTGGATTGGCTTCCTTTGAATGACTTACTAGGTATGTACTAAATTATCCTGTATAGAGTGAAAAAATCTAGGACCGTTATCATAACAATTAACAATTCAAAACTAAGTATTGTATATTTTGAATGGGCAAAAATGCTAAAACATATTGTTTTAAATTGTTGATTGGTTACAATCAGTGGTTACATCATTTTATCATTCTGCTATCCATGGGCGAGAGTATGAGATGATCATGCTTTCACTTCAGTAGGGCTACAAGATCACACTCTGATCAAAATTGCAATCTGAATAGACACAGCTCAAAAACCCTGCACTTTTAATTGGTGCAACCATGTTCTGAAATACACTGGAGTCTTCCATTAGTTTGTCACTTCACAGGCCTATTTCAGTCTTTTTGTCAGTTCTTCTGGACATGTTTGAAATCATAACTTTCAACAGAATCCTAATATTAAAACATCAATGACAAATCAAATTTGATATTTACCCAAACCCAAATCTCTTTGGCTGGATCACTTTTTAATATTTTTATTGTATTTGATTTTAAGGCCATCCAAAAGTCTGCCTCTTCATCACCCACGGGGGGCAGAACAGTCTCCTCCAGGCAGTGTACCACGCAGTCCCCGTCTTGGGCATTCCTCTGTTTGGAGATCAGTTTGATAATGTAGTGAAGGCAGAAGCGAAGGGCCTCGGACTCATCATTAAACCTACTCACATCACACGCGGTCGTCTCAGCTCTACCATTCAAACTCTTATACGAGACAGCAGGTGAGTTGGGTGTCTTATACTGTACTATAGATACAAAACCTGATAGAGACTGGGCTATGGATTTTTTTGTGTATTTATATATTTAGATCATTATTTTTCTTCAATATTGATCTAAAACTGCCTAATACTAGTAATAGGTCCAGTGGCATAGTAGTATTTTAACCTAACAAGCAGCATTTTTATTATTTGCTTGTTTTAGTGTTAAAAAATTGATACGTGACATCTTCAAACCCTACATTTGTGACAAGGAGTCTGACTTTTTTAAATAAACGCTAGTAAATTCATAGAAGTGGACAGTGATAGGTGATAGGTGAAAACAGAAAGGTTTGAATACTAGCCAGGCAGGCGCCACCTAGTGCCTCCACTCAATTCCATTTCTTTCCAGCAACAAGGTCAGGAATCGGAATACACTGGATGGTTTGCAAGAACCTCGTAAGTTGGAGAACGCGCACTGGTCAATCAGCAAAGAGCTGTGAAGCCATGAGGTCAAACTCAAGTGCCTGTCTGGGTCCCTTTTTTGGTACAGCACAACAGTAAACAAAGCAGAGATGGATGTAGTCGAATTCTGTGTTGATTCTCGAGATTGAGGATTTAAAGCCGGAACAAAGAGAATGTTTGGTGAAGGGGAAAGATGTTATTGCCCTTCTTCCTACGGGATTTGGGAAAAGGTTAATATACCAGTTAGCCCTGTTAGCGGCGTATTACATACGTCACGACCAAATAGTAGTGACAGGTTAAATTAAAAAAGCACCCACCTACCATCAAGCAAATGAATGCTAATACTGCGAGGTCAGACGGTTTCCATGAAGTGAAACTGTTTGATGAATCAGGCTCCTTGAATACAGGATTGCTCAGACATGTATGAATCTATCAAAATATAACTCTGAGTAAGCTAATGATGAGGGAACACTGCTATAACATTAAAAAGAAAACAATGAGATGAAAAGCCCTATGTGGGTACACGTATAGTTCAAAATTGTTGACAGGTCAATGGAGAAGGCTTCTTTATAAAATATTTAAGTAGTTGTCTGTGAAATAAGATCTTAAAATGCATACAGAAAATCAGACGACACCAAAACCAAGGCACTCTGTCTGTTTAGAAAAGTTAAAAGCCTTTATCATGTCTTTATCATGCACCAATGTACGTAACCTTAATCAGGGTGCAAGGACTTGTTATAACATTGTTTAAAAGCTCATTACAGATTATTTTACTGTTGACTTCTTTGTCCTGTTTCATCTCTGTAGATTTAAGTCATCTGCTTTGTCATTGAGCGCGCTCCATAAGTCCCAGCCCGTACCTCCTGCTCAGAGGTTTGTGCTGTGGGTGGATCACGTCCTGCAGAGTGGAAGTGGACTGCATCTAAAGCCTGTGGCTCTGGGTCAGCCCTGGTACCAGAGGAACCTACTGGATATCATGATGCTCCTGACAGTAGCACTTTTAATTTTTCTCACTATCTGCTGGAGTTTATGTAGGAATGGACACTTAATAGAACAGAATAAACCTAAAAGCCAATAGACAGGCATTATGATTTTCACTAAATTAGAGTTTTGGTGGGTTGATTTGTATTGTTAAACAAATCTCTCACATTTAAAATTAGAGACGCTAACATTAGACAACAGTTTTTCAGTTGGTCACTTTCAACTTTTTGTTGAAAATCAAACACATAAACATAGGGTGAACAGATTTTCAAAATAAAAAAAAAACTGGGACACCCCCAGTTTGGAGCGGTTGGTAATAATAAAATTGTGAAACGAGTGCGTAATTAAGGAAAATGGTTCTGCACTCAGCACTAATGTGAGTCAGAATATTCACATTTTCTTTGTGTTTTGGACATTCTTTACTCTTGGTGGGTATCAAATTGGTCAAAAATAGGGACACCTGGGACATTTCTTGTGTAAAACTGGGACAAATCACTGGTTTTGGATAAATCTGCTGGGACAAGGGACACAGAGCTCAAAACTGGCACTGTCCCGGGTAATCAGGAATGTCTGGTCACCCTACCTAAACCAGGAATATTGATCACAGGCTCCTGAAAATTTGTTGTTTAAACCCATTTAGTGTTTGTCTTGACTTTCCAGACAATCTCAAAACATTTTGACAGGGTGTGCTGTGTCACCATGGTAACTGCTGAACATTCTGCCATAGACATACACTTTTAGACTGAACAACCCCTCTGTAATGGCACTGCAGAGTCTCAGTATTTACATGTACCCCTAAAATTTTATTATTATCTGCTTTCTTGAGTTATAAGATTACTGAAATGTCATGTAACTGGTTAGATCCGATATCAGTAATCGGATTTCTTTCTGATTGTTCAAACATGTAAAATAAACTAGTGTGGCCAAGACAAAAATTAAATAGAAAATGTTAATGAAGTGTTGGCCTATTTAAAAGGTGCACTGTGTAACATTTCTAGTGGAGGGTCCGTATTCTGCTTATCTCTGTGGAAATTTAGCTTTTTTTATCTAGAATGTTCCACAGTATAAATTAAACCTATCAATTACGAGGGAGACAATCACAATACAGTTCAGATCTGTGGAGAGGCGCCCCTATTCACAAATGGAATTATTGTCTTTTTGAGCAATAGAAACACCCGTAATGAATAAATGGTCTGTGAATATGATAATTCCTGGCAAAGCAAAAACATCTTCATAGAGACAAGTAGGTAGTGGACCCCCCCTACCAGAAAAGCTGCACAGTGCACCTTTAAAAATCAGATGTAATTATTGGATCATCTGATTACTGCTTTAAATATCAAATGTGTTTTGAAACCCCTGTTGAACTCTGGATTGTTGCACTGTAGCGCCACAATGTCCGACACCTCCATGCTACTTTGACCTGTTTGTGTGGGCTAATGGGTTCGTGTGCACTCTGCTTCTCCATGGGCAATATGACAATTATACTAATCTAAAAATGTACATAAGGGTCTTGATAAAATATACTCTTACTTGAAACAATGCACAACTACTAAATCCATATTTAGACTTCAGCACCTGCAATCTAAAGCCCCCCTCCCCACTGGTCGCCATCGTGTCCCCTCTCTCTCTCCCTAAACAAGACACAAAGGCACATGGCAGCGTTCACGGTCAGTGCCCCGGCGACGACAGCAGATCAGGGTCCCACAGCCCCCTCCCGCTCCTTACATCTGTGTTGGGGGCTAGCTCGGAGGAAAATATAGATTAGCAAGGAAATAATGACCAATTAGGAAGGCTTGTTCTTTGCCCATTCACCCGTCCTACACTCCCCTCAATGTTTAATTTGTCTGTTTGTCTGACAGTTGCAGGTGCCAGTAAGTCTTCCTCCAACTCGCACGCAATCCAGAGTGGTCTGAACAAAGCATAACAAAGCAGAAGAGTTGAAGTAAGGGCAACTATCCAGTTAACTAGTCTGCATTCATCTAGATAAACAGAAGGTGAAATGAACCAATGAAATTTTAAACATAAACTGTTGAACATGTATGTAATTTAAAACAAGTTAAAATATAATGAAATCACAGTAATAATCTTGATTTGAGTAGGTTTTCTTGTTTGAATTCACCTAATACATTAGCAATACTTTGGCCTAATAACTTTAAATGTATGTCTACAATGAAGTGTACTGATGATGCATTTAATGTTACATTTAGGTTATGGTTTTATGCATGATCATATTGTTATAAGTCAGACCTAGGCATTGTACAGCTCCTGGGCCACATATGGCCCTTTGGTTGACACTGACCAGCACGTTAAAATAGTTTGGAATTACAGAATAAACATGTTTTATAATTTTACCTCATGCATGGACTAAAGCTGCATCGCCTTTAATTTAGAGACAATTTTTGTGTTTTATTTCTTAGTCATAACATATACCTACCAGTCTTACCGGCTTGTCAAAACGATGCTATTGACTGCTTTTTATAAAGAAATACAATTAATATTATGCGGAGTTGAGTTAAACATTTTGGCCCGGCCCTCCACAATATTTTCTGTTTCTCATGTGGCCACATAAAACAAAAAAATATTGCCCACCCGTGGTGTAAGTAGTAGGCCATTCTAATTCAAGGCCATTACCACATGTCCAGTACTATTCCTGTGTGGTCTCTAGAGGGCGCAGTTATCATTTTACGCCTGAGTTGACTGGATTTTCCCACAGACCAGGGAAGACTGATCACTATTCACACACACACAGTAGTAACAGGAGCGTAACCGGTTTGTTGCTGTTCGTTCATTCACTCACTATAGAGACATTATTTGTATTTTTACATTAAAATGCCACATTATAGAGCAGCACATGCTACCCATTATCTAAAAATATATATAAATCGAAAATAGTTTCTGCGCATAAAAGCCAGAGTAAATGTGTGTCCTCGTGAGGATCTCTGGTCCTTTTATTGGTGGGGACAGACGTGTGGGCGTGTCCAGGCGTCAATGTTTATGTAGCTGCTGCCCGTGCAATCGCACCAAGGACTCTGCAATGTGATTTCCACGTAGATCTGTGCTCCTTTGATTCCAGCTGTTATTTTAAAGCGGATGTGCACCAGTTGTGAATATGGGGACACATTAGCAGGTAAAACACGGACGAAAACGAGGAAAAGGCCGAAATGGCAGGCGCCTTTGGCTTCAAAGGCTGCCAGAAAATTCGAGGACCGCAGATCCGAAATCTGCTGGAGGCGAAGGACTTCTTCCTCTTCGACTGTGACGGGGTGATCTGGCACGGGGAGAAGGAGATCACCGGCGCAGCCAAGGTGGTGAATTCTCTGATAAGAAACGGCAAACATGTGGTATTCGTCACCAACAACTGCACCAGGCCCCGTGAGAATTACATGCACAAGTTCTCCCGGCTGGGCTTCCACGAGGTGATGCTGGAGCAGATCTTCAGCTCGTCCTACTGCTCCGCGCTGTACCTGAGAGACGTGGTGAAGGTCCGGGGGCAGGTGTTCGTGATCGGCTGCGAGGGGCTGCGGAGGGAGCTGCTGGAGGCGGGCATCCCCTGCGTGGAGGAAGCGGACGAGCCGGAGGCCACCATCTACAACTGCGACCTGGCCCCCGACGTGAAGGCGGTGCTGGTGGGACATGACGATAAACTGACTTTTCTCAAACTGGCCAAAGCCTCGTGCTACCTGAGGGACCCCGAGTGCCTGTTCCTGGCCACTGACAACGACCCCTGGCACCCTCTCAGCGGTGGAAGGATACTGCCAGGTATTATAACAGTATTATTACATATTACAGGTATACAAGTCAGTATCTTACTATTAATTGGTCCTTTTCAGACTACTGGCCCATTGTTTTATTAACATTTAATTGGTAAACCTCTGTAACACACTGCTCTGTAACACCTAGGCCTATTTGCCAGTGGTTTTATAATTATCCCGCCTTAACCTTATTGTGCAAGAAATGAATTGGGCTTTAAACTAGTTTGTACAGGCCTATGAAAAATAAAAGCTTTTTAGTATTGCATTGGTTGTTACCTTATAAAATATTTGATTGCATGACTAATAAGTGTTTCTTCAAAATCTGTTGGGTTATATACAGTCACTTTAGGGGACCTGCTGCCTTTCTACAAACCCTACATTACACAAAATTGATTATTTTTAGCTTTAAGACATGTTATAATGTTGTTACCTCATCAAAAACATGCCCCAAGTTGTGTTTTGTTTCACTCTCAGGTTTGAGTAACCTTGCATTCTTATAGTCTGTTTACATCTTAAAAGCTCAAAATGCTCTGTTCATGATATCCACCTTGTGCTGTCATGAAGCGGTAGTTTTCAAGTGAACCTTTACTTTTTGCCTTTAATTCAGTAGAGACAGGCAATTCCAGGGCTGAAATCATTCAAATTAAACTTATACTTGATTTTTCCACAGGTTCTGGGTCCCTCACTGCTGCTATTGAGGTTGCTTCCGGCCGCAAAGCCACTGTCATCGGAAAACCCAGTCGCTTCATGTTCGAGTGCATCTCCAGCCAGTTCAGTGGAGTGGACCCGGCCCAGTGCCTGATGGTGGGGGACCGCCTGGAAACGGACATGCTCTTTGGGTCCAACTGTGGTCTGGACACCATGCTAACGCTAACGGGGGTCTCTCAGATGGAGGATGCTCACGAGTACAGCAAAAGTGACCTGTCCACAAACCACAGCCTAGTGCCGGACTATGTGGTAGACACAATTGCTGATTTCTTACCTGCATTTGAAGATGTAGAAGAGAAGAAGGAGGAGGAGGAGAAGAAGGAGGAGGAGGAGAGCAACTGACGGTTTCAACTCAAGTGTACGCCTGTCACGATAATTACTATATCCACAATATTTGATAGATTGCATGATATGGGAAAAATATCCTATTGAGATTTTTCAAAGAAGCATTACGATTTGTGTTTTAATAATACGATTTCACATTTTAAATTACTTGACAAAAAATATCAAATATGAACATGTTTGTGCAAATCTAAAAGACAGGGCTAATAGTTTTTTGCAGATGAGGCAGGATATTTTTTACTTAGTTTTATTTTGTGGAGGAAATTATGGTACTGATTGGGATTAGCATTTTGCAGTAGGTCAAACTTCAGTTTTATTCTGCTATTGTTTCCAGTTCATGTTTCTTTTTTTTGGTGAGAGTAATCCTGCTTAATGGTTATTGTGCCAGTGGTATAAATTAGTTTCAATATTATCATTTATAAGTCTGTATATTAACTAACTTCAACATTATTGTCTCACTCATAGACCGTATAAAGAAGTGGACTATGGGAGTGTGACGTCACCCATAGCGTTTGGATCCAAATGAAGCTCACGGTGCTAGCGTTTATAAAGGCAAATTTGGAGAATGTTCCAGTCATTTACGGACAAAATATCAAAATAATACTAGAATCATATAGAGCAGGTTAATATTAATATTTTAAGACCAAAATGACGAGGCTCACTGCAGCAGTTGCAAGGAGAGAGGTGATGTTTTTTCAATTGGAGCCAGAGTTGATGGAGCCAGCATTTATATATACAGTCTGTGGTCTCACCAAAATGTATTATCGTGACAGGCCTACTCCAGTGCACATATTGCTTCTAATTAATTTATTCGCGATGGTTATCTTAAGCAGACACAGCCTACTGTAAATGATTCTCAAATAACAAGGCGTTGTCTTTGTTGTGACCAAGACTGAAGTAGGTTCTCCTTAATTATAGCCTAATGCATACCTCAGTGTTTCTCTAGTGTTGTGCCCATTTGTGACTGAAGTCCTTGCTGTGTTTATAGAAATATATTGCACTTTCTCGTTCATGCGGTTTGTAGATCGTGTTTGAAAAGGTGTTTCAAGAGCACAGTATTTTTGTAAAGTCAGGAATTGTTCTAATGCAGTGGTTCTCAATATTTTCACACAAAGTACTATCTAATAATAAGTATCAGCAGATCTAAGCCAGGTCTATAATAGGGATCGAATTCAAGGCCCTGTCGCAATATCGACTTTAACTGATATTATGGAATCGATACCTGATCCAGTCAGTTTTTCAGTATCAACGCCGATGTTCGACACCAGTATTGTAACGGTGCATCCCTAGTTTATAATGAGACTATAACAGGTTCCAGAGTATTCCTAAATTATGCCTGTGTCAGGTCTAAATGGGACTGAATCATGCATAAAGAAGTTATAAATGAGGCACAAAGAGAGCCAAAATTGGGAATAAAATTGTAATTTCAACAAATCAAAGTCTGCAGAGGACGTAATGTACCACCAAATAAAGTTTGCGTACCACCATTTGAGAACCACTGTGGTAATGACATTGTAAAACACATTCTGCCCACAACACTGAATCTGCAGTCTAACCGAGACTTATTTATAGCATTTATGAATACATTTAAAGGTGCACTCTGTTACTTTTCTGTGTAACTCCTCCATTAGTCTTATGTATCTTGCATTTATACAGTTAGGCGTGTGTTGATGCTAAAAAAATACATCGAAAAACATGTATTCTTACTGTGAGCGGGCTTCCCTCACCACAGATCTAAAATGTACCTTTGTCTGGTAGCGTCATCTGCGTGTCTCCATGGATACAGACCAGTTTAATGCCATACAGACAATGCAGACCCTGTACCAGAAAAGTCACAGCGCACCTTTAAGACTAAAAATGACAATCTGCAAACAGAAACAGTCTCTTTTGGCCTTTCTATCATGTATCAGTCAGTGTCAGTGAAGAATGAACTGGAAATATATTATCTGGGTAAAAAAGTTTGTCAGTGCCAACTATACACTGGAACAAAACCATAATTATTTATCATATTGAGCATGACTGTAATGATAAAAATATTAAATGTAATCTGAACTTGCTGCCAAACTGCATACAATTTTACTGATGACACTGTGAATGCCCTTGTATGCGTTTTCTGTATTAAAAAAGATTAAATATTTCCAACACGCAAACTGCATTTAAGTCAATACTTTATTTCAAGTTCAGTTGTTCACATGAAGACCTAGAACTGTAATATTCTTTTGAGTTCAATTTAAAAGTGCTAATATTAAGCCAGTATTACAATAATTTATTTCCTATATTTTATGAAACACTTGAGTAAAATGTGCGTAGTGTAGCAAGATTGTGGGAGATTTGACATAGTATTACTCTGTACTCAGTGTAGATGCATGTTTTGACCTGGTCTGTAAAAAGTATTACACAAAATGGACTCCTGTCAAGTTTAAGCCATGTTTAAATGTTGTTACCTCATCAAAAACATACCTGGAGTTGTGTTCATTTCATTTACACGTCTGAGTAACCCTACATTGTTCGTCTGTCTACATCTCTAAAGCTCAAAATACTCTGTGTGGCATTTTCCAAGTTAACAGCTGCCTTTTACCTTTAGTTGAGTAGAGATTGGCAGTTCCAGAGCTGAAATAATCCAAATGATTCTGGTGAAGGTGAGTTTAAAAACACAGTGGAGCACTTCCTGTATTACCACATGACATTACGAGGGGTAGTGTATTTGGTTTGAGAGAAGAGCTCAGCCGAAAGATGCAAGATTTGTGTGTTAAACGTGTGAATGAAACAAAACAACTCCAGGTATGTTTATGATCAGGAAACAACATTATGACATAGATCAGAAATGATGTCACTTTACAACTTGCAATATCTACAAAAATAAACATATGTACATTTGAACAGCAATAAGTAATATTTTATTCTAAATTATGTATCATATGGCATTGGTGCTGAGGAGCAGAAAGAGGGAGACTGATCCACAGATAAGGACTTTGGTTGCAATGATTGAATTCCTTCTCATCATTCTGGACCACCACGCTGCAAAAGAGAAAAAAAAAAATTAAGAAAAAAGTAGAACAACCTGTTATCTTGTCTCTTCCAAACAAGGACTGCATTTAATCACAATCAAAGAGAAATAGCAATAGTATTTGTTGCATCAAATCACAAAGGCTGTAATTAATTTCCCCTGCAAACAACATATTATCCTGTCTTAGTGGGGTCTTATTTTAGATAAAACTGGACTACCCCATAGTTAAGATCTCTATAAACATGCTCTGACATGTATGGGATTCTTGTATAATCTTAGGACTCTCCGAATCCTGATTTGAATAGATAAATCTCAGTCGTAAGAGCAAAGAACTGCAGCAATTAAATCGAATAATCGTGCTTAGTACTATTAAAATGATTGTAATGGACTTTTTCTTGTTATTAAGACTACACAGATCAACACAGAGCAAAAATATGCCACAAAACAGACAATATTGATATACTGTTTAAACTTTTTCAGATTTTCACAAAAAAAAAAACAGTTTATTTATAAATATTCAATGACTAGAAGCCTTAAGTCTTCATTTGTCAACCTTTATTTGGTTAGAAATGCATTTAAAACATCACAGTATACATTATAAATAATCATTTGACTAGTCGACTGCTAAAATAATCATCAGTTACTACTTTTTCTCCAGGCCTTTCCCAATTACCTTCCCATTTACAGTAAAAAGTCACTTAAATAATCCCAAAATAAAAAAGCTTTTACCTGAATAAAGTCCATTTCGTCAGCAGAGAGCGGTCTTCGGCGGTATCGTGCAGGGAGGAGCTGAACAGAGGCCAGGGTGTCGGGCGTGCCAGAGATCGGGGTCAAAAGTGAATGCGGTCGAGAAAACTGAGGAGGAGGAGCAGCTGAAGGAGCACTGGGAGCGTTGTGTTGTTGAAGATTAACTGCAAGTGTTTTCAGTGCTTCTTGGACTGGTGAAAAACAAATATAGGGAATGTTTGGTTAGGTACAACCGATGTTCCAATGTATATTTGTAGAGTAAACAAGGTAAACAGTGTAGGCAAATATCAAGTTTAACGTCTATAATTAAACTGAACAGAAATGTGCAGTATAATCTTCCAAACAAAGATATAAACTGCTATTTCTGCCCTATTTTAGTTAATTTTATGGTACATGTTTTGGGCAATACTTGAGCCTAACCAAGACATTTACAGAGCTATATTAGCAAATTTTAATACATTGTAAAAGTCTCATCTGCATATTTTATTAAGACAATTCACTTACTTTAGAAAATGTGGATAGGTGGGGGTTGATTTAAAGACTGCACTTAACATACAATATTTCAAACTAATTACTAAACAGTTTTTATGCTGCTGAAGACTTGGACCTGAGTACTGTGTTTCTTTTGTTTATTTGTATTTACTCAAATTATATATAAGAAAGTCTGATTCTGAATAATATTTGTCAATATTGTCCAGCCCTATTTTAAACCATTTGACACAAGATCTTTCTTTTTTTTAATTGTAAATTGCATTAGCCTGACAACTACACTGGTGCTCTTTGTATATTCTATACCAGGGGTCGGCAACCCAAAATGTTCAAAGAGCCATACTGGCCCGAAAAAACAAAAAACATACCTGCCTGGAGCCGCAAAAAATTAAAAGCCTTATATAAGCCTAATATGAAGGCAACATAGGCTGTCAGTGTATTAGCTATATAAACCTACTATTAAAATGACTAAGTCGGGTACAAATACAAAATGAGCATTCATGATTACACAAACCCCTTTTGCGACCCTCTCATACTCGGTGCGCCGTCTGTAGACCGACGTTTACCTGTTGCTTTGACGACGATGATGGAAGTATTCAGAGCAGCAGTCGCATTTCTTCTGATCGTGCATAGGAGCATTCATAAAACAGCAGCATGTAGAACTTTCTACGCAACATCAGCCCAGAGCAGAAGCTCTGAGCTCGGGCAGCAGCGCAAAATACACGGGAGCAGTCAGCGCGCAGCTCCTCAAGACGGGGCTGGGGGTCCAGTGTTGGTCAGATTGTCCGGAGGCTTCGTCCTCTGTGTCCTGGTTCCAGACGGGGGCGAGCAAGACCAGCGTGCAAAGGACTGGGTCCGAGCGGTTAAGCGTCGTCCTCTGTGCGCTGGTTCTGTGCGGGAAAAGTGAGAATGCGCTGTGGACTACAGGTCCGGGCGGGCTGCTCCGGTCCTCCACGCTCGACCGCGGCCTGGTTCCGAGGTGGTGCAAAGCATCCGGACAGAAGCATGAATCCAGTTTGGTTCATTATATGTTGTTCTGAGCATCCATCTGTGCACGTGTTTTTTTTTGTTTTGTTTTTCTCGGGGAAAACGCTTCTCAGGTGGAGGCACCGCACACCACCCCCCGCTTCAGCTCATCTGTTTGTTCTGCTGAAACACTTTTCCTATGTTTGCGTTTGCACACACAGCTGATGGATCAGATCCATGACCAGAGATGAACGAGGGTTTTACCCCTAAAGAAACCATATTAAAACAACAACAAAAAAATCATCCCTTTTCCATTTTCACTCATTTTTGAAAAAGCTCCAGGGAGCCACTAGGGAAGTGCTAAAGAGCCGCAGGTTGCCGACCCCTGTTCTATACAGAAGCTCTCTCATGTGTTTGCATAGAGTAAATTGCCACAGCTATGACCCAGGTTACACCACTCTGAACACTATGGACAGTAACTTTTGTTTATGACTGTGTGTTGCAACCAGCTGACCAAGGTGCACGGTGCATATTATACAACAAACTCACCATTGGGCTTTGGGGTGCCATGTCTGTTGGGGAATTTGATCAGAGGAGCATGAGGCCTCACGACCTAGAAAGACAAATAAAAGTTATGAAGATTGCTTAAACCTGTTAACTACTAACTTATTTTAAAATAGATTGATGGTATTGATTTTATACAACCAAAACAGAATAGGGCTGGGTATCATTCAGAAGTTGCCGATATGATACACACCTCGATACATGGGCCACAATATGATACATATACAGATACAGTGAGCTTTTCATTTGATACGATTCAATACGATATTGTATTTCATATAAATTCTATACAGTTTAATAAAAAATAAAGGCTAAATCATGGCTGTGATACTAAAAGTCTTTGTTAAACTACTTCTTGTGAAAAGTTCATATTTCATACTCAACCCAAAACATACTACATAGGTCTCCAGGAAGAACAGTTGATAGCTAAGGTCAAATACAATCAATGAACCTGCCCAGGGACTACAGGTGGAAACTAGCACTGGGGCTACAACCTGGTACAATGCATCTTTCCTGTTAAGGTTAATGTAAAAATTGTGTCCCTGTCTCATTAAAAAATAAATTAATAAATACATAATTATACAAATATAAAACACACCCATTTTAATACTCAAAACAGTGAAAATGTCAAATGTGCTGCATAGACTTTCCTTTCACTAAACAAGCAACAAAACTGTAGCACTGTAACAAAATAATTTAGTAAAATATACCCAAAAAATACTCTGGCAATATATCGAAACAGCAGCCCAAGATATTAATACTGTATCATCACATTAAACGATAAGATATATCGATATTTCAATATTTTTTGCACTCCCCTAGTGACGAACGATCACTAAATTTATTAAAATACTAAAGGCACGTCAAAAGAAGAATACTAGAGTTAAAGTCTGTGCATGTTGTATGTTATATTATAAGACTGTAAGGAAGCCAAACATTTAAAAGGCCTGGAGAGTTAATTTTAACCTCTATAAGCATGGCAGCTGTAAACAGTGACGAAAGGCTAGACTAGGTGCCCCATACGAGTCTGTGCTATGCAAAATCAGTAATGTTTAGTAATGACTATGTTGCCATGCCTTGTATTGTTGTAAACATAGAAATGCAAACGTGCATTTCAAGTTTGGAAACTGAACAAGGACATCAACAAGGGTAAAACGCTCTTTGACACACATTACCGCAGTGAAAACACCCATTAAATAGCATCAAAGGTAGAAAATCACAACTTGAAAAACAATATACAATTAAAATGTGTTACAAGACCTATTAAACATACAATTTGTGAGTCGTCTGTACCTGTATCACTCGAGCGGTGGGAGCTGCCATTTTGGAGCTGACTTTGCCTCCCATGGTGACCTCAAGGGTTCACTTCCTCTCAAGATATCCCTGCTCTCACAAAACACCACAAGATAGCGCTATTGTACAACATAAAAAACACAATATACGTTCAGGATTTGGTCCAGGGACTATAGGATGCAGGTGGAAATGCTGCGGCGATGATATAGATTGCAAAAGATGCTAACGCTACGTATGAACGGTAATGTGGTGAGTTAATGAGAAACAAATCAGGCAGCGATTTTGTTAGCTTAAACTGGATCTTCTTGACCTTATACAGCATTCAAAAACACCCCAGAATGGTCACTGAATACGTCTTGTCACTCACAAAACCTTTATTTTCAACATATTTTTATGCGACACTAATGGAAATAAAAAAATATAGTTCGTGAACCCATTTGTCACAAAGGGCATGCAGCGGTTAGCAAGTAAATTAGGCAGATAAGCAATCTGAAAGACACATGCCCAAAATAAACGCCAGATATGAGGGAAAATATATGATTAAATGATTAATGTAGTTTTGTATTTTATCCATGAATATAAAATAACATTGTCCAATGTCAAATCATAAGGAAAAGGAGTCGATAGCCTACCCACCTTATCCTTATTTCACCCTGCATCATCTGTATCCGGAAGGAAAAAAACAAATAGCCGGTCACGTGACATGCGCTTGACCAGTAAGAGTAGAGGACCAGTAGCATAGATTGTGTAAAGAAAAAGATGTATCACTTTTATCATTCATATCGTTGATAGAGATGTGTTTCAGAGGTTTTTGTAAGGCAACCTCACTTTTTCATTGCTTAATCATAACATATACTCTAACCAGTTTTACCAGCTTGTCAAAACAATGCTATTTACTGCTTTCTTATAAAGAAATACAATTAATATTATGCAGAATGTAGAGTTAAGCATTTTGGCCTAGCCCTCCACAATATTTTCTGTTTCTCATTTGGCCCCATGGAAAAAATAATTGCCCACCCCTGTTGTAGAGCCACGTTAGACCTGGCACAAAATATGGTCCAAGAATATGAAAAAGTCTAAATAAAATAATTAAACTAAAATAAACTGCACCAACGTTGATAGCTTAATAAGGCTTATTTCTGTAACATAACTAACATAACCTTTAACATGCGCTATACAAATGGTTACTACATTCACACAGACTCAGTGGCTCTTGTGCATAGTCACTCAGACTTACATATTTTTTTCTACAGTTTAATTTATGTAGTCAGAAACTTTCTTCCTTTGTGTCTCTTTTCTATATACTTCTATTATATGCTATATTTAGTTGTTTTAAGTTTGGCCTATAGGTCTAAATTATTTAGGCCCAAACTGTCATTTATTTTGACAGTTTTTGTGATTAGGTTGTTAAACAAGGTCACATGGTTTTATTTCTTGAGCAAAATAACTTCCAAAAAAAAAAACAACAAAACACCACTGATATTCAAATATCCAATTCTTTTATTAAACAAACTGGTCCAGATTCATTGAAAACAAATAGGTCCCGATTATTTTACTTGGCTGGCTGTTACTATGTTAATGATGTTTCTACGTTTTTGCATAAATGATGTAACAGTGCAGATGTGAAGCCAGCTGCTGTTGTCACTGGAGGTCGAAGTATAATGTTGCTGTAAACAGGTTTGATAGGAGTTGGTGGTGAGTTCTTGTTGAGGGAGATCAGATTTTTTTTAGCACTTTGATCGGTCGAAAAGCTGCTTGAGTTGGTCCTGAGTTGTTGCCTCTTTCTGCTGAATGAGGTCTGCGTCGCCCTTGGTAACACCCCAACCATCGGGGTTGGACATGGACGGGCAGAGGGGACGGCCAGACGCAGGCTTCAGGTTCTCCCAGTAATTACGACGGGCTCTGAAAGAAGGAGAAAAGTAAATGACTATAGGTTGTCTATTAAAGGTCCTATATTACACAAAATGGATTCTTATGAACTTTAAGCCATGTTATAATGATATTACCTTCTCAAAAACATACTCAGAGTTCTGTTTAGTTTCATTCACACGTTTGAGCAATCCTTATTTATTAGACTGCATCTCCAAAGTTCAAAATGCTCAGTTACACCTTGTGATGTCATGAATATGTCATAGTTTTCAAGTTAAAAGCTAACTTTTACCTTTAGTTCAGTAAAGATTGGCAGTTCCATGAGTGATTATCCAAATGATTCTTGTAAAAGTGTATGGAGTTTAGACTTGTACACACAGTGGATCACTTCTGGTATTAACAAGTGACATCACAAGGTGGGAAAGTTTGCTGTTTCAGAGAAGAACTCAGCCTAAATATTCAAACTTTATGTGTTAAACATGTGTGAATGAAAGAAAACATAAATCCAAGTATGTTTTTGATGAGGAAGCAAAATTATACCATAGATCAGAAGGCATTCAGATGGCCGTGTGCCTCTTGCACTGTCAAGATTTGACTATATGAAGTGTGTTAAAATAAACAACACTTTGTATGTGGTATCAAACTTTACAGTATAGAGCCATGGTGTAATGTAATAACCGTGACAGATTGATTAGTCATTGTCTGGACCTCTTTCTCCTCGCTCCACATGTTGACTTCATACAGTCAACAGTCTTCATACTCACCTTGCTCTGACCCACGGCTTGGTGTGCATCTCCAGACCAGCGCCCCAGTTTCCGTGTTTCTCTGACGCGGTGGGCAGAAAGCCCCTCTCTGGTGCCAGCTCCTCGGCCACTGCCCTGATGTGGTAGGGCTCAAACCCACAGCAGCCTCCAATGAAGCGGATGCCTGCGTTATAGGCCTCCCTGGCGTATTTGTGCATGTCCCAGCGGGTCAGGATTCTGGGCTCAAGACCTGATAGAATAAATAGTTAATATGATAATGTTATTTTAATTGCATGCATGTTTTTGCTTGAAATCTGCACTTTATTTACTAAACCATGACTAGACCAGGACTAAATCAGCACCAAGCCAGGACTAAATGAGGAATAGAGCAGGACTAAACCAGGACTAGACCAGGACTAAACCAAGTATACAGCACAACTCGAATAAAATGTGTGAACCCAGTACCTAATCCCCTCTACCGTTTTTCATTTCTATTGACTTTTTCTTACCATTCTAACTTTTTAAATTATGCAGATAAAATAAAAACATGCATCTTAGACCTAAATCTATTTTATTTTTTCAAATCAGCTCTTAAAACTCTCCTGTTGTCTTTAACTGTGATGAATGTTGACTTTTATAGTGCCTAGTGTGTTTTTATGTCTATATTTTTGCAATGTTTGTCTATTTTATTGCCTTTTATAATTATCATTGTGTATTGCACTTTGGTGATCTGTGTTGTGTTAGAAATTTATTAGAAATAAAGTTGTATTGGAAACTACTGAAAAAAATTGCTGATTTTGATGTTATTACCGAAGGGGAACTCAGGCAGATCAATGAACCCTTGGCAGCTGCAGTCTGGGGTGTGGTAGGCCAGAGGCTGCACCATGTAGTGAGCCTTGAGTCCAGCCTTCTCCACTGCAGCCTTCATCATCTTCACACCCTCCACACAGGTCATGGGGTCAAAGTGGCAGTTAATTCCAACAATCTGAGCACCTGGACATAAAAAGAGAGATTACATAAGAAGAATGTTTAAGATTAGTCACATCTTAACACTACACACATGTGCTATTGGCTCCCAACTTTTTCTCATATAAATCTTTACTTACTCAGAGATATATCCACAATCTGGAGGTGGGATGCGATTATTTATAAAGTGGTAGACTAAAACAATGACTATTCCTTTTGTTCTGGTTAATCGAGAAACCATTAAAGAGACAGAGTAATTGCAAATTCACTGCATGAATTCACCCCCAAATTCTGGTTAATCTCATCAGTTGTATTGAATAAATAATAATTAAATAATTAAATTAAAATTGGATGCTCATACTGCCGGTTGGGAGACCCCGTCATACACATTGGTGATGAAAACTTTAGACTGTTGTCATAGCAACTGACAATTTAAAACTTCAACAAAATATTCTCTCTATTCCCTTTTTTGGATGGTCAAAAGTCCTCAGCAATTTTGAGTGTCATGTTGGACATAGAAGCCAATTAAATTTTTATTTAATGGGCATATGTTATAATTTCCTCATCATAAACATACTTGGAGTACACACACATGTTTAACACACAAACCCCTCGATATGTAGACTGAGTTCTTCTCTCAAATGGAACACTCTGTTCCACCTTGTGATGTCATGTGGTAAGACAGGAAATGATGCACTGTCTTTTTAAACTCCATGCACCTTCACTAAAAACATTTGTATAATTTCAGGCCTTGAATTGCCAATCTCTATTGAACTAAAGGTAAAAGGGGAGCTATTAACTTACAGACTACCGTTTCATGACATCACAAGGTGGAACAGAGCATTTGGAGTTTTGTATATGTAGACAGACTAATAACAAAGGATTATTCAAACATGTGTGATTGAAACAAAACCCAACCCCGGGTATGTTTTTGATGAGCGAACAATATTATAACATGCCTTAAAACTCCCAAGAGTAAATTTTGCATAATACAGGACCTTTAAATAAATACTAAGCTACATATCGGATGACACCCACCAGCCTTGACCAGCCTGACAGCGCACTCTCCGGGGGACACGCCGTGCATGTCACCCTGGGGACCAATGCACAGAGAAGCAGCCACAGGTTTCCCAGTCTCCTTCAGCACCTCCACAGCCCACACAGCCTCCTCCACGTGCTCAAAGTACTGCAAGACAAAAGCAGTACAAGTTAGCAAGTTATACCAAGATTTTAAAATTGCACTATGGAACCTTTTTATCTCCTTGCTTGTCTCCATGAAGAAGATATTGCTGTGCCTCCAGTGTTCCACAGTAGGGCATTAAACTAATCTTTCTTGCATTAATCAGAGGTGTTTTAATTGCTCCAAAAAATCTTCATTAACATAAATTTTTAAAACTATTTCTGTGAAATGGAGTTTGAGCTACAGAATTGATTTGGATCTGTTGATGTTGTCCCCATGGAGACAGATATGTTTAATACCACAGTGTGAAACATTACAGTCAAGCAATAACATCTCCAAGGAGCTGATAGTATAGACCCTTCTCTAGAAAAGTTACAGATCCATAATGTGATAAATACCCACCTACATGTGAGGTTTCCAGGCGTGTGTGGACATTACATTACGTTCTATTTTATGTTGCATGAAATAAAAAGATACAAATCTCAATATCTGTACCTCAGCAATCAGGAAGTCCACGTCCTTCTTGATGAAAACGTCCAGTTGTTTTTTGAAGATGGCTTTCACTTCGGCCTCGCTTTTGCAGCTCAAGTAGGACGGGGTCTGGGACACTCCACCGGCAACCAGCGCGTCGCCCTCATTGGCCACTTCACGAGCCAGATCACACGCAGCTTCATTGATCTGAGTTCCCTGTTGTTATTAGGGCAAAAATGCGTTATATATTGAGTGAAAAAATTATGAAAAACATCCAATTTCAATGTTTCTATTTCTTTGTAACCTTTCATGTTTAATTTGCCTGGAATGTTCCACAGTATAGCAATACATGCCATGTTTCTATTTCCAAGACTATGTGCTGTTAGGCCCACTGAATAAACACGTGAAAGAAATGCTTAATGCCATACTGGAACATTTCAAGCAAAGGAATAACATTTCCATGGAGACAAGGTAGTTAGGTAGGTACCAGATCCCTTCTCCTACCATAAAAGTTACAGGGTGCACCTTTAAAATTGGAGTTGTAGGGGGTTTAAGATTTAAGATTGCCATGACTTTTTATAGATCCTTTTATTAAATACTTCTTGTAATACTTTTTTATTGCAGCTATGTATATGAAAGATTATTTCGGTTAATCAACAATCATGACTTATTCAGAAGGTTTTGGTTTCATAAAGTCACAAATTAAAGCTTGTTTGGTCATGGTGTCAATAACTGGGAATCATGATGATTTTATTTTATTTTTTTACACTATGGATCATTTAGAAAAGGGTTTACTGGGATCATGATGCTTGTTGAAAAGTTGTGTTAGTGGTTGTCATACTAACATTTATTATACTGATCGCTGTTTAAACCCTTTTATCGTGACAGGTGTTTTGTTTGTACATGTGACTCACGGTGAAAGTGAGCTTGTTGCCTCTGTTCTCCAGTTTGTCATCGCTGGCATAGAACGTGAAGGTCTGCATCACGTTAGCCCCGGCCCTCAGGAACTCCCTGTGCAGCTGCCTCACTGGAAACACAGAGAAAATCTGTCAATGTCACATTTTATAGTTTTTCAAAAAGCTAAGGTGTTTTAAATGTATGTATGCTTGTATACTTTACTCTGCTTTATTTTACTCTACTTAACTTTACTTTACTCTACTTTACTCTGCCTTACTCTACTCTACTTTTTCTTTATTATACTCTGCTTTACTTTACTTAACTTTACTCTGCTTTACTCTACTCTACTTTACTTCACTTTGCTGTACTCTACTTTGATTTATTGTACTCTTAACTATTTTACTCTGCTTTACTTTACTTTACTCTGAGATAAATACTAAAGTAGATAGACTTAGACAAACTTTATTGCTCCACAAGGGAAATTACTTGGAGTTGGATTTTGTAGTAGATATAAAATTCAACAAAAAATCTTCATCAAAAGTAATACATTTGAAGCCTTATAAGACCTCAGAGTTTTACTCTGTAAGTACATTTTTAAATGGGTATTTTAGTATTTTAACTTAAGTAAATTTTTTCATGTGATATTTTTATTTTACTTCAGCATTTTTCTCTTGCTCTGGTATCTGTACTTTCACTTAACTTAAACATTTGAGTACTTCTTCCACCACTGCATATCTCCAACCACATGTTTTATAGATCTATGTGTCCTGGAATCAGTGCCAAATATATTATATAAGTATAAGTCTGTTGAGTGGCCCCAGTGCAATCTTGGTTCTGAGCCCAGATTTCAAATAGGTCATCCACAATCAGCAGTTATAACAATGAGAACAATGATTATTAACTGACTTATATTAATTAACTTAACCTAGACTGGATCCTTTAAAGTAGGAACATAGTCTGCTGTACTCTTCTGCCTGATGTTACACCCTGTTGAGATTCAAACCTCTCACCAGCTTCGGGGTGTTCGGCGGCTGCCTCAGGGGTCCAGGGTCCGGCCTTCACATAGCCCCTCTTCTCCAGAGCAAAGACAAAACCTCCATCTCCAATCACAATCTCTCCAGCGTCAAGACGCTCCAAGATTCCCTACAATGATAAACATGGATAAGAATATTTTCAATTTTACAAGCTTTTTGGAAAATACTACATGAGCTTCTCGAATAAAGTTTTGTATTCCAAAAAGTAATATTCAAGAAAAGATATAAGTGTATTAGGTTATTTAATGTATTTTAGGTGTAAGTAAGTTTTAGATTACATTCTTCAATACTTTTCTAGTTTATTTCCCAAATTTTAAATTAAAAAAAGCCCAAAAAAAAGGGCCATATTTTTACATCATTTTATCCAATGATATGAATGAATGAATATATGATCTAAGTTTAAAAAGTTTTTTTTCTTGTAATATAGTTCAGAACTTTTCAGACACACGTGGTCTTAGGGAAATCTGACCGTCCATGCCAGCTGTGCAGCACATGCCATGGCAAGAAGCTATAGGATTATAGAAGCATAAGTCCAGTTAATGTGCATGTCATAAAGCACTAAATTATGCATAAAACAATTCAACGTGTTATCCAAAAGTGTAGCAGCAGGCCAAGTCAAAAGCATTCTAACATGTTACATTTTTTTATCATTAAAATATACATATACACTACCAGTCAAAAGTTTGGCCACACCATTTAATGTCCTCAAATTAGCCAACCTTTGCTTTGTAGAAAAATATTTAGTAGTTGTTTTATTTTTTCTTTACTACATAATTCTGCAAATCTCACTTTATATATTAGATGTCTTCTGTGTGTATATCAAATGTAGAAAGTAGTAAACATTAAAAAAAAACTGTGAATGAGAGGGTGACTGGTAGTGTATATAACTTAACTTAGTCTATAGCTGTCTCCATGCAGATTTGCACATGCATTACTGGACACGTACCTTCGCTGGTGCCATGTTCTTGCAGCTGTGTGGACCTCCTGACTGCTCAGACTTTGAGTGGACATTGGAGGAGCGCCGAAGTCCACTATAAATCCCTCTAAGGTAGGGGAGGGGTCAAAGTAGCACTGTCTCTGATTGGCAAGTGCTCAGTTACACAACTGCCGTGCTGTTTACTCCCTCTCCTCCCCTCTCGGAGTGAATGGGAGTATTGTGAGAGTTACGAGTTTGGTCCAGATAAATTGGGGGGTGTTTTTCAATGAGTTCATCCATTTCTGTCCAATTGAGGGGCCCTGTTTACTGTTTAAATCCAGATACGCCTCCAATCTGAAGGAATTAACTCAATAAATTAAACTTGCGTTAAAGTTGCACCGTGTTTGTCTGTTACCTACTTGTCTCTGTAGAAATTGTAGTTATTGTTTTGCCTGGATTGTCACACAGTATGGCTTTAAACCTACATTGCTTGTATGTATTTAATGACAGAGTTTTTTAAAGCTTAAAAAAAAATGCATTCTTTCTGTAAGCGGAATTACCTCTCCATAGATTTGACTTGTAACATGGCTTATGTCCATGTAGATACACACATTTAATGCCCTACTGTGGAATATTCAAGGCAAAACAATAACATCTCCATAGTGACAAGCACTAGAAACATTACATAGAGCAGCTTTAAAGAAAAAAACAAACACATTGACAAAGTATAGTGGTGATTGCGGGTTTATTTTGGTTATTTTTTGCAGTAACATTATTTACCAGTTCGCTGTAACAAGTGCTTTTGATTTTGCAACTGAACCAGAAAAGACTCCTGGCTCGATAGTTGACCTAATAAGGTTCTTGGTGTTTTCTTGTGTTATATTTTCTTGTTTCATTGCTTTATACATTTAATCTTTACACACTAGATTTGACTTTCTTCTGCCTGTCCAGGACTTGTTGCATCTCCTCAGCAGTGGTCGCCTCTCGGTGCTGCAGTAGCTCAGGGTTGCCCTTGGTTACGCCCCAGCCCTCGGGAGTGGACAGGGAAGGACACTGGGGGCGACCCGAGGCAGGACGGAGCTTCTCCCAGTAATCCCTATGAGCCCTGGATATAACAAAACAAGGACCTGTTTTTAACTGGAAGTGGAGTTGTAATATTTGTGTTTTTTTATCATAACGATCAAAACTATGTAGTGTTTGATGTTCTAAACTTTCATAATTTTGTTGTTTTTCTAAAATCTTCTGTCTTTAATGCATTATGGCTCATTATGGATAACATTTTGAGGACTTTTGACAATTTGAAACATACTGTGTAGAATATTTGGCCTTGAACACTTAAAGCTGCATTACTCGATTATTAGTTTATTTGTTGTTTGTTTTGTTTTGCTTTTTAGTTCCTAGCTCTCACAAACCCCTTGGCTACAACTGAGATGATGTTTTAAAAGAGCTTTTTGTACAAAATTTCCTCATTTCTAAAAATAAGAACGGGGTACCCTAAATCTAACCACTATAGGTCAAAAAGTCTAAATTTATCACCATTTTAAAACTCATTGATTCGTACTAGAGCTCACCAAACAAACCAGATAAGTGTTTTTGAGAATAGCTGAGTGGATGTATGTCAGTGCCTCAATAAGTAAAAAACAAAAAGCAGATGGTTAAGCCAGTTAAAGTTAAAGCGGAGTGTGTCAACCTAAGCAGCTGTACATTAAAGTTGATCATCTCCTGCCTTAAGTGCACTGTTGTGGTTCGTTTCATTTAGGTTTAACAGCAAAGGTCAAAGTTGATTCAATCCTGTCTGTTGATTCTGTATTGGGACAACACACTGGAATGGCATGTAATGTATGATTTAATTATCAGGACTAAAGGTGCATTTAAAGGCAAAAATAAAGATACTTGATTTAGGTTTGTGGTCACACTGTACACATTAGTCTAGAATTGGGACTAAAACTGGAGCTAAATCTTGAGTAGACCAGAACTAAACTTGGATCAAATCAGGACCGGATTAGAGTTTGAACTAGGGCTGCAATGATTCATTGACTAATAAACTAATTTTAAAAACTATAACTAGTATTACTATCTGCACTATAAAAGGCAGTATGCCTTTTGCTAGGAAAGTTAACACAGACAGCAGCATTACAGTAATAAATAATAAAGAGTAAAAAAGATATTTTGAGATGTATACTTTAAAGGTGCCATATTAGGCAAAATTGACTCTTGTGACCTTGTAGCCATGTTTGAATGTTGTTACCTCATCTAAAACATACCCAGAGTTGTGTTTTGTTTCATTCACATACGTTTGAGTAACCCTGCAGCTTTAATTTGTCTATATTTCCAAAGCTCAAAATGCTCTGTTCCACCTTGTGATGTAATGAAGCGGTAGTTTTCAAGTTTAACAGGCACCTTTTGCTTTATGTTCAGTAGAAATGGGCAGTTCCAGGGTTGAAATTATCCAAATAACCCTAGTGAAGGTGTATGGAGTCTAAAAACACAATGTGCTTTTTTGTTTGAGAGAAAAACTCAGTCTAAATATGCAGGATGTGTTAAACGTGTGAATAAAACAAAACACAAATCCAGGTATGTTTTTGATGAGGAAACAACATTACAACATAAATCAGAAAATAGCGTAATATAGACCCTTCAAAATAATGGACCATAACAACAAGCTTCCACTGGAATATTTAACCTTAAACTAGCTCTAGTTTGAACACAGTCTTTGGGTCATCACTACATCTTTTTAATGATTTCAGTTGTCACTATATTGCTCACCTTGCTCTGACCCATGGCTTGGTGTGCATCTCCAGACCAGCGCCCCAGAGTCCATGTTTGTCAGACCCCTGAGGCAGGAAGCCCCTCTCTGGTGCCAGCTCCTCGGCCACCGCCCTGGTGTGGTAGGGCTCAAACCCACAGCAGCCTCCAATGTAGCGAATACCGGCGTTATAGGCCTCCCTGGCGTATTGGTGCATGTCCCAGCGGGTCAGGATTCTGGGTTCAAGAGCTTAAAGAAGATAAAATAGGTTAAAGGTTCTATATTACACAAAATTGACTCTTGTGAGCTTTAAGCCATGTTATACTGTTACTTCATCAAAAACATATCTGAACTTGTGTTTTGTTTCATTCACATGTTTGAGTAATCCTGTATTATTAGTCTGCCTACATCTCCAAAGCTCAAAATGCTCTGTTCCACCTTATGATGTCATTAAGTGGCATGTTTTCTGTTTGAGAGAAGAAGGAAAATATGCAAGGTTTGTGTATTAAACATGTATGAATGAAACAAAACACAAATCTAAGTATGTTTTTCATGAGATAACAGATCAGAAAATAGTGTAATTTGGGCTTTTTAACATGATATCATAACCTTCTAATCTAAACTGACCATATCTCTGTTGGGATGAATATAGTACATGAACATGTATATATCTATATTTTAAGATTTAGGACTGCTGAAAATTTGCTATTTAACTGTCAAAATGTAGCTGCTAGGTCTATTACATTAAATCACAACTGACAGAAAGTTCAGTGTTTTCTTTGTCAAAAAAGAAGTAAAAAATGTGGCAATATTCAACTACAAATACTACATTGCTGTCTAGGGCTGGGTATCATTCAGAAGTTGCCTATACGATACACACCTCACCTACATAGGCCATGATATGATACATATCTTGATACAGTGTACTTTCGATTCAATACGATATATTTCAAATCAATTTAATATGGTTCATTAAAAAATAAAGGCTAAATGGCTCATGGCTGTGACACTAAACCACTTCTTGTGCAAAGTTCATATGAAACACGCTCATTTTACTCATCAAGACAGTGAAAATGTCAAATGTGTTGCATAAACGAGTTTCCTTTGTCTAAACAAGCAACAAAACTGTAGCGCTGTAACAAAATAATTTAGTAAAATATACAAAAAAATACTCTTGGTGATATATCGATACAGCAGCCCATGATATCAGTACTGTATCATCACATTAAACGATGCGATATATCGATATTTCAATATTTCAATGTTTTTGCACACCCCTATTACTGTCTGTTAAAAAGACTTCAAGACAGCCACAAGATTAAGTTTATCAATTTGTAGTTGGGATCCCTTACAAAAAGATCATTTGGTTCAGCAAGATGGATTATGTATTTGGATGTGTCTTAAAAAAAAGTGAATTGTCAGTAGTTTTACAGGCCCTGCCCTTCATCTGAAATTATGATGTGAAATTTGAGTCTGTTGCGAACCTGTTACAGTGTTTTGTTGAAACTGAGTTACACATAATGATACTTTGCAGCTGATTTCATCAACTTTCCCTAGTGGTGTGATGCTAACTGTAGGCCTCACTCTGTCTGAGACTTTAATCTGATCTTTATTTTAGCACAATCTGACCAGAAAGAGCTGGCTTGGTTGGAAGTACAACACTGCACAATATAGATATATGTAAAACACCCCCAGCATGACGTCACTGCAAAATATCAACAGCCTTGAATCATCCCCTCTGAACATAGATGTAATCGTATGATATTAGTTGGACAAAAGTATCATAAAATCACAAAGGGGTCTTACCAAAGGGGAATTCAGGCAGATCGATGAACCCTTGGCAGTTACAGTCTGGGGTGTGGTAGGCCAGAGGCTGCACTATGAAGTGAGCCTTGAGTCCAGCCTTCTCCACTGCAGCCTTCATCATCTTCACAGTCTTCACACAGGTCAGGGGGTCAAAGTGGCAGTTCACTCCCACAATCTTAGCACCTGGAAAATAGTACAGAGGTCTATAGACTCATGTCATAATAATAATAATAACAAACCTATGAGATTAACTAACTCTCTTCTTTCTGCTCCTTTTCATTCATTTCTTGTATGTTTGATGTTGTGACACTGTTGGTGTCTTTTTATACTTTACGAATGAAATAAATAAAAAAAATAAAATAAATAAAATAACTAAGTACTTCACTGCTTAAAGGTCCTATATTAGACAACATTTACTCTTGTGAGCTTTAAGCCATGTTATAATGTAAGTACCTCATCAAAAACATACCTGGAGTTATGTTTTGTTTCATTCACATGTTTGAGTAATCCTGGTTCATTCGTCTGTTTACATCTCAAAAGCTGTTCCACTTTGTGATGTCATGTAGTGGTCGTTTTCAAGTTAACAGCTATACTTTTACCTTTTGTTCTGATACGGCTGAACAGTCGATTCTAATGAAGGTGTATGGAGTTTGAAAACACAATGGAGCTCTTCCTGTATTACCACATGACATGACAAAGTGGAACAGTGTGTTTTCAGATTGAGAACCTAAATATGCAGAACCTAAATATGCAGGATTTGTGTGGTAAACCTGTGCAAATGAAATAAATTCCAGGTATGTTTTTGATGAAAAAACAACATTATAACATAGGTCAGAAACATAACATAGGCCCTTTAAATCAGCCTAAATACAATCAGGTACATATCCCAGCAGCCAGGTACAGGACAGACCCTCTGCATGTGCTCGTACAAAGGCCTATTTCAAAGATGGATTGTGTCACTTTTCTGGTGGAGGGTTCATCAAAAGCTTTTCTCCATGCAAATAGTATTACAGCCCTGCCCTCAGTGAAGAGGTGAACAGTTTGGTCAATAACTACTGTCATGCTGCTCCATGTGTCACTTGGAAGATCGCTTTGGATTTAATGGAGGCACAGTAAGTACAGGCACTGACATCCTCATGAAAACAACTTTGACCCAACATCCATCTGTAGGGTGTTTTTGTGTGTGTGTATTTACTTTATCCCAAATAACTAAATATGTTCAATTCAGTTTCAGTAAATAAAAAGTCCCATACCAGCCTTGACCAGTCTAACGGCGCAGTCTCCAGGAGAGACCCCGTGCATGTCACCCTGGGGTCCGATGCACAGAGTCGCAGCCACAGGTTTTCCACTGGTCTTCAGCACCTGCACCGCCCACTCTGCCTCCTCCACGTGCTCAAAGTACTGCAAGGACAAACCAGCTATTAAAACACTTTTAAAAATGATTTCTATGTGGTGGTCAGATAGAGATAGATAAATAATTTATTAATCCTGAGGAAAAGTCACTAAAGGTACACTATGTACTTTTTCTGGAACCCCAAAATCTAGACTTAGAAACTAATTAAACCAAATAACTAGTTGATGACTAAAATCAACATTAACATTTGAGTGATTATAAGTCAAGACACAAACTGTACCTCAGCGATCAGGAAGTCCACATTCTTCTTGATGAAAACGTCCATTTGTTTTTTGAAGATGGCTTTCACTTCGGCCTCGCTTTTGCAGCTCAAGTAGGACGGGGTCTGGGACACTCCACCAGCAACCAGCGCGTCGCCCTCATTGGCCACTTCACGAGCCAGATCACACGCAGCTTCATTTACTTGTGCACCCTGATAATAAGCAACAAGTAAAAAGGTCCTATATTATGCAAAATTTACTCTTGTCAGCTGTAAGCCATGTTATAATGCTGTTGCCTCACCAAAAACATACCTGGAGTTGTGTTTTGTTGCATTCACACATATTTGAGTAATCCTAAATTACTGTCTTTGGGGCTGTCTACATCCCCAAAGCTCAAAATGCTCTATTCTACCTTGTAATGTCATGAAGTGGTAGTTTTCAACCTAACATCTACCATTTTACCTTTGGTTCAGTGGATAATTCTGGGGCTGAAATCATCCAAATGCTTTTAGTGAAGGTGTATGGACTTTAAAAATACAGTGGAGCACTTCCTGTATTACCACATGAGATCAAAAGGTCAACAGGGTGTTTTGTGTTTGAGAAATGAAGTCAGAACCTGAAATATGCAGGGTTTGTGTGTTAGAATGAATGAATGAATGTGTGTGAAAAAAAAAACACAACTCCAGGTTTTTGATATGGGCCTTTTAATGAAAACAGGTGAACTATGATGCCTCAGTATCGTCTAATTTTGTCCTCATAGTCTAAATAAGATGAACAATAAGCTGCTATGATAATGATTAACAATGTTTTTGGTTTTTGTAGTGAATGTTTATCTTGATCCGTGATATTTTTTTTATGGGTGTCAGAGGTGGGTAGAACTTTTTAATAAAATATTTTTTCTCCGAGTAGTTTTCAGTCATTTGTATTCGGATATAGTTATGTTTTGTGGTTGATGCTTTGAAAATAACAGAGTATGTGCAATATTTAATTTTTTCCTTCCAGTTACTTAAATTTATAAATCAGTTACATTCAGAAATTGACTGATATGACTATACTTGGGTAGTACTTTCTCAAATTATCATAAATTAATTTGCTGGACCATTATATTGTATCTGTACTTCAATAATATTATACTGAAGTGACAGTACTTTGACCTGAGTACAATTGTTGGCTACTACCCACCTCTGCACATCACAGCCTTTGTAGAAATCTTCAATACCTAATCCTGATGTTCAATATAACTCATTGGCTCAGTTACTCACTGTGATTTTGAGGGCCTGTCCCCTGTTCTCCAGTTTATCGTCACTGGCATAGAAAGTGAAAGCTTGCATAACATTGGCACCAGCTCGGAGGAACTCTCTGTGCAACTGTCTCACTAAAATACACAAAGAAAAAAATCATTATTTGATGATTTGGACACTGTGTTGAATCACTGGGTTGAACTATTTCAACACTTTTTATAGACACAGATGTATTCAGCTGATATGGGGACTTCGCCCTGACCCTCCTGATGAATAAAAGACATAGATAAGGTTAAAAAAAAAAACAAAAAACTTTCACATTAAATATTATCAATGGATGTAACATTTTTTTCCCATAAAATTCATTATCTAAGTATTTTAATATTTAGGTCCAGATTTATAATGGTTAATGTATCATAAGTAATGTACTTTATAAAAGATTAAATCATCCCATGTGTTTTTACTGTCATAACAATAAATTTCTACTCTCATCTCCAGAGCAAAACTAGACAACATTATTAATGTACAGTCCAACATTTTAAAACAGCATTGTTCAAAACAGTGGAGCATGTTAAAGGTGCAATATGTAACTTTTCTGGTGTAGGGTGCGGTTCCTCCTTTTCTCCAAAAAAATTATACTGCTTCGCTGAGTAATATATTTTTTGAATCAGCAAAAGAGAAACCCCTCACGAGAAATGTTAGCTAGTATACGTTTAAATACTATTACAGTGAATATCTTAAATGGACCCAGAGTTAATTATTAAACCCCTTTGGTTATAACAGACTTTAGTGTAACTCACCAGCTTCTGGGTGAGTGACGGCGGCCTCGGGGGTCCAGGGCCCGGCCTTCACATAGCCCCTCTTCTCTAGAGCAAACACAAAGCCCCCATCTCCAATCACCACCTCGCCTGCATCCAGACGCTCAAGGATACCCTTGTGAGTGAGAAGAAAGTCACATATGAAATTATAAGACATAGCAATACACATATAAATGTATAATTTTTCAGTTGTTCCATTAAGTACTGCTATTTTTAGATAGATACTAAACTCTCTCAAGATTGAATTGCCACTAGGGCCTTGTTGACACTTGTCCTAGTTTGGTCCTGGTTTAGTCCTGGTCTAGTCCAGGTTTAGTCCTGATTTGGCCCTGTTTTAGTCCTGGTCCAGTCCAGGTTTAGTTTCAGATTTTGATGTGGTGCTTGTGTATGTGTGATCACTGCCAAAGAGTACACTGCTCGAAACACTGAAGCACTGTCTAGTTTGATAAAATACTAAATACATGTAACATATGTTTTCAAGTAATAACGTCCATCTAAATATGTCTAAAGCTCAAAGTAAAATATATTACAATAAACTACCTGCCTTCATAGTAAGTTTCAACATTTTTGGAAAACATATAATGCAAATATGCGAGAAGAGAATACTGAAATATGAACAGCTAAAGTGAAATAAAGAATCAAATGCATTTCAGAACATATCTGTAGAGGTCCAAACTGCATGGATAACACTTTCTTTTACATGACATAGAAATGCTATACTTTGTGCATGTGATTCTGTATCTGGCAGATCATATTACCAGTTCCGACCATCCGAATCTAATCCATAATTAATTTCATGTTTTACCTTCTTTGGCATCTCTGCTTCTGATATTCAGTTGCAGCACTTGTCACAGTGAACCTGTCTTTGGGCCTGGACAGCACCTGGAGGACTGTGTGAACTGTTTTATACCACTGTGGGAGAATGGGTGGATTTAAATTCTGTGCCAGATCTAAGATACATATTTGTTTTGGCTTTATGTAACTCGTCTGGTCCACTACACTGAAGGCTGGCATGGGCTCAGGTAAAACAAGGACAGGTTTTTTTCAGTCCTGTCAGTTTAATAATTATATTAGAGCTGCAGGAAATTGGGTCACTGGTTAAAATATTAACTCACACCTCAGTTTTGTGTAAATTTCTAAATACATGTTTACATGGGCTTTTGATGACAGTAATAACAGACAGAGCCAAACTTAAAAAAATAAATTAGGGCACTTTTAAAGACACCCCAAAACTCCTCTTGCAAATGTTACAGGAGGACTATGCAGCTTTTCTGGAGGAGTGCCCCCCACCAGCTTGTCTTTGATACCATTGCATTTTGGAGGCTTCTAGGCAACACATCTCCATGGATACAAACAGGGCCATTATTTGGTCAGTCCCGTATCTGGCTTGTCTGTATTTCTGGTGAAGCGTTGTCCCAGTCCAAAACACTGGGAGGTCTTTGGGTGGGTGCTGTGGGTGTGTTGACCTTCGGTGCAGCGTGTGGAGCTCTGTGGTGACTGGGTCTATCCAGTTTAAGGGAGATGGTGACAGATCTGTGCTGTTTATCAACAGAGCCAAAGTCCAGACGACAATCTGGAAAAATCCAACTGTTTCATTTAACTATTGAGCCAGTGTTAAAGCAGCACTATGTAACATTTCAAGTGGAGAGTCTGCCACCTACTTGTTATGTTATTGCTTTGACAGTATTGCATTAAATTGATATATTTTGCATCTCTTCAAATAGATCTAAATCCTTACAGTGAGCGGCGTTGTTTCTCCTGGTGTCATCAACTGCTTGTCTCCTTGGAAACAGACAATAATCTGTAATCTCCATAGAGACAAAAACATGGTGGACCCTCCAGCAGAAAAGTTTCACAGTGCACCTTTAACATTAACATTATGACCACATGTCCATAGTTTATGTGTAGCGCTATAGGCAGAAATAGCTCTTATGTTTCAAGTATCAGTGTAGTGCTGACTCAGGGCAGCGTGGTAAAGGAGAGCCCACATACCCCATACAGATGGACCACAAGTGTCCACTGGAATGAGCTGGAATGTGACTGCATTTTGTCCAGCCTGACCTTTGACCTTTTGACATCATGAAAACACATAACTTATGCAACATGAACTATGAGGAAACACACATTTTAAGGCAGACTGGTTGCATTTGTGGATTTCTTCTACATATCATTACTCCAATTTATGTTTTAAAACTAGGATCCCATGCACATTATAAACAAGTATAACCTAAAACATGCTACATAGGTCTCCAAAAAGAACAGTTGATAGCCAAGGTCAGTTAAATACAATCAATCAATGAACCTGCCCAGGGACTACAGGTGGAAATTAGCACTGGTGCTACAACCTGGTACAATGCATTTCTCCTGTTAAGGTTAATGTAAAAACTGTGCGCTGTCTCTGTCTCTAAATAAATAAATAAATAAATAAATTGTTAATTGTTAAAGTCTAAGAGTAGTTGCATTTCAGAAAAGGCCAAAATATGAATGAATAACTATTGTAAAATCGACCAGACCAAACTAACTTTTCAGGTGGAGGGTCCGTCACTGCTTGCCTCCATGTAGATGCTTTGCTAAATGCATAAATATAAGATAAGTTTAATGCTATACGGTGGAACATTCCATATAATCCACATCACATCTCCATAGTTTCAAGCATCTGTTTTCACTGTCCACCCAACTGTCAACATTACAATAGTTATATGGTTGTTGTTTATAATGTGCACGGCATTTAAAACATAAATTGCACATTTTATGATAATATTGGTCAAAAATCACAATTCTTTATTTCTTTCTTTATTTTAAATCCTTCACATATACATGTTTATTTGCTCCTGCCACAGATAACTAACAGAAGTCAGGTTAAGTCTTACAACCTCGTAATTGACTGAAGACTTCTGTTTACATGTTGTGGACTCAGTATTAAATTTCACCAGAGACATTTTAGCTATTTCAGATTTCAGAGTACAACTGTGTGTAGAGGCCGAGGAGTTTGATATTTCTATTTGTAGCCAGAACTAGTTCACACAGGCTACAGCTGGAGCCATTATAAACGTCCTGAAAGACTGGACTAAAGGGAGCGGAGGAGGCGGCCCATAGGTGTGGCACTGAAGTTCTTCTAAGTTCTCCAACAGAAAACACTCTGTTTCACACTGTGATAACATGAGGTGAAACAGATTGGGCTCCACTGTGTTTTTAAACTCCATACACCTTCACTGGAATCACTTGGAAAATTTGAGCCCTGGAATTATCAAGGGCTACTGAAGAAAAAGACAAAAAGGTAGCGTTGATATCACAGGGTGGAACAGAGCATTTTGAGCTTTGGAAATGTAGGCAGACCAGGATTACTCAGCGGGTTTTTGATGAGGTGAGCTTTAACATGGCTTTAATCTTTAAGTGTATAGCACCTTTGACTGTCTCTAAGTCACAGGTGTCAAACATACGGCCCGAAGGCCAGATCCGGCCCTCCAAGACCTTTAATCTGGCCCTCGGCTGATTTTCTACTAAAATATTTTAATTATATTTCTTATTAAAATATTGGTAATTTCCTGTGTTGTTTAGCACAGCAGCGTCTCCAGCATCTCTGTGCGTGGCCCCTCCCACCAGAGCAGCACAAATGAAGACTTGTCTCTTTCCAAACGCTCTTAAAGGACGATCGTTTTGAATGTTGACCGTGACACCCTCATCAGCAAAATGTCCAAAATGAGAAAAGTGGAGCCGAGTGCAGGATTTTCCAAGAAAAATTGACTTATTCCTATTTGCATACAAGTTAATGTTAAAACTTTGTGTTGAAATTGTATTTTTTTTAAAGTTTCAGGTTTTTCATAATATTATAATATTTAGTAAAAAAAAAAAAAAGAGTTTATCAATTAAAAAAGAGTTTTGTAACAGATTTGTGTTTCTCTGCACAAATATTTGAACTTATTGTTATTTTTGGGGTTTATGACATGAGTTTTCTGATCCAGCCCCTTTGGATCAAAGTCGGTTCAATACAGCCCCCGGACCAAAATGAGTTTGACACTCCTGCTCTAAGTGAAGAGGGCTGGGAAAAGGCCAGATTTGTCGTTATAAAAGGAGAAAAGGAGGAGATGAGAGGCGCTGCACGTTTGCAAACTGCTAACCACATTATCTTTGGGGGGACCGCATTTGTAACGTGAACGACCTGGGCTGACACTGATAAAGATATGGTTAACTATTGACAGTTCAAACACCAATAAAATACACTGTTGCTTCAGAGACATCACATGCTTTCACGGGCTTTTGACCAAAGATTCAACATTGGTATTTTAATCCAAGCTAGTCCACAGCAAATCTATCTTTAGGGCCAAACTCACCAGCTCTTAAAGCTTTTCTGTGTCTCCTCCTGTTAGTTTATCTCCACCCCTTTCCACGGTCCAATCACAGCTCAGTGTGGAGTCAACATGTGCTACTCATGCCTGTCTTCTTGCACTGGTGTAGGCCACTGAAACATAATGCAGAGAAGAAAGGTTACTCGGTTTATTGAGTATATGTTCTTTGACCTAGTATTTCTTCAAAAGTTGCCGTTATCTATCCTGTCGTGCTGTACTCAATTCGAGTAAATAAAATGCAGTGAAAGTCATTCTGTAAAAGAGCTAGACACGAAAAACCTGTCTATCACTCATGGGCATTACTGGAGCGTACCTATGTACCCACAGCCCCATTAAAAAATAAAATAAATAAAAAATAAATAAATATAAATAATAAATATATATATATATATATAATATATATATATATATATATATTATATATTATATATATATATATATATATATATATATATATATCCATCCATCCATCCATTTTCGTCCGCTTATCCGGGGCCGGGTCGCGGGGGAGCAGCCTAAGCAGGGACTCCCAGACTTCCTTCACCCCAGACACGTCCTCCAGATCCTCCGGGGGGACCCCGAGGCGTTCCCAGGCCAGCCGAGAGACATAGTCCCTCCAGCGTGTCCTGGGTCTTCCCCGGGGCCTCCTCCCGGCGGGACATGCCCGGAACACCTCCCGAGGGAGGCGCCCAGGAGGCATCCGGAACAGATGCCCGAGCCACCTCAACTGGCTCCTCTCGACGTGGAGGAGCAGCGGCTCTACTCCGAGCTCTCCTCCGTGTGACTGAGCTCCTCACCCTATCTCTAAGGGAGCGCCCAGCCACCCTGCGGAGGAAACTCATTTCGAGCGCTTGTATCCGCGATCTCGTCCTTTCGGTCACTACCCAGAGCTCATGACCATAGGTGAGAGTAGGAACGAAGACTGACCGGTAAATCGAGAGCTTCGCCTTTCGACTCAGCTCCCTCTTCACCACAACGGTCCGATACAGCGACCGCATCACTGCCGAAGCTGCACCGATCCGCCTGTCAATCTCACGTTATACATATATATATATAATTCTATTTAAGAGATATTTTAGAAAGTAATACTGTGACCTCTACCCTCACCATGGCCCTAACTTTAACCATAAACAATAAAAGTGGTAACATAGAGCTAACACCGTAGACCTATTATTATATAAACTACACTCAACCCAGTAAGTTTGTTCAAAATGTTCATTAAAACTCAGTGAATTAACACGATTCAGAAGTGCTGTCTTTGATTTCTCCATAAGGGAAATAAATAAAAGCTTCATACTTACATACAGAGATGTTTGTTCGTATACACCGGGGCACGTGGTTCTCGTGGCGCGCATTGACTAAGTTTTGGTCACTAATTTAAAAAAAACAAAACAAAACAAAACTAAAAAAACATTATTACAGTTTCAGATTATCTTCAGTAGGATACAATTCGTTCACTGCCATAATTTGCCAAAAAAAAAAAAAGGGGCTTGAAGACATAAAGTTCCATCTTCTACTTGCACTGTGCACATTTGTCCACAAGAGGGCGTCCTGTTGTTAGTAATACTTGACCAGCAGCAGGAGCAAACAAAGTGTTACTGATTGTTGGGGAAACTTGTACATCAGCAGCATTAGGATTGTGTGGCGTCTCCTTCTTTTTCATTAGAGCAAATCATACTGACAGATTTTAAGTCTTATGTGGGCTATTTTGCAAACACGTTATCACAAGTGTTTTACAAGTAGATGCACAACAACTCACCTTTATGTAACAGATAACCCTATGTCATTGTTGCACAGTCTTCCTATGACCTCTTGCATAAAGCTGAGATTTTATATTTGATTACTTTCTATTTTATTTTGACTTGTACATAAACTTTTATACAAATATGCCTTATTTGACAGCTGTCTCTTTAGAATTTCTATTACCATTTATATGTTTTGCTCTTTCTTATTATATTATATTGTGATGAGTGAGCTACTGTGTCCAAATAATTTCCCTCGTGGATCAATAAAGTTTGTCTAAGCCTTAGTCTAAGTTTCCTGTATCCCACTGTTTACTGGATAAGCCATTTATATTTAGTTCATGACCTAACTTGACGCTATAACTCAGTTTGACGTGCTCAAAAGAAAAAGTAAAATATACTTATGATAAAAGTCCAAACAAAGGGGGGTCGGTCTTGTTTTGCAGCTGACGCACACGCCTCTGATTGGCTGCTCTTTTGAAGTATGCTAATGAGGTGGGCGGGGCCAGAGTGAAAGAGTATGTGACGTCAGTTCCCCCGTTCTCAGTGAGCGAAACAAACATGGCGGTAGACTCGAGTGGACCAGGGTTTAGGCTAAATTTATTCTTATTTACCTGCGCTTTTCTGGGGACCCGGACTGAGGTGGCGGGCCAGGACACGAGAAGCCCCCCGCGGATACTCGGCATGCGCCTGGAGAGGAGCGACACCCCGGCGGGCACCACGGAAAAAGGGGTGATCCAGGTGACCGAGGGCAGTGACATCCTCTGCAGGTTCTACGGGCTGCACTTGCTCCCCAACAGCTCGGGTCTAATCAGGTTTACGGAACTTTACTCCAGCGACAAAGAGGATGACGATCTGGGGGCGATAGACATGCAGTTCAATAGGACTTGTCCGGAGCCTACTATAGACGTGATTGTGCGTAAAGGCATGAATGTTTCCAATCATAACACTGCCGGAGTGGTCAGTGTCCGGGTCAAACAACTTCGTAAGAGCGAGGTGGTAAAAGTTTTCGGATTGTGCGTACGGGACAGCTTGGAAGATGACAAGTGGCGGCTTTTGGATGAAAATGATGGAAGACTGCGCGTGGTGGAGGAGAAAAAGTCACTACTTCCCATGTGGGTACAGGTTATACTGATCTCCTGCCTCTTGGTTCTGTCTGGGTTGTTCAGTGGTCTTAACCTTGGACTGATGGCGTTGGACCCCATGGAACTTCGCATAGTGCAAAGTTGTGGTACAGAGAAGGAGAAGAAATACGCACGCAAAATTGAGCCAATTCGTAGGAAGGGTAACTACTTACTGTGTTCCCTTCTTCTCGGAAATGTCCTGGTCAACACTACTCTCACTATACTTCTTGACGACCTTATTGGCTCAGGTTTAGGGGCAGTGGTCGCATCTACTGTTGGGATTGTCATCTTTGGAGAAATTGTCCCCCAAGCTCTGTGCTCCCGTCATGGTTTAGCTGTAGGTGCCAACACTATCCTCCTCACCAAGTTTTTCATGCTATTGACTTTCCCGCTGTCATGGCCTATAAGTAAGCTTTTAGACTGCGTTTTGGGGCAAGAAATTGGCACGGTTTACAATAGAGAGAAGTTGGTGGAGATGCTCAAAGTGACAGAGCCCTATAATGATCTAGTAAAAGAGGAACTAAACATGATCCAAGGAGCTTTAGAACTAAGGACCAAAACTGTAGAGGATGTGATGACTCCTCTTAGTAACTGTTTTATGATTCATAGTGGGGCCGTTTTAGACTTTAACACCATGTCGGAAATTATGGAAAGTGGATACACGAGGATACCTGTCTACGAAGATGAACGATCAAATATAGTGGACATCTTGCTTGTCAAAGATTTGGCCTTCGTCGATCCGGATGATGGTACCACTCTCAAGACCATCACCAAGTTCTACAACCACCCGGTGCATTTTGTGTTCCACGATACGAAGCTGGACTCCATGTTGGAGGAATTCAAGAAAGGTGGGTGCAGTTATTCATTTAAGAGCTCTCATAGATATTTTAATTCAGCTGTAGATGCTTTATTGATCTTACATGGTGGGGTTGACATCACAGATTACATAAATGCACATAGGAAACCTGCTTGTTGTCACTTTCCAATTGGAAGTGAGCATGGGTTCGTCTTCGGCTCCATCGAGTCTGGCTCCAATTTACTTTGTCCTAAAAAACTTAACAGCTGCTGTCAGAGTTCTTATTTTGGTCTTAAGATGTTCAAATCAACCAGTTCTACATGGTCCAGGCATTTTATTTTATTTTTTAGCTTTTTTGTCCATAAATCAGTCGCTACTTCTAATATGGAACTCTGCTCCAAATTCGCCCCATAACTGCAAGCCTCATGAGCTTCATTTGACTGGAACCGAATGCTATGGGTAATGCCACAGTCCTTTAGTCCACTTCTTTTTACAGTCTATGAGTGGTAAAAAATGTAATCATTATATATTAGGGATTATCTCTCGGTCCAATATTATCACAATATTTTGGAGAGGCCAATATAATTGCAGATAGGAAGCTTTTTTTTGCTTTTAAAATACCCCGAGAAGAATTTGGTGTGAATTATTGCTGTCATAATCTCAAGAATTCAAGTAAAAACCATATTACTTCATGTTATCTGTGCTGAAATGAATCATGGGATATGTAGATTCTGATGTTTATTAGCTATTGCAGCTGTAAAAGAATGCATTGAAGCAAAGGAACTTGTGATTCGATATACTGTGGCTCCCCATGGTATTGTTGTGAAACTTTTGACAATACGATATCACGATTTTTCGGTTATTATTACATCTCTATTATTTATATCTCCCCTTGTATTGCAAAGATATTCAACTAGATCATATTCAGTGATTTGAGGTTTAGCTACTTTTCCCTGATTTGCATTGGCCAGCCTCTGCTCTGACTGAGGACCAGAGGAGTAAATCAATCACAGCGAGGTGTGAGGAAACAGATCGCTTTAGGTGACTCATGAGGTAATCTAGTCAATACGACGTGTACATGAATTGCACTAAAGTTGAGACTATGACCTGGGCATGGGGCAGAATGAGACAAGAGTTACGCATAATTCATGAATAAAATAAAACAAAAAATTAAATTAATGAATACATTGTGTGTTTGAGTTCACAATTTTGGCCTTACAAGTTCTGATTTCTTTAGATTAGATTAGATTTTTTTTTTTGTCAAATGTAAGACAAATGTAAACATAAGAGGTTAAAAAATATCAGAAGCTCATTTTTCACTTGTGTGCACAATTTGTTGCAGTTTTATCTTGCAAGATCTTTTGGTACAAGATCGTCTCTCACCCCTACCTAGATTAAGACCCAGTATTGAGTTGTTTTTGCTGGCAATCGTCCTTTTTATACAGTTTTAAAATATATATGATCTCTTTATAGCATCCAGTAGATACTTTGCAGCTGAGGTCATGAACATTTCCTGGGGGTGTGATGCTAGCTGTAAGTATGCTCTGTCTGAGACTTTGTTGCTCTGTCTGACGCTTTGTTAGACTTTAATCTGATCTTTATTTTAATGTAATCTGACCGTAAAGAACTGACTTAGTTGGAACAGGTGAGCTGATTTGTGCTGTTAAACAAGTCTCTCTCTAATAACATTACGCTCAGAAGCTAGAAAGCGTTTGTTTTTCAGTCAGTCACTGTCTCTTACTGACACTTAAACAGGACCCTGAACGCTCATATTGATCACAGGCTGTTGGTGTTGTTTAAATCAGTTTTGTATTTTTTCTTGAGTTTTCAGACTATCTTAAAACCTTTTTGGATGTGTACTAATGTGTGCACATACATGTAGAACACCTCCAGCGTGATGTCTGTATAAATATGAATAATATAAGCATAAATACATTTTTGTACATCTTGGTGTAAAAAATCTACAGTCTACATTATATTTGCTAGCTCACTGAACTTTTGCTGCATTTCTTAGCCCCTTGTGGTGTTCTTTGTGACTGTTTAACACACTACTCCATTGACCTCTTTTACTTTCTCTCTTGCAAACGCTCTCTGGAGCCGTCCCCTGCAGGGAGATATTTTCCTTTTCTCAGGCATCTCATCACAAGGTCACAGACAGTAGAGGAGCATGCTGAGTGCCGTGAGTAAACAGGGGCGGCCTCTCTCTCTCTCTCTGTCAAAGCAAGAAAAAATAATAATGCAGTTTATTTATTAACTGAAGATACTTACAGCAGTTAACGTGTACAGACAGAGCTTTAACATTCACAATAGGCTGGCTCGCAGATGGTAGTCAACGGCTTATATAACTCTATGGTAGTGTTTTTGAAAGAAATATCCAAAATAGAAATCCACAAATGTCATTATTATTTGTTAAGGATTGGGTCCACAAACCTGCAATAATAGAATGACAACAATCACATATTTGGAGTTGCAACACGTTCTGTGGCTATTGAGAAAAAATATTTTACAATGTTTTTTATGCTAACAGAGATGTTTAACTTTGAGCCAGTTTTAGTTTCATGTGAATAGGGCCATTAATTAAAGAGATATTAAACATAAACTAGGTCAACAAGTCTGCAATCTGACGGTGTAACAGCAATTTTTACCATAGAATACTCCAGCTCCATTTTAAAGTATAGGGATTTTACAAATACCATTAAAAGCATAATATTAAAAGGCATTTTCAACTATGACCTCATTGTATGGAGGAGTGAATAGGCAAAGCTAAAATGTATTTGAGTTTTGAGTTTGGATTTGAAATGTGTAAAAGCAGCACTGTATTCTTCAGTAACTCATGACTCACAAGTTGTAGTTGTAAATAAAGATGATAGGGGAAGTGCTCAGTATTAGATGGGAATATAGCCAAGTTACAGCTCTGCAGATAATAACTGTAGTAATTGTTGGCACATTTAAAAACATTTGGCACTGCAGTATTCGGCATCCGCACTGCACAAAAGTAGCTGTCATATTTGTAGTACAGTACATTCCAGCTCTTGATTTCCAGAACAGTGATATTGAATAATTTATCCATAACCCTTAAGATTTTTCATAAGATTAGATATACATGATTCAAAATGGCTAGGATGTGTACCAGTGTGTACTTTGACTTTTATGTACTGTGGTCCAAAGTTGACAAAGGCTTTTTTTGCCAAAATGTCACTTAAATATAAAAAAGCTTTGGGACATGGGCCATCTGAGTGTGCTATGTATTTTTTCACTTTTATTTTGCTGTTCCTTGCCTTTGCACCTCTACAAGAACTTTGGTCTTCATTTTCTGTTTCATTTGCTACTTTTACTTTTATACGAAGTTTATTTCCATGCTTATATGAAGTTTATTTCCATGCTGTGGAATAATCAAAGGCTAACAGGACCCTCCACTAGAAAAGCACAGTGCACCTTTAAAGTTCATATGGCAGGTGTTTATTAAGTTTTGTATTAATTAACTTGGCACATTGCTGTAATTTCAGTGTTTGAATTGTTAAGGGTAGGGCTGTGTATCATTAAGAACTTCCCAATACGATACATACCTCGATACAGTCCACTTTCAATTTGATACAGTATATTTCAAATCATTTATGGTTCAATAAAAATAATTGCTAAATCACAGCTGTGACACTAAAAGTCTTTGTTAAACCACTTCTTGTGCAAAGTGAATATGAAACACACCAATTTTACTCATCAAAACAGTGAAAATGTCTGATATACTGCATAAATGAGTTTCCTTCCTCTAAACAAGCACAGCTGTAGCGCTGTAACAAAATAATTTAGTAAAATATACCAAAAAATACTCTTGGCGATATATCGATACAGCAGCCCACGATATCGATACTGTATCATCACATTAAACGATACGATATATCAGTATTTTTGCACACCCCTAATTAAAGGCACACGCTTTCGAACTAGCTTATATCCCCCAATGTTAATAGAAACAATTACAATTGAATTAATGCAAGACAAATAAGTTTAAACCTATTCCGTGGTAGCCTGATTCATCAGCCGGTTTCACTTCGTTGAAACTGTCTGACCTCACAGTATTAGGATTCATTCACTCGATGGTAGGCGGGTACTTCCAATCGCTGCTATTTGGTCGTGACGTTTGTAATGCATCAAATCCCGCAGGAAGAAGGGCAATAACTTCATTCCCCTTGATATAATCCACCAAACTTTCTCTTTGTTCCTCCTTTAAATCCTCAATCTCGGGAATCGTTGCCAACACAGAATGTATAGCTTCGTCTACCTCCATCTAAAGCACTTTACTGTTGTGCTGTACCACAAAAGGGACCCAGACAGGCACTTGAGTTTGACGTCATGGCTTCACAGCTCTTTGCTGATTGGCCGGTGTGTGGTCTACAACTTCCAGGGTTCTTGCAAACTGTCTAGTGTATTCCGATTCCTGACCTAGTCGCTGGAGAGAAATGAAATACTGTGTAACATTCCAGGAAAAGCTTTAACATCAGACAGTCTGTCCCTCTACCAGAAAAGTTATATAACGCACTATTAAGGTGAAGTTATGTATTCATTAAAATATTGTTATCATAATCAGTCTCCACGGTACGGCCTTGCATCCCCTTGGTAACAGTTTTGATTCCTCTGGCTTGCCACTTGCTCCCTACCTCCTACCTCCTCTCTCCTATCTCCTCTCTCACCTCTGAAGTTCCACTCTCTTGCTGCCTGGCATCCGTTTCCATGGCGACAGCATCCAGCAGCGGCGGTGTGTTTGTGGAGCATGAGAGCCCACTGAACTGTTGACATTTACTGGACTGTGTAGGAGGCAGGCTGTTGCATAAAGTGCAATGGAGGTGCCATTCTCCTCATTTAAAACTGCGACCTTTAAATGATCTTATCAGATGCTATGAATGTTTAATGATGCCCTGCGCTGTGAAAGAAGGTTGTTCATGAGGTAACTGAATACACACAGGTATCATACTGGGCACTCCAAGATATTTCAGTTTATATGTGATAATAACTTTTAGGGCTGCTCAATTTTGGAAAATAATGTAATTACAAGTT